CCTCAGCCAGAAATGAATGCTTCCAGCTACTACTACCCTTTTCATGTAGTTGAAGTCATGAAGATGTAAGCGCTCCTTCGAACTCTGACCTAGGCGCTCGCCTTTCCTCTTGATGGATTCTCCCTCCAGATGCATGTATTCCAGATGTGTGATAAGCACATCGTGCAAGAAGAAATTGAATGTTGAAGGCAGTGAGAAATTTGCTTCTGAGGGGTGACGATTGTTTGGGCGGCGGCCGTGGCGTCATCAACAGGAAGCTGTTGATACGCCTGGGACATATCCAATTTAGCAAAAATAGACCCTTGACCCAAAGAATGTAAGAGGTGCTGAACTACCGGGACCGGATACGGGTGGGCCTGCAAGGCCCGATTAAGGGTACACTTAAAGTCCCCACAAATACGGATGGAACTATCCGCCTTAGTGGGGATAACAATAGGGGTCTCCCATCGAGAATGATCCGTAGGCTCAAGTACACCCTGAGCCAGCAACTTATCTATCTCAACATCCACCTTAGGGCAAAGGGCAAAAGGGACTCGTCGGGGCTTAAGGCGTATAGGTGGCACCTGGGGGTCTAAATTAAGAGATATGGGGGTACCCTTATATTTACCCAAGGTGCCGTTGAAAACCTCAGCGAACTCTGTCGTCAAGGTTTCGAAGTCATCACTAGACGTGGTATGGATGCCGGCAATGAAAAGCCCCAATGCCCCGAACCAGTCTAAACCCAAAAGGCTAGGGAACCTGCCCTTGACTACCAAAAGTGGGAGGGGACCTGCAAACTCCCCCCACTCCACCATAAACCTGCTGCAACCCAAAATGGGAATGCCATTTCCCTGGTAGTCGTGAAGATGAGTAGAACAGGGTTGCAAACGGTCACAAGCAAAGGACGGCACCAGCTTCTTAAGGGTCTGCCAGGCGATGATGGACTTAGATGAACCAGTATCCACTTCCATCCTGCACGGTTGTCCTTCGATACGAACAGTCAGAAAGATCTTCTTGTGACCCGAGACAGCATGGCTGCCAGACGAGAGAAGATCACAGCGGGAAATAGCGAAACAAGAGTTCTGAGGACCGTTGAACCCTTCCCGACCTAATTTAATGGAAGATGGTACACCCATGACGTCCGCGGAGGATCTTGAATGGCAAACCTTTGCCAGGTGACCTTTCTTTCCACAGTGACGGCAAACGGCATTTTGAAAACGGCAAAAGGCACGAGGATGTGAATCCCCACAACCCAAGCAAAATGCTGGAGCCTGTCTTTTGGAGGGAGGGCGTCGATTAAAGACCGACGCCTTGAGGCGGTCCACCTCCTCTTCGCTATCAGCAACGGTAACAGAGCGTTCGTAGGCCTCCCCTAGCTGTATGGCTGCACAACGAGAGGCCGGTAGAACGTGCGGGAAGTTTCGAATTTCCGCCGCAGAGCGGTTAGACATCTCAAACGCAGCCGCTTCCTCAACAGTAGTCTCCAAATTGATGACAGATTTGGCCAAAAGGCGGCGCTGCACCTGCAAATCGCGCACGCCGCAAACTAGTTGCTCAAGGAGGGAGTCATCAAGGTTTTCAAACTCACAATTTATCACCTCAGTCCGAAGGGCGGACTGGATCCGTTCCAGTCGGGCTTCAGGCCCGGGTACAGCACGGAAACGGCATTGGTCGCGTTGGTTGATGATCTCTGGAGGGCTCGGGACAGGGGGTGCTCCTCTGTCCTGGTCCTGTTAGATCTCTCAGCGGCTTTTGATACCATCGACCATGGTATCATGCTGCACCGGTTGGAAGAGTTAGGGGTGGGAGGCACTGTGTTGCGGTGGTTCTCCTCCTTTCTCTCTGACCGGTCGCAGTCTGTGTTGACAGGCGGACAGAGGTCGATTCCGAGGCCCCTCATATGTGGGGTGCCGCAAGGGTCGGTCCTCTCGCCTCTCCTGTTCAACATTTATGTGAAGCCGCTGGGCGAGATCATCCGTGGTTTCGGGGTGGAGTACCATCAGTACGCTAACGACACCCAGCTGTACATCTCCACCCCGGATCACCCCAACGATGCCCTTGAAGTGATGTCCCGGTGCCTGGAGGCCATACGGATCTGGATGGGGAGGAACAGGCTCAGGCTCAACCCATCCAAGACCGAGTGGCTGTGGTTTCTGACGTCCTGATATAGTCAGTTGACGCCATCACTGACTATTGGGGGCGAATCATTGGCCCCCACGGAGAGGGCTCGCAACTTGGGCATCCTCCTGGATTCACGGCTGTCTTTAGAAGAGCACTTGACGGCCGTGACCGGGAGGATTTTTCATCAGGTTCGCCTGATTCGCCAGTTGCGTCCCTTTCTGGATCGGGACTCGTTACACACGGTCACTCATGCCCTCGTCACCTCCCGCCTGGACTATTGCAATGCTCTCTACATGGGGCTCCCCTTGAGGAGCACCCGGAGGCTCCAACTGGCGCAGAGTGCGGCCGCGCGGGTGGTAATGGGAGCGACATGGCGTTCCCACATAACACCCCTCCTGCGCGAGCTGCACTGGCTCCCGGTGGTCTTCCGGGTGCGCTTCAAGGTTTTGGTTACCACCTTTAAAGCGCTCCATGGCTTAGGACCTGGTTATCTACAGGACCGCCTACTACCACCAATAGCCTCCCACCAGCCAGTACACTCTCATAGAGAGGGACTCCTCCGGGTGCCGTCAGCCAAACAGTGTTGACTGGCAGCCCCTAGGGGGAGAGCCTTCTCTGTGGGGGCACCTACTATCTGGAATGAGTTCTCCCCGGAGATACGGAGGACCTTGGATCTGCGCACCTTCCGCCGCGCTGTGAAGACCTTTTTGTTCCATCAGGCGGGCTTGGCCTAATCTCTTCCCTTTTTTAAATATCTTAATTTTAATCTGTTTTTAAATCATTGGGGTGTTTTAATCTGTCTGGGCCAAAATGATTTAATTTGATTTTATCTGGTTTTTAAATTTTTTGTATCTACGTATTTTATTGTTGGCTGTTCACCGCCCTGAGTCCTTCGGGAGTAGGGCGGTATACAAATCAAATAAACCATAAACCAAACCAAACCATAGTCATTAATGGACTCCCCTTCCTTTTGCACCCGTTGTCGAAACATGAAACGGCAAAAAATGCGGGAAGGTGCGGGTGCATAATGGCCCTTCAATTTAGCCAGCAAAGTAGGCCAAGAAACGGTGGACAGCTGTTGGGGCGCTACAAGCGCCTGCGCCATTGCAAAAATCTGCGGCCCACACGCATTGAGAAAATGGGCTCGTTTCCGGTCATTGGAAAAGTCAGTATAGTCATTTGCCTGCAAAAAACACTCGAAACGCTCAATATAAGCGTCCCAAGTTTCTGCGCTGGGCACAAAAGGCGCAAAGATAGCCAGATTACTCATTAGAAAGAGTTGTAAGCCCACAAGGAACAAGAGACAAGAGGGAAAAAAATGTTGCCTCACGTAGCTACCTCCGAAATGCCAACAACAGAACAATTCTTCTCTCGTGGCCATACTCAGTGGGAGTCATCCCACCTTCGTCGCCAGTGGTCTCCCTCGGACAAAGACTCTCCCTAATGATCACCGCCACTCCCCCACTCCTCCCCTGGGCCCTTGGCTGATGAAATGCACGGAAACCTGGCGGGCACATCTCAACGAGGGGGACCCCCCCCTCTTGGCCCAACCAGGTCTCCGTAATACCTGCCAGGTCTGCACCCCCCTCCAAAATAAGATCACAGATGAGGGGGGCCTTATTAACCACCGATCTGGCATTACATAACATCAGCCGTGGACCCTGGGCCTGAGGCTCTACACAACCCAGGACACGAGTCATGCATTGGGGGCCGGAGTGCGCAATCGCTCAGAGACAGCGCGTGCGCACCCCCGACACTTGATATGACCCCCTGCGCCCATCATACCTGCCCCTCCCACTCATGATTTCAATTACACAGCCCTTTCTATCGTCCCCCTGCCCCCCGGTTAAATTTCCTTTCGCGACCCCTCTGCTGCAGCTAATCAACCCATCATCCCGCGCAGTCGCTATCTGGACCCCCCCAGGTCCACTTTTACAACCCCCACCCGTCCTCCCGGGTCCCCTTAAAATTTTCCTTAAAAATTTAGCTAAAAAACCCCTCAACCCCCTCTTTGCTGCATGCCATCTCTCGGGGTCCCATATGTAGGGGTCATGGCTGGCTCTATAGGCAAAAGGGGAAATGCAAATCCTAGGTGTTTGTCTGAGCTAATCTTGTCAATCTTTGGCTTGTTGCTTATCTGAAGTTTCTGTCTGACCCAGTCTTTCTGGATGGATTACCAAATCTGCATTTCTAAAAGCTGGCCTCTGTTTCTGCTTGAGGCAGGGAGACTGGGGCTGGCTTCTGCCTCCCTTAAGATTTTTTCCCCCCAATTCTCCTTTAGGGGAAATCTTCTATCCTGCCTTTTTAATATTTATTTATTTCATTCTCTAGGAGGGTGGGTGATAAGGGGCAATTGCAAATTCTGGGGCATTAGGGCAGGTCTTATTAGCATAAGGGCAGGTCTCTGCAATGATGGAGTGGCCTTTGGGGAAAAATCCCGGCCTCCATTTGCTGTTGGTACACCAGGGTAAGACTTTCTGGCCACTCAGCAGTTCCCACAAAGTCTCATCTCTGGCTCCATTTTGGAGGAGGGAAGAGAGCAGCAGAGAAAGAGAGACAAAGCACACACAGGAGTGGGAGACAAATCAACTTCAAGACCAGCCTTTCAAAAAGCATTAAAAGGACATTAAAAAAGAAAAAAAACCTATCCAGTCCAGTTAAATTCCCATTGATGATGTCCACAAACAATTAAAGGCAATTAGAGAGAAGCAGAAACTGACAAGCGCATGGGCCCGGGGGAAGGAGGAGGAGGAGGACACAGGCAAGGCTGTTCAGTGGCCCAATCCGATTTTCCACCACCAAATGTAATTAAGGGGAATTACTGATCCAGTTGCTAGGAGGGTCTCTTTATAAATGGGAAGAGCTGAGGGCCCCATGACTCTCACTGGCCAGAATGCCAAGCTCCGAGAATCGGCTGAAGGGAGACGCCTGCCTGGTGCTCAGGATGCGGGAAGCAGCATCCATGTACTTCTCCCTGCTCGCCGTCTTCTTGGTTTTTCTGGTGGTGGCCCTCCAAGGCACAGAGCCAAGAGAAAGCTTCCCATACAAGGTGCCCCTGGACCCTCAGGGCCTCCTGGAGCTCTCCTGGAACATCAGCTATCACCTGGAAGAGGTGCATTTCCGGATTGTGGCCAAGGAGCTGAAATATGGCTTTCTTTTTGGCATGTCAGACCGTGGAGGCTTTCAGGAGGCAGATCTGGCTGTCCTATGGAGCGATGGGGTCCAGTTCTATTTTGCGGTGGGTAAGCAGGGAAGCAGTTCCTATGCCAAGCTCAGACCTGGGGTGGGGGTCTCCTTCTGGTATTGGGATCTCTGTTGATACTGACAAGAAATCGTTTTTGGGTTCCAAGGAGAATATCCAAGAAAGAGGGAGCCTTGCTTCTATATCTCCGGGGTTAGTTCCTTCATTGGGTGAATCTGGATGGGGACCAGACTGGGAAACAGACTTTGAGAAGATGTAGATCAGGGCTGTCAAACTCCCGGCCCACTGGCCATGCCTGTTTTAGCAAAGGGGGGAAAAGTCCCAATACGTCACATGATGCCTCTGTGATGACATGAGTTTGACACTCCTGGTCTAGATCTAGGTGAGGGGCTAGAAGACTCATCAAATCTGCAGATGACACCAAGCTGGAAGGAATAGCCAACATTTTGGAAGATAATCAAGATTCAGAAGGATCATGACAGACAGGAGAAAAGGCCCTCTCCAGTCCAGTGATGTGAAAAGTAAGGTTAGGACTTGGGCAGGAAAAACCAAATGCATGAAATAGAATAGGTGGTACTTGGCTCAGCTATTTTCCAAGGCACCTGAAGGTCATACAAGGAACAATGGATGGAAACTGATCAAGGAGAGATTCAACCTGGAAATAAGGAGAAACTTCCTGACAGTGAGAACAATCAACTCATGGAATAGAAGTTGCCTTCAGAAGTTGTGGGAGCTTCATCACTTTCTGTCAGATAGTGTAGGGTCTCCTGCTGGGACGGGGGTGGGTGGGTTCAGTGGTGGGATTCAATTTTTTAAACAACCAGTTCTGTGGGCGTGGCTTATTTGGGTGGGCGTGGCTTGGAGGTCATGTGACTGGATGGGCGTGTCTAGCTGATCATGTGACTGGGTGGCCGTGGTTATGTGTATAGGGACTACTCAGAGGGCTGAAAAAAGTCATTTCTGACCAGTTCTCGCACTTTTGACTGGTCCTCACACTTATGACCATCCTCACATTTATGCCTGTTGCAGCATTCTTAGCAACCATGTCACTCATTTAACAACTGCTTCTCTTCACCATGGTGAAAAGATAGGGCAAAAAACGTAAAATGTGAGGACAGTCATAAGTGCGAGGACTGGTCAAAAGTGCGAGGACCGGTCAAAAATAACTTTTCCATAGGTATGGCTGATAGGGACTACCCAGAGGATTGAAAAAAGTGATTTCTGACAGTTCCTTGCACTTTTGACTGGTCATCATTTATGCCCATTGTAGCATTCTTAACAACCGTGTCACTCATTTCACAACTGTTATTCTATTCTATTCTAAAGTAAAAAATAGGCCCCAACAATCACAGCTGTGATCGTTGGAGCCTCTTTTTTTTTACTTTTTTAAAGCATTTTTTACTACCTATTCGTCCGAGCCGGTAGTAAAAAAATGCTTTAAAAAAGTTTTTAAAAAGGTTCCCACGCGTACCACAGCTGGTCACCCACCCACACCTGCACTGTTCTACTTACCTTCTCAAGCGTCCTTTTGGCAGGCACTGTGTGTGCGTGCGCATCTCGCATTTTGTGCACATTGCGCATGCATGAGCGCAGCACACGTTGCGCAGCCAGCAAACTGGTAAACCGGTTCAGATTTCACCACTGGGGACAACCTATTCTCCAAAGCCCCTGAGGACAGAACAAGAAGCAGTGGGTGGAAGCTTGTTAAGAGAGATCCAAGCTAGAAGTAAGGAGAAATTTCCTGACAGTGAAGACAGTTCATCAATGGAACAGCTTGCCTTCTGCAGCTATGGGTGCCCCATGACTGGAGGTTTTCAAGAAAATATTGGGCAGCTGTTTGCCTGGGATGCTCTAAAGATGTCTATCTTGGGCAGGAGGTTCAAGGTCCTTCCATCCCTAGGATTCTATGATTCTAATTCTGCTATTTTTAAGGCATGAGCCAAGGAACAGTCTGTTTTTGAACAAGCTAATATTAAAACTGCACTAAATGTACTTGAAGTTAATATTCGTCATTATTTTATGCTTGGTTTAGCTAATTTTTATTTTTTTGAAACCATAACTGAAACCAGATTCTTGGGGTTTTATCTTTTAGCATGAATTTGGCACTCTTGATTCCTCTGCCTCTTATTCTATCTAGATGCTAGATTCTATTTTGGATGCATTGTGGAGAGCTAAAAGCTTGGGGAAAGTCTTTTTGTGTGTGGAGGGGGGGGTTCCCAGATGCCTCTGCAGGCTCACCTGTCTCTGAACCCCAGAATATGAGATGCCCAGGGCATCTGTGCATCTGTGAGCCTGGGCGCTTCCCTGGCAAAGATGGGGCCCAATTGCCCCACTGAAAGGGGCTTTTTCTGACCAGCCATGCAGGTCAGCAAGACTACAGTCTTGCCACTGACAATATCCAAAGGTTAGGAAGCCAGCAAAAATCCCCACCCGGAACAAATTCAAAAGGGCGGAGAAATTGCATGATGGGCTGGAGAAATGTCAGGTTCAAAGATCATAGTACACACAAACACACAGACATACACACACAAGAGCCCACTCAATGGCTTCCCCTTAACTTAAAGCCTGGAGTCTGCGAGAGGTAACAGGACAAAATGAAATTCAATGTAGAGACAAGTAAAGTCTTACACTTAGACAAGAAAAACCAAAAGTACACATAGAAACTGGGTGAAACCAGGCATAATAGTAATTGTGAGAGGGATCTTGAAATCTTAGTGGACAACTAGTTAAATAAGAGTGTGTGCGGCAGCAGCCAAAAAAGCCAATGCAATCCTAAAATGCATTAACAGAGGGATTTAATCAAGATCAAGGGAGGTATTCATACCACTCTATCAAGCCTTTGTAAGACCACACCTAGAGTACTGCATCCAGTTTTGGTCACCACACTATAAAAAAGATTATTATAATTATAATTATTATTATTATTATTATAAAAAAGATGAGTCCACGGGAGGAGACCGGGGCAGGTCTTGAGAATGTTATCTGGGAGGAGTTTGATCCTGTGACTCCCGAGGATGTGGACAGAGTTCTGGGTAAGATTAGTGCCGCCACGTGTTTATTGGACCCGTGCCCCTCCTGGTTGGTACTGGCCTCCCGGGAGGTTACACGAGGCTGGCTCCAGGGGATTATAGGTGCTTCTCTGAGTGAGGGTGCCTTTCCTGCCGCCTTGAAAGAGGCGGTGGTGAGGCCCCTCCTCAAGAAGCCTTCCCTGGACCCGGCTGAATTAGCTAACTATCGTCCAGTCTCCAACCTTCGTTTTGTGGCGAAGGTTGTTGAGAGCGTGGTGGCACGACAACTTTCCCGACACCTGGATGAAGCTATCTATCTAGACCCGTACCAGGCGGGCTTCAGGCGGGGGTACAGCACAGAAACGGCATTGGTCGCGTTGGTGGATGATCTCTGGAGGGCTCGGGACAGGGGTTGCTCCTCTGTCCTAGTCCTATTAGATCTCTCAGCGGCTTTTGATACCATCGACCATGGTATCATGCTGCAGCGGTTGAGGGGGTTAGGAATAGGGGGCACCGTTTTGCGGTGGTTCTCCTCCTTCCTCTCCGACCGCTCGCAGTTTGTGTTGGCAGGGGGACAGAGGTCGACCTCGAGGCGTCTCACATGGGGGGTGCCGCAAGGGTCAGTCCTCTCGCCCCTCCTGTTCAATATTTATGTGAAGCCGCTGGGTGAGATCATCCGTGGTTTTGGGGTGAAGTGCCATCTGTACGCTGATGATACTCAGCTGTACATCTCCACCCCAGACCACCCCAACGATGCCCTTGATGTGTTGTCTCGCTGCCTGGAGGCCGTGCGGATCTGGATGGGGAAGAACTTGCTCAGACTCAACCCCTCCAAGACCGAGTGGCTATGGCTTCCGGCGCCCCGATATAGTCAGCAGGTGCCATCGCTAACTATTGGGGGTGAATCTCTGCCCCCCACAGAGAGGGCTCGCAATCTGGGTGTCCTTCTGGATGCACGGCTGTCTTTAGAAGAGCATATGACGGCCGTGGCCAGGGGGGCCTTTTATCAGGTTCGCCTGATTCACCAGTTGCAGCCCTTTCTGGATCGGGACGCCCTACGCACGGTCACTCATGCCCTTGTTACTTCCCGGTTGGACTATTGTAATGCTCTCTACATGGGGCTCCCCTTGAAGAGCACTCAGAGGCTCCAACTGGTCCAGAATGCGGCCGCGCGGGTGGTTATGGGCGCAACTCTTTGTGCCCATGTGACACCCCTCCTGCGCGAGCTGCACTGGCTCCCAGTGGTCTTCCGGGTGCGATTCAAGGTGTTAGTTACCACCTTTAAAGCACTCCATGGCATAGGACCCGGGTACCTCCGAGACCGTCTTCTGCCACCAATAGCCTCCCACCGACCAGTCCGTTCCCACAGGGAGGGTCTCCTCAGGGTGCCGTCAACCAAGTTATGTCGACTGGCAGCGCCCAGGGGGAGGGCCTTCTCTGTGGGAGCCCCATCCCTGTGGAACGAACTGCCCCCGGAAATTCGTAAGATCTCCGACCTCCGGGCGTTTCGCTGCGCACTGAAGACCCTATTATTCCGCCAGGCCGGACTAACAACACAATAGTTTTTAAATTGGGATATTTAAATTTATTGGGGTTTTAAATCTGAGCCACTTTATTTAATTATTTTAAATTTTATATTGTTGTTTTGTTTGTGTTTTTAAACAGGCTGTACACCGCCATGAGTCCTTCGGGAGAAGGGCGGTATAGAAATAAAATTATTATTATTATTATTATTATTATTATGAGACTCTAGAAAAAGTGCAGAGAAGAGCAACAAAAATGATTAGGGGACTGGAGGCTCAAACATAGGATGAATGGTTGTAGGAACTGGGCATGGCTAGTCTAGTAAAGAGAAGGACCAGGGGAGACAGGATAGCATCTTCCAATATTTGAGGGGCTGCCACAGAGAGGAAGGGCTCAAGCTATTTTCCAAGGCACCTGAAGGCCAGACAAGGAACAATGGATGGAAACTGAACAAGGAGAGATTCAATCTCGAAATAAGGAGAAACTTTCTGACAATGAGAGCAATCAACTAGTGGAACAGAAGTTGCCTTCAGAAGTTGTGGGAACTTCATCCCTGGAAGCTTTCAACAAGAGACTACCATCTGTCAGAAATGGTGTAGGGTCTCCTGCTTGGGGGGCGGGGTTGGACTAGATGACCTACAAGTTAACTCTATTAAACTGTTAAACCTAGTGAAGTCATTGAGTGTAAAGTCTTTGGTAGATGAGCCTCTCAACAAGGAGGCTTACAGCTGAGATGCCGATTAGAGCTGCTGCTGGTTTCTACTAAATTATGCTTTAGAAACAGAGTTGCTTAAAAGAAAAAGAGAATGTTTACTCCAGGAAAATCAAATACTGAGATATGAAAAATTTCTAAAAGAAGATGCCTACTACCGATGCCTAAATTACTAAGCCTCTTTATGTGAAGAATAACCCACACCAATGTGGGTCTTGCCCACATGAGTCCTATAGCAGAGTTTTTGCAGAAGCATCTCTGACCGTTTGCTCCCTCGCCTCTCCCAACACTGGACCTCCTTATGTCTCTTTCTGAGTGACATCTGTCATTAGCAAGAAAGAGGTAGGGAGGAGTAAGGCTGGCAGAGACATTTTTCCATCTTGGAGCCTTTAATCTTATTTCATGAGGCATAGACGCTCCAGAACAGCTTAGAGACTGTTCAGCCAAGTTTGAGCTCTGGTGATGCAACCTGTGGGTTAGCCCCACAGCCCAAGAATAATACAGATAGGATAGGATAGGATAGGATAGGATAGGGTAGGGTAGGGTAGGGTAGGGTAGGGCAGGGCAGGGCAGGGCAGGGCAGAACAGAACAGAATAGAACGAATGAGTTGAAAGGGACCTTGGAGGTCTTCTAGTCCAGCCCCTTGTTCAAGCAGGAGAACCTATACTATTTCAGATAAGTGACTATCTAGTTTCTTCTTAAAAAGAAATGTCAAGCAAGTCCAGGTACAGCCTCAGCCAGTCCTGGTGCTAGAAGCTCAGCTGAGGTATTTCTTTGGGCATGGCCTTGTATGAAATATGTTCCTTATGTGTATAGAGACACCCCCAGAGACATTTTTCTCTCACGTTGTTTCATGTTGTTAAATCCAAAAAAAAGTAATGAGGCAATTCCAAGCTAAGTAGAGAAGGTGGAACCTGCTTGCCAGAAGCAACATTCAGCCCTGAATTCAATAAGGGCTAAAGATGCTAAAGAACCTACAGTTTAGGGCCTCACAAAATTTCAGAATAGCTGTATTCCAATTTTGCAAACAAGTTCATTGTTTTATATTCTTAATTTTGGAATTTTTAACAAGGGGAGTCCAAGCTTTCTTTAGTTAAAGTATAAACCCAAGACTGGATGCTTTAGCCGGGCTGCAATGCCCCCTCCACCTCTGCCGTCTGAAGTGCAATCCTTCTTGTTGCTTCACCTGTAGGATGCCTGGAGTGACCAAGACACACAGCTGCACATGGACGCCCAGCAGAACTACCATCTCCTGGGGGCACGGAGAATTGGCGGAGGGCTCTCCCTCCTCTTCAAGAGGCCCTTTGCCACTTGTGATCCAAAGGATTATCTGATTGAGGTAGAATCTTTAGTCACCTTCTGCTTCAGAAACAATTTTGAAAAAGAACTGTCCCAAATCTGAAGAGTATAATGCAGGAAGGGAGGCAGAATATCCTGAAAATGCTTTGTTTTGCACAATCTAATATTATGTTTTGAAAATGGAAATCAAAACTCAAGTCTGAATTGCTGAACATTACTTTTAAATCTCCCTTTTCCTATTTTTTTAAAAAAAAGAAAACAGTTCCTTGGTTTTCCCAGAATGGCTTGCGTGGGTGTCTCTTGTGGGTGTCTTCTGGGCTGTTGACCCTTCACAAGGCTCATGGCAGCTGAAAGCAGCCCAAATCTCATAATATTGGGAAGAGAGAAAGTAAAAAAACAGAGAGAGAAAGTAAAAAATGCTGCAATCCTGAATTTTGTGGCATCATTCATGCAAACTTGCTCAAATATTTTAGAGAGGGCCTGCCACAATTTTTCCTCCTCACAGGGCTTGGAGAGGAATAGACTTTTTTTTTAGTAGTGGTCCCTCTTTAAGGAATAACTTCCCCACCTCCAGATATGGATGGCCCCAGCTCTAGAGGTATTTCACAAAACACCTTGTTTAGCAACCACAATTCACACAAGCAAAGATGTTGCTAAGCGAAACCACAACTGTGCTTATGACCTTTACTTCAGCTTTCCTTTGGTATACAGACTTCCAGGTCGCAAATGTGAAAACTGCTTGCACAGTTACTTCTTCATCATCATTTAGTGAAGAGTCACTAAACGAGTCAGTTGCTAAATGTGGAATATCGGTAGAGCAAGGCAGCCCAGATTTTCTATTATTTTATTTATTTATTTTATTTATTTGATTTGATTTCTATACCGCCCTACTCCCGAAGGACTCAGGACGGTGCACAGCCAAACAATAAAACACATACATACAAAATTTAAAAGTAGAATAAAATCAAATTAAATAATTTTGGCCCCGACAAATTTAAAACCCCAAACTTTTAAAACCAATTTAAAATTGAATGTATAAAATACTAAAAGATATTTAAAAATTAAAAATCTTTTATAAAAGAGGGAGAAAATTAGGCCAGGCCCGCCTGGTGAAATAGTAAGGTCTTTAAAGCGCGGCGGAAGGTGCGCAGATCCGGGATCCTCCGTATCTCTGGGAGGAGCTCGTTCCAGATAGTAGGTGCCCCACAGAGAAGGCTCTCCCCCTGGGGGCCGCCAGTCGGCATTATTATTATTATTTTATTATTCATATTTCTATGCCGCCCACTCTCCGAGGACTCTGGGCGGCTTACACCAAAGACAGTATACTAAATAACATATTGCCCCCAACAATCTGGGTCCTCATTTTACCCACCTCAGAAGGATGGAAGGCTGAGTCAACCTTGAGCCGGTGAGATTTGATCGGCTGAACTCGCAGTCAGCTAAAGTAGCTGCAGTACTGCACTCTAACCACTGCGCCACCTCGGCTCTTTTTTTGAGTGAATGATGCCTTTGATGAACTGGGTTTTGCTGTGGATGTTTTTAGTGAGGGGGGATTTTGTTCACCCTTATCAATCCTTTAGGATTGAGTAAGTTATAAATATTATCAAAATAAGAAATATTAAATAATTAAATATATAAGCAAGCCCACATTATGCCATCAAAGCACCAAAGGGGCTGGGTTCCCATAATAGCCTAAATCTACGAAGGTCCCCAGTGCTGAGACCAAGCAAGCTAAGCTGCAGAAATGGATCTCAAGGCCAGGTGACCTAACACTTGACAAAAGTCTGAAGAGTGAGGCTGCCTGAGTTTTCTTTAAATTTAAAAACATTGTTGAAAGTTTACAATTTAAGTTGTAATTTCTATGTGCTCGTGTGGCTTCAGTATTTTTAATTTCCATTAAGAGAAACTCTTGGACTCAAATGTAAGGATATTCTACAGCAAATGTACAATTAGAATAGTAATTGAAATCTTTTGTTCAAGAGATTCATCCTTATGGAGCTCTGTGGCCAAGAACAGACCGATGGATTAGTGTGGCTTAACTTGTAGTTATGATCTTGCATTCCCTGTTTTATGATGCAGCCTTTTCAGGGAATTCTTTTCAGTGCTTTTCATCATGGACTTTTCAGTCCATGAGGGCGTCTCTTACAGAGGATGCTGCTCCCTGTTTAAATTAGTCCTTCAGTTGGCCTTGGGGGTCTGATCATTCTCCAACCCAAGGAAGCCTTTTCAGGGTCCACTGCTTTCTTTCTGAGCTTCTGCCACTTTAAACCAGGGCACCGGGGGCATCCTTGGTGGCTCAGAAATAAAATGGTTGGTGACTTCCCTTTCAGGATGGAACTGTGCATCTCATTTATGGCATTTTGGAGAAACCAGCTTCGTCCCTCCAAGCCATCAATGTTTCTGCTCTGCTCCGGAAGGGACTGCAGCGGGTGCAACTTCTGAAGCCCAAGATCAGAGTTCCCCCACTGCCTGGGGACCTGAAGACCATGGAGATCCGAGTCCCAGATGTGACCATTCCCCACCAGGAGACCACATACTGGTGTTACATGACCGAACTTCCAGACGACTTTGAAAAGCATCATATTGTCATGGTGAGTAGAATGCTCCCTTTTCTTTCTCTTTCACCGATTTGGGTTCAAGTCCTCCCAATGTGTTTTGCAAGGGACCGATTCTTCCTGAATCCAGGCCATCTTGTGCAAGATTAACAAGGATTGCAACCATCCCCACTGACCCCATCTGTACAGCTAGCATCAGTCAAGATTATAAGGTCCCAAAAATATGGTGATGATATTGTTTCCCCTTTTTCCAGCTTTCAGCTGTTAGATGGAATGGGAGCTTTGCAGGACCCATTTCAAATGTAGTGAACTTCTGCCTTGGTTGAAGTACTTCTTCCATCAGGGTAAAACATCATCATTACAGATTACAGATTAATAGAGTTGGAAAGGACCAAGCCCAGCCCCACCCCCCACCCCCCAAGCAGGGTGACCCTACACCATTTCCTCCTCCACCTCCTCCTCCTCCTCCTCCTCCTCCTCCTTCTTCTTCTTCTTCTTCCTCCTCCTCCTCCTCCTCCTCCTCCTCCTCCTCCTCCTCCTCCACCTCCACCTCCACCTCCACCTCCACCTCCTCTTCCTCCTCCTAAAAACATCAACATCATAAGGCTAAAAACATCATCATGTTTTTTAGCCTTAGCTCCAACGTTCTTCCGCATTGTGCAAAGGAAGGAAAGAGGTATCCTGGCTTGTCTGGCTATTCCTTCTACCTCTCGGGAGCAGGAAGAGGAAGAGGGAGAGTGGGGGGAGGCATCTCCCTCGGTTGGGACTCAGTGTTGCCCCTGCATGCTGCGTGAACTGGGCCTTTTTAGTTTGGGCATCACACACCATGGGGATGGAGGAATTGGCCTGGGTTTATTTCTGATGGTGGTTCTGACAATCTAGCTAGCATGTTGTGTGAACTCAGGCTTACTCTGAGATAGGGCTTACTCTGTGCTATTTCTTCATATCCAGCTGGACGGAGGAGGTTCACTTTGAAAGTCCCCTCAGCATAAGACCATTTCCCATTTTTGTGAATTTTCAGAATGAGGGAGCAATGCTTACTCCACCTGATTCATTTTGAGAGCAAGGAGATTCCTCTTTCCAGAGGAGTCCAGTGGAGACTTCTAGTGTGGCTTCCCATTTGGTGAGGGGATTTTTATCCACCCCAAATCATCTGCCTTTAAAGAGACAAAATGGAGATTTTGCTTCTCCTGTCAATGGGAGCCTTGGTAGTACAGTGGTTTAAAGCACCCTGTTATTAACACAGCTGCCTGCAATTACTGCAGGTTCGAATCTTACCAGGCTCAAGGTTGATTCAGCCTTCCATCCTTTCTAAGGTAGGTGAAACGAGGACCCAGTTTGTGGGGGCAATAAGCTGACTTTGTATAAATATACAAAAGTATGAAGGCTATTGCTTAACGCATTGTAAGCCGCCCTGAGTCTCCGGAGAAGGGCGGCATATAAATCAAATAAATAAATAAATAAATAAATAAATAAATAAATAAATAAATAAATAAATAAATAGCGCATACAGAGCTTGGAGTGTCTCTATCTCCCCCATTCCTCCCTCAGTATGAGCCGGTGGTCACAGGCGGGAACGAAGCCCTGGTCCATCACATGGAGGTCTTCCAGTGCAGCCCCCACTTCCCAGCCTTCCCACACTACAGCGGCTCCTGCCACTCCAAGATGAAGCCGCAGCGCCTGAACTTTTGTCGACACGTCTTGGCTGCCTGGGCAATGGGTGCGCAGGTGAGTCTCAGGGGCCTTAACAAAGAACTGGGGCGGGGGCAGGAGAAAGACCCAGGTGGGAAGCCCCCCTGGATCCTCTGTCCTCAGACGATGCTTCAGGAGATGTTTTTTGCCCCAAATCGGCCATCCTGGCCTCAGGCAACATTTTGAATTAAGATGTGACCTGCCTCTCCCACCAGGGGTCTCCAGGTCTGCTTGCCTCCTTTGCTTTGCTTGCTCGCTTGTTTAGGGGGGGGCGGGGTTCTGCGGGCTTGGGGTTTGGGGCAATAGAATGAGGCCCAAGCACTGGCAGAGTCCTATTTCAAAATGTTCTGGTTGGCTTTCAGGGCAGGAGGATCCATTGGGTCTCGGTTCTGAAGCAGCCTCTTCTGGGCTCCTCAGATTCCCTGAGCCTCTGGAAATCCCTTCTGGGGGTTTGGGGGGTCTGAGCAAAATGGTAAAGCAGCAGCTCAGGGGGGCGGGGGGTGCTTATGTAGACCTGCCAGGAGTCCTTCATTGTTCTTGCCCGCACCAAGACCGGGTAGTAGTTGAAGTCCAAAGTGCTGTTGCACTTTGCTAAAGCCTAGCTTTATTGGGGGAGCTTCGGTCTGATGTCTCCAGAGAAGGATTGGTTTGAGCTGCTGAAGTGGACCAGCTCCACCAAGGATCCCTCTTCCTTCCTTCCAGGCCTTTTACTACCCCGAAGACGCAGGGCTAGCCTTGGGGGGTCCCGGCTCCTCCAAATATTTGCGCCTGGAAGTCCACTACCATAATCCGCTGCTATTCGAAGGTGAGTGAGTCTGATCTTTGAGGATCAAAAAGAGAATGGAGGGGAGGAAGGGAGGAGAAGAGGGTCCTACAGGGGCTTTCTTCCAGACTGGCCTTGATCAGGAGGAACAAGGCAGCCATCTCGCCATCCATGTTATAGGCTGCCTCTTCCCCTGCCAAGGTGGGCTTGCCTGAATTAAGCCAATAGCCCCTTTCTTGCAGTCTTGCCTCCCTAAAAGCGAAGGAAAGCAGCATCCGACCAGCTTGCAGCTGAGAAAGGGACACACAGTCGCTTTGCAGATCTCCAGAAGGGCCCTGCTCTTCCCTCCCTCCTGTGAAAACTCCCCCATCCTGCTGCCTTTCGCTGGCCTGGGAAGGAGCACCCCCCCCCAGCTAACTCAGTACACTTCCCCCTGTTTGCATTGCCTTGTTTTGACAGCTGGCAGGTTTAAAAAAGGAAGCGGGGAGAACCGCATTTACATAATCAGAGTTGCTGTTCCTTGGCTCTTCAGGATTTGTGCTATTTCTGGGCTGTGCTATTTCGCACCCAGGGCTGGGAGGCCAGGCAGTTCCGGCCAATGGGGGCCTTGCAGTCCTTCCTTTCCATCCATAAGATCCTCTGGACCTTTCTGTGCCTCAACTGAAGGCAGGCCAGGAGCTGTCTCTGGCTGCAGCCCCAGGGCCTCATGGAAAGATGGCGCTATTCTGATGGCCACCACCAGCCCCCAAATCAAGGTTTGCTGGCCTAACCGTAGCAAACCTTCTCCAACGGCTGGCTACTAGTGGTGGGAGAGCTCCCAGCTGATTCCTGCCCCCCCCCCACCAGTTCATGCGCAGGTGAAAGCTTGCCATGAAGCCAAAGCAATGCATCGTGAGGTAGTTGATTCCACTGGTTGATGGCCTTTTACCCTTTCCTCTTCTGGGGAAATCTGGGGTGAAACCCCCAAAGAGAATCTGGGCAGGAAGCTGCTGCTGCCCAAGTGATCTGAACTCTCCATTTAGGTTGGAGGAAGAGTAGTGCCACTCGCCTGCGTGGAAGATGAAAAAAACCGATGTGGCTCCAGAAGCTGAGCTGCTGATCAGATCTGGCAGCTTCCATCGGTTTCATCAGAACCGCTCCTTCCGCTCACCACCTCTGACTCCCCACCTCTGGCAAGCAGTTGGGTAGCAATACCACTCTATAAAGCCTTAGTAAGGCCACACCTAGAATACTGCATCCAGTTTTGCTCACCACACTATAAAAGTCACTATTGAGACTCTAGAAAGAGTGCAGAGAAGAGCAACCAAGAAGATTAGGGGACTGAAAGCTAAAACATACGATGAACGGTTGCAGGAACTGAGCCTGGCTAGCCTAGTGAAGAGAAGGACCAGGGGAGACATGATAGCAGACTTCCAGTATTTATTTATTTATTTATAATTAGACTTCTATACCGCCCTTCTCCCGAAGGACTCAGGGCAGTGTACAGCCGTATTAAAACACATAGATTTACAAAATTTAAAACCAATTAAAATCAAATATATAAAATTTGGCTCAAAAATTAAAACATACATACGTCCCTTATAAAATTCATATTAGACCAATCCGGCTTGCTGGAACAGAAGGGTCTTCAGGGCATGGCAAAAGGTACGCAGGTCGGGGCTAAAACAAAGCTCTAGGGGGAGCTCATTCCAGAGGGCTGGTGCCCCTGCAGAGAAGGCTCTCCCCCTGGGTGTCGCCAGTCGACATTGTTTAGCCGACGGCACCCTGAGGAGCCCCTCTCTGTGGGAGCGTAGGGGCTGCCACAGAGAGGAGGGGATCAAGCTATTTTCCAAAGCACCCGAAGGCCAGACTAGGAATAATGGATGGAAACTGAACAAGGAGGGATTCAACCTGGAAATAAGGAGGAATTTTCTGACACTGAGAACAATCAATCAATGGAACAGAAGTTGTGGGAGCTTCATCACTGGAGGCTTTCAAGAAGAGACTGGACTGCCATCTGTCAGAAATGGTGTAGGGTCTCCTGCTTGGGTGTCAGGGGGGTTGGACTAGATCCACTGGTGGTCCGTGAGAAAATGTTGGTGGTCCGTAGAAAAATTATTTGCATTTTTTATATTGCACTAAATACTATTTATCTTTTTAAAAATATCTTATTAATGGTCCACAGGATTTAAAATTATGAATTTAGTGGTCCCTGAGGTCTGAAAGGTTGAAGACCCCTGGACTAAATTGACCTATAAGGTCCCTGCCAACTCTGTTTCCAATCCAATCCAATCCAATCCAATCCAACCCAACCCAACCCAACCCAACCCAATCCAATCCAATCCCAATCCCAATCCCAATCCCAATCCCAATCCCAATCCCAATCCCATCATCTCTGGGTAGCAATAGTGAGGACTTGAGGTCCTGGCGGAGTTCTCCCTGCCATAGGCCCATCCTAGAACCTAGAACAATGATGGCTAACCTTTTTGCCATCGCGTGCCACGAGAGGGGGGGACGGGGGAGGGTCGCGCATGCACGTGCCCACGCGCATTTGTGCGCAACCCCCTCCCCCTCCCCCCCCCACTCCTGGCATATGATGGCCTGGTAGGCCCGTTTATCTTTCTTACCTGGTTCCAGATCCTCTCTGTGTATCTGGGAACGGCGAAAACAGCCTTTCCCACTCCCTTGGAGGCCCTACGGAGGCTGAAAAGGCCCATTTCCCAACTCCCGGTGGGACAGGAAGTGACATTTTTTGCTGTCCCCAGCCTCCAGAACCTCTCTAGGAGTCTGTAGGAGCCTCTCTAGGAGTCTCTGGAGGCTGGGGACAGGAAAAAAGTCACTTCCTGTCCCACCAGGAGTGGGGAAATGGGCCCTTTGAGACTCCGTAGGGCCTCCAAGGGAGTGGGAAAGGCTGTTTTTGCCGTTCCCAGATACACAGAGAGGATCTGGAGCCAGGTAAGGAAAAAAAACGGGCCTTCCCCACCCACCCCCCAGGCCCTCCAGAGGCAGGAAACAGCCTGTTTCCCTACTTCTGGTGGGCCCAGAAGGCCCGAAAATCAGCTGGCCGGCGCGCGCATGCGCCCCAGAGCTGAGTTGGCGTGCCCACTAATATGGCTCTGCGTGCCACCTGTGGCACGTGTGCCATAGGTTCGCCATCACGGACCTAGAACCTAGGACCTAGAACCAGGTCCTCTCTCCTCTCACCTGGAGGGACTGCTAGATGTCTTGTTGCCGAACCTGGCTACTCTTTCAAGACAAGACCTGCCGGTGGGGTGGGGCAAACTTTCCCTCGACTTTCTACTTCTTGAATCTTGCTCACCCTGGAATGGGTTGAAGAAGGCTTTTCGGGCTTCAAGGAGACCTCTGCACCTACCTTCCCACAGCTGGGGGGCACCGCCTGAAGGAGGAGGTTCCCTTCAACCCAAAGAAACACCCGAATTCAGTCTTTGTTTTCTGGGCAAAAGTTGTGGACCGTGACCCTTTGTCCAAGCATGCCAGAGGTTGGTCTGGCTGTCCCATCCTCAGAGAAGGCACACAGAGCCCCTTTCCTGAAGCGGTGCCTTCAGTGTCCTTCAGAGAATTCGTGGCTGGCCTTGCTTGCACCCTGGAAGGCCCACTCAGTGGGGATTAGGGCTGGGGGACTCCCATAGGGCAGGGAGTCGCCAAAGAACTGGAGGGGCAGATTGTTTGGCACTGCCAGGGCCCAGAAGGGCGCATGCCCTCCCACGCTCCCAGGACAAAAGGGCTGTTGTGATTTCCAGGCCTCAGACAAGAGCAGGATCTCTTCTCAAGAGTCTCTCCCATCCCCAAATACCATGAGAGGCAGATGGCAAACGGGAGTCTGACAGCACCGATGCCAAGGTGGCATTGCTGGGATCATTTATGAGTAGAATGCTTCTTTCCAGGGGGGTCTTCAGCAGCGTTGAAGAGACTGTCCATGCCATCCTGCCAAGCATCAGCAATGGGTTGGGTCGTGCACCTTGGGATTGCGCCCAAAACTTAACTTGACCCCGCTGGACTCTCTGGGGCCTTCCTTAGGAGGAAAGCGGTGCCCATTCTTCAGCAGAAAAGGTCTTTGTGCAATTCTCCCCCTTTGCTTCTTGCCAGGCCGCCGCGACTCCTCCGGGATCCGACTCCATTACACGGCCTCCCTCCGACAGTATGACGCAGGAATCATGGAGCTGGGACTGGTCTACACGCCCGTGATGGCGATTCCCCCTGGCGAAAGCCAATTCTCCCTCACTGGCTACTGCTCGGACAAGTGCACCCAGCTGGTGAGGCCTCTGCCACTCCCTTAGGCTGCTTTCCTGCAGATCTTGGTGCTGGGGAAGGCGTCCCTTCCCTTCTTTTAAAATGGAGAAGCTGCTCTTTGGGGTGGGGGTGGGGACGTGGCCTGCAGCACTTCCAGTAACTACCCTCCCTCCCTCCTTTCTTTCTTTCCTTCCTTCTTTCCTTCTTCCCTTCCCCTTTCTCCTTCCTTCCTTCCTTCCTTCCCTTTCCTTCTTCCCTTCCCCTTTCTCCTTCCTTCCTTCCTTCCTTCCTTCCTTCCTTCCTTCCTTCCTTTTCTTCCTTCCTGTCATTCCTTCCTGACTGAGCTCCTCAGTCAGACTGATTCTGAATGGTGTCCAAATTCCCCAATACAGGAATTGGGTTAAAAAGACCAATTTACATGAAAATGCTGGTCAAGAGCAGAGGAAACCTCCACTCCCTTCCCGTCCACACAGGCAGCAGTGACATCCTCCCCAGCAGACCTGTCCAGTTGCCCCCCATAGCAGAGCCTGGCATTTGAGTGCCCCATTCTCAGCTTATGGTTACCCTAAACATCCAAGGCTCCATTCATGTATCAGTTCCCTCAGCCGCTGTGCCAGGGGATTGACGTGCCTCCTAGGAAGCTATGGTTGTTTCACAAAGGAAACAACCTTTGTAAAATTGGCGGGAGGGGGGGGCAGAGATGAAACTTCATTTCTGATCCTGGATTGCATTCAGTGGATGAGAAGCAAACGGTGGCCAGCCTAACGCTTTCCCAAAGGGCACTCTGAGAAGCTGCACCTGTGCCTTTTCCCCCAGCCCACCCTGGGTCCACCAGGTATGGCATAAGGCAGGGTTCTCACCTGCAGTACCCCTCCCACAGACAGTCCCAGTGTTGGTTTCCTCCTCCCCCCCACCCGGCCCCCTCCCAGGTGAGCACTCCCAGATGAGCACATTCCTTCTCACTTCCTCTTCCTCCTCCTCCTCTCTGCAGGCTTTGCCACCTGCCGGGATTCACATCTTTGCTTCTCAGCTCCACACCCACCTGGCCGGGAGGAGTGTGGTGACCATGCTGTCCCGCGAAGGGAGAGACCGGGAAATTGTCAACAGGGACAGGCACTATAGCCCCCACTTCCAGGTACCCAGGGGAGGGGGGGCTCCAGGAAAGCATTGTGGTCTTCCCTCTCGGTGGCGGATGTGTCTCTTGCTGCAGCCAGTAGAGAAACTCCGCCCCCTCCTGATTAGTAGCGGGGGGGGGGCCACCCCCCCCCCCCAAGAGAAAGCAGCCATTCTGCTGTGCCAAACTCCTCCCCCCATTCTCTGAGCATGGCAGACCGGCCTTTGTCCAGAGAGCTCCCAGGTGCTCCCAGCCTTCCAGGTGCCTGTGTCTCTTTCCTTTGGCCCCAGTGCAGGGCCTTTTCTTGGTCCCAAGGCCAAAGGACGACTGGGGCAGCACCAGGGGTTGCTGCCATGTAGCTGAAAAGCCGTCTTGTGGCTTTTCTGGAGGGGCTGATATACTTCCTCCTTCTTTCCTCTTACCCTGCGGGGGGGGCGGGGGGGCTATATGTGTCCCTCATCCTTCCAAACAGCTTCTGAGCCGAGAAAGGAAAAAGAGACGCAGGTGGGGCCAAGGAGGCCTGGAGGGGAGCAGGCTGGGAAGCCAGGCAGCAAGGAGGGTTGCAGAAAGAAACGTCAGGACAGCAGTGGAAACCAGACCAGGCTTGGGAAGCCTCCCCCCCCCCCATTGATATCTGTTATAAACCAAAATTATAAAGGAACATCAAAAGCCAAAGACCATTTTTGCAGTTGAGCCACGATGGCACAGTGGTTAGAATGCAGTACTGCAGGCTACTTCTGCTGACTGCCAACTGCCTGCAATTTGGCAGTTCAAATCTCACCAGGCTCAAGGATGACTCAGCCTTCCGTCCTTCCAAGGTGGGTAAAATGAGGACCCAGATTGTTGAGGGCCAGAGACTGGCTCTGAAAACCACTTAGAGAGGGCTGTAAAGCACTATGAAGCGGTATATAAGTCTAAGTGCTATTGCTTTGCAAGCAACTCCTGATAGATTAGAGCCCCCACTTGTGCCAGGGGCTCCATGCTGGCCATGGCGATGCCAAAACCCTACAATCAGAGAATTGTGTAGAATCAGGCTCTCCCATGATAGGCTGGGGTCTTTCTCCAAAGTGAAGCCTCCTCCGTCGCTCTGGCTTTGTGGCAAAGCCATGAGCAAAGCACACCAATCTGGTGTGCTTTGGGGACAGATGCTCTGGGAGGGCTTTGGGCTGGGGCTGGAGCTGGAGCTGTGTTTGGGGGCTGTGACGGCTCCTTTCTGTGAGGGCTCCAGGTGGCACTTATGCATCTATCAGTCTGGTGGCCAGAAACATTTTTCTAGGGGGAGGGGGACAGCATTGTGGAATGGCCTCCTGTTGGTGCCCCCCCCCACCTCAAACATGATCTGGCCTCCAGTGAAAGAAAGTGAGGAAGCAGAGCTTTCATGGGTGGGAGGACTTTGGGGAGAGGGGGGATCCAATGCCCTGCATCTGGAGAACAGCTTTTTTGGTTGGTGCTTGTCAAATGCTAAGTATCTTTTAGGATTGTGTCAGGATATCGGTCTGATATTGGTCTTATTTCCTGCCCTTCCCTCTGCACCTTCTTTGCCATTGTGCCCACCCACCCCTTTCTTGCCCCCCCTTTCTCCAGGAAATCCGCATGCTGAAAAAGGAGGTCTCCGTCTACCCGGTAAGCAAGCCCTGCTCTGCTTCGGAGGGGGGGGAACCCTCTGAATCGCCTAAGTAGGAACCAGAATGGGCTCATCAATCATGATTTCATTGAGGGCTGCATCAGGATTGTGGTTGACAATTTGGAAAATGATTGTGCATGGCCCACTCTGGCTCCCTCGTCACTTGTCTGACAAGTCACTTGTGTGATCAAATGCCACTTTTGCTAGTAAGTTGTTTTGTTAGTACTCTGCCGCAAGCAGCCCTCATGAGCTCTGTTTTCACTAGCAGAGGCACCATGGGCTGGTCTTTCACTGTTTCCAGGACTGCCCCACGGGCCAGATCTAAGCACCACATGGGCCGGATCTGGCCCGCAGGCCTTGAGCATGATACCCCTGTTTTAGAGGGTTGTTAAAGTCATCTGGAGGTTTATCTGTATCTTCAGAGTCACCTCAAATGGGTATGGAGCCTTCTTGGAACTGCTGAAAGGACCGTGTTGTAGATTGGAGAGAGATGTTGTTGTATCCCTCCCCCTCTGTTGAGAGAGGGCTGCTCAATTTGGACAGAGATGGCCTCTTCGACCCCTCTTTCAAACCAGGGGTCCTCTCTGTCCCCAGCAGGGACTTTGCTGTCTTCAAACAAGTGGTCTTTGTGTTTTAAATGTGGATGGGCTGGTTTGTTCTCCTATGTTGAGCCATGCGTTTATGAGAATGGAAAAATTTATTAATATAAATCTTTCCATTCCCCACCACCTTCTGAAGCTGAAGAAGCTTCTTGGATGAGAAGCAAAATGTTGTCAAAGAAAAAACAGAAAGTCCAGTTGCCTCTTGAAAAAAATCACCTTTGGGACAACCTTGAGGACAGAGCTTCAGCTGCTTGGTACCCCTTGAGGAGAGCCACAAGGGCAGCCCCATTAGCAGCAGCAGCTGCCACAGCACACAGCTGGTGGCACAGAATTCGTTCCCTGCGTCCCTTAGATGCCCTCCTGTATCTGAACCAAGCCTGCTTTCTGTCGTAGGGCGATGTGCTGAGAACCACCTGCGTGTACAACACAGAAGACAGGAATGAGACGACAGTGGTGAGTTGGGCTGGTGTTAAGTTGGGTGAAGCAAGCCAGGCAGTGAATGACAACAGCTCTGTTTATTAGGGTGAGAACCCAGCAACCGACCTAGGGAAACAGCTCCCTTTATATACCTTGCAGCTGTGGTGGTCAGCCAATCAGCTGAGGGTCAGTTAATTCAAACTGCCCACCAAACAAACCTATTTACATAACACTCCTCCCCTCCCAGAAGTCACCTTGGGTGTTATTTGCATACAAAGTCTTTCAGGTGACCAGGGCGTGTACGTAGCCTGGTCGACCTGCGCAGTTCAGTCGGAGGGGCGGCATCGAGCAGGTCGGAGGGACTCCCTGTTTCTCCCTGCTCCGCCAATGGAACCTCCGAGATCTCCTCGTGGGCAGCGACTTCTTCGGCTGGCGGGAACTCCTTGCTGGGACGGCTCCGGACGCCAGGATCGTCAGCTAAGTCCTCCGCTGCACTTGGGCTTGACTTAGTTTGTTGTTCTGGCTGGTAGTCAGGGAGCGGCTTGTTGAAGTTTTCCTCAGCGTCAGTTGCGATTCACCTTCGCAGTTGGTCTATGTGCCTGCGCCAAACTCTCCCGTTGTCTACCCTGTACGATTTGGGCACCGTAATCGCTGTGATTGTCCCTGCTTCCCAGAGTGGGCCCTTCCCGTAGTTTCTGGTGTGGACTGGAGGCCCTATGGTGAACTCCCTGAGTTTCCTCTCCTCCCCTTTGAAAACCTCGGGGGAATAATTGGGATTTAGCCTATCCAGTACTCGTCGGAGCTTCCTTCCTTCCTTCTGCCGGGCTTCGGCCTGTGCAAGGCATGGAATGCTGGGCTGTTAGGAACCGATCTATCCTTTCCTGCCAGTCTCCGGGGCCTAGGCGTGAGAGGGCCTCCTTGGCCGTTCTTACGACTCTCTACACTGTCCATTACTAGCCGGATGGAACTGACCCCTAACTCTGCTAAATACCCTTCGAACTGTGTGGCCGTGAACTGGGGCCCATTATCTGACACTAAGATGTCCGGTAACCCATGTGTAGTGAATAACTGCCTCAGTTCCCTAATAACTGCGTCGATGGTAGTGGCCTTCATGAGCTTAATTTCCAGCCACTTGGAAAAGGCATCTACTACGACCATGAATGTCTGCCCGTGAAACGGCCCCACGAAATCTATGTGGATTCTGGACCAGGGTCCGTTAGGTCTTTCCCACTCCCTCACTGGTGCCGTTAGTGGATCTGGCCTAGACTCTTGGCAGGGCTGACATCTCCCCACCCACTCGGTAATGTCTGGGTCCATGTTGGGCCACCAGACGTAGCTCCTGGCTAGCCCTTTCATCCGTACAATTCCTGGATGCCCCTCATGCAACAGTGTTAAGACCTTTTCCCTTAGGCACAAGGGAACAACCCGTTCACCCCATAGCAAACACCCTCCTTGCATTGTTAGTTCGTCCCTTTTGCCGGCGTACTGTTTGAATTCCCCGCTCCGTGTCATTTCGGGCCACCCCCTCGTCACCCAACTTGCGACCGTCCGGATCACGTGGTCTTTGTTTGAGGCTCTGGCTACTTCTGCTGATGTGATGGGCCCCAAGTCCAAAATGTCTATCAGCAGGATGGGGATGCCAGGTGTGGGGTTGTCCAGCTTGTCTGGTAGTGGGCAGCGGCTGAGTGCGTCGGCGTTTCCCATGTCCGCCCCTGGTCGATGTACCAGGCGATAGGAGTAGGCTGCGAGGAAGATGGCCCAGCGTGTCATCCTGGGCGATAGGGCTGCCGGTGTGGGTCGGTCTCCCGCAAGGAGACCCAGGAGTGGACGATGATCAGTGATCAGGTCGAAATCCCTCCCGAACAGGTATTCGTGGAACTTCTTGACTCCCGAGATGGCGGCGAGTCATCCCCTCTTTGTCAAGCTGACTGTAATTCCTCTCGGCGCTTGCAAGAGTTCGGGAGTAGTAGGCAATGGGCGCCTCTAGGCCATTCGGGAGTCTATGGCTCAGGACGGCTCCCACGCCGAAAGGGGATGCATCACAGGCTAAAACAAGGGGAAGCGTTGAGTTGTATTGAATCAAAAAACTCTCAGCTGATAGCAATTTCTTGATATTTGCAAACGCCCTGTCCTCGGCCTTCCCCCAGGTCCATGTGGACTTTTTTGCTAACAGTCTGTGTAGGGGTTCAGCCACTGTTGCTTTGTCCCTTAAGAAGATCGCATAAAAGTTAAGCAGTCCCAGGAACGCTTGTAGTTCCACCTTGTCTTTAGGGGTGGGGGCTTCTTGGATTGCCCTGATTTTACTCTCGGTGGGGTGTATGCCGGTGCCATCTACTCGGTACCCCAGGAACTCTACGGAGGGAACAGCGATCATGCATTTGTTGCGTTTGATCTGGAGTCCAGCCTTTCTGAATTTTTCTAACACCATTCTCAGCCTCCCCACCCCCAGTTGTTGCTCGTCTTCCGCCATGATGAGTACATCATCAAAATAGGGGACTACCCTGGGGATTCCTTGCAGTAGCCGCTCCATCGTACTTTGAAAAAGTCCGGGGGCTATGCTGACTCCGAATTGTAGGCGCGTGCACTTGAAGGCGCCTCTATGTGTTACGATAGTCTGTGCTTCCGTGGTAGCGTCGTCTACCGGTAGCTGCTGGTACGCCTGCGCAAGATCTAATTTGGCGAAGATCTTGCCGGGATCCAGGGAATGCAGGAGGTGGTGCACAATTGGGACCGGATAAGCGCTTTGTTGCAGAGCCTTATTAATTGTGCATTTATAATTGGCGCATATGCGCACTGACCCATCCGGTTTCACGGGAGTCACAATTGGGGTTTCCCATTTGGCATGGTCGACTGGCACGAGCACCCCTTGCTTTATTAGCTTGTCCAATTCAATGTCTATTTTGGGCTTTAGGGCGAATGGCACCCTCCTAGGCTTTAAACGGATTGGGGCAACGTTGGGGTCGAGGTTGAATGAAATAGGGGTCCCCACATACTTGCCAAGCCTTTCATTGAACACGTCCTGGAACTCTTGCATCAGGTCATCCCTCAGGGTGCTCTGGATGTTCCTCATTCCGGTGAATCCCATGCCCAGGGCTCGAAACCAGTCCATGCCCAGGAGGCTGGGAAGCTTGCCGCTGACAATGGTGAGAGGGAGCCTCTCGCTGATCTCCCCGTATCGTACTTGGAACTCACCTATTCCCTCGACTGGGATACGGTTCCCTTGGTAGTCCTTAAGCCGGCGTCGCTGTGGTTGGAGCTGCCGCTTGTGTGCGCTGGGAATGGCTTGCTTGAGGTTGGCTCACGACATGATGGATATAGGGGACCCCGTGTCGATCTCCATCTGGCACTCATGACCCTCGATCTCGACCGCGGTGTAGGTCTTCTCGCCGGGTGATGTGCAGGTCTGGCCGATGCAGATGGTGTAGGCCTCGATGTCTTCGACTTTTGCGCCCTTCCGGTTTCCGCCATCTTTATTGGATCTCTGGCATGGCGCCATTTCGGATTGGCTGGTTAGGCCACGTGGTTTGTGGCCCTTCGCTTGCTTGGCTCTGCAGACTCGAGTGATGTGCCCCTTTTTCTCGCAGAACCAGCAGATCATGTCCCGGAACTTGCAGTTCTGCCGAGGGTAGGGGCCTCCGCAGCTGGCGCAGTCGTCTCTGGGTCCCCGTCGGTCTGGTCTGGACTGCTCAGTGCGGTAGACTTCTCCCTCGGACTCCCCTTCGCTCTCGGTTCTCACGACCTCGCGGTGCACGGTCACCGACCTCTGCGCTGTCCGGCCATGGATGGTTCCTTGCAGTCTCTCAGCGGCCTTTACAGACGACTCTTGAGCTCTTGCCTCATCAAGGGCGATGTGCAGGGTCAGGTTTTACCTCACAAGTAGCCTCCGTTGTAGCCGGCCGTCTCTCACTCCGCAGATTAGTTGCTCTAGGAGCATCTCATCGGTATTCGCACTGGTTTGTGGCCTTACGCAGGGTGGCGACGTACTCGCTGATCGACTCGCTGTCCTGCTGTAGCCTCTGCCGGAACTCATAGCGTTGGACGTATTTGGAAGGCGTTGGGGCATAGTGGTCCTTCAGCAGGGTCTGCAGCGTCGACCATGATATGGTGTGGACTGAATTCGGCTCCGCCAGGGCTTCGGCAGTGTCGAACACTCACGGTCCGCAGTGGCTCAGGAACAGGGCCTTCTTCCTTACGTCCGGTAGTCCCTGTAGGTCGTTGGCCACCATGAAGCACTCGAACCGGGACATGTAGGACCCCCACTTCTCCTCCTTGGGGTTGAAAGGCGCTGGCGGGGTGTAGGCAGACATCCTTCGCAATTTTCCCATGCTCCGCTCACTCACCTGGCTGGATTCTGTGGTCAGTTGTTCCGCTTCTCTCTCGGAACGTGATTTCAGCTCTTTTCGGTTGTGGCTTCAGCTCTTTCCTTGGCTGCTGGCCTCAAGATCCCACCTTCATCGCCAATGTTAAGTTGGGTGAATAAGGACACAGCAAGCCAGGCAGTGAATGACAACAGCTCTGTTTATTAGGGTGAGAACCCAGCAACCGACCTAGGGAAACAGCTCCCTTTATATACCTTGCAGCTGTGGTGGTCAGCCAATCAGCTGAGGGTCAGTTAATTCAAACTGCCCGCCAAACAAACCTATTTACATAACAGCTGGAATTTTGTTCTGGGCTACTTTTGCTGCCCTGAGACTCAAGTTAGAAACCAGCGATTGAAGGAAGGCCTGCAGGAGCTCAGAAGAATGACCGTCTGCTCCAGTGGAGCCCCCACTCCCACTGACCTTCCTATTAGGGCAGTGGTTCTCAACCTTCCTAATGCTTTAATACAGTTCCTCATGTTGTGGTGACCCCCAACCATAAAATTATTCCTAAAACCATTGAAAATATGTGTTTTCCTATGGTCTTAGGCGACCCCTGTGAAAGGGTCATTTGACCTCCAAAGGGGTCACGGCCCACAGGTTGAGAACCACTGTATTAGGGAGTCTTCCAACCTTCAGCCTCCAGAGCACCTGAAGGCCCACAACTTCTGAAGGCAACTTCTGTCCCATGGGTTGATTGCTCTCACTATTGTTCTGTCCCCGTCCCCACACACACACAAACAGCCAGCCGGGGGTTAAAGAAGTACTCGGCACACACAAGGTTCTTGGCAGGAACTTGGCAGCAATACGATAACCGTCTGCCAAGTGCTTTACTACAAGAAGAGGGAGTGTTCCTCCACCAGATAACAGCAACGAATACACACAGTTTTTTGAAACAGTCCAGCTCAAACATGAAACCTTCAGCAGATCAAGCGTTGTACAAAGTGACTAGCCAGAAGTTAGCTTTGTCCGTCACAGAGTCTAAATGGCCACCACACTCTCTTATATAGCCTGTGGGGTGTGGTCCAGTGACTCAGCTTAATCCCTGGCACGCCTCCTCATCTGCTGCAAACGTTTATCTTGCCTTCGTTGGCGTGGATCCAGGAATGACTTATCACCCTCATCGCTGTCATTGGAGACACCTGGCTCCTGTTCTCCCTCGGCAGACACCTGAGGCATTGCCAGAGAGGAGGGGCCTGGAGAGGGAGGCCTGGCCGGCTCCTCTCCTTCATGTTTGGAGCCTTCTTCCTCCGATAAGATGGGCTCGGGGGTCGGAGCCACAACAAAATTTCTCCTTTTTTCCAGGTTGAATCTCTCCTTGATCAGTTTCCATCCATTATTCCTTGTCTGGCCTTCGGATGCTTTGGAGAATAGCTTGAGCCCCTCCTCTCTGTGGCAGCCCCTGAAATATTGGAAGATGCTATCATGACTCCCCTGGTCCTCCTCTTCACTAGCCTAGCCAAGCCTTCTTCCTATGTTTAGCCTCCAGTCCCCTAATCATCTTGGTTGGTTTTCTCTGCACTCAACATCTTTTTTATAGTGTGGTGACCAAAACTGGCTGCAGTATTCTAGGTGTGGTCTTACTAAGGCTTAATCTCCCATGATCTTGATTGTCTCCCTCTGTTAATGCAATTTAGGATTGCATTGGCATCCTCTCATTGTCCTTCTCTGGACATCGATTACTTAGTTTGTGTAAGTGATGAAATGTAAAATTTGTTACTACCGGTTCTGTGGGCGTGGCTTGGTGGGAGGGGGGTTAATGTGACTGGGTGGGCGTGGCCAATTTTTTTTTTTTACTTTTAAAAGCATTTTTTCTACAACCTTAAGAGGTTGCAGAAAAAAATGCTTTTAAAAGCCTCTGATGATCCCAGCTGAGCTGCGCGATCAACAAAGGCTTTTTTTTTAACTTTTAAAAGCATTTTTTCAGCTGAAGAGGTTGTAGAAAAAATGCTTTTAAGTTTTTTTTTAAAAAAGCCTCTGATGATTGCATGGCTCAGCTGGGCATGGGGAGGGGGGCAGAGATTTTTGCTACCAGTTCTCCAAAGCACCTGCCACCATCGCTACCAGATCGAGCAATCCGGTCCAAACCATTTCACCCCTGGTTTGTTTTCCTTCTGGTTTTCTGGTGGCCTCTGGAAGAAGGCTGTTCTTCCAGAGGCCACCAGAGCTCTCCTTCCCAACACGGTGAGGTTGAAACAGATGATCTCCAGGATCCTTTCTAGCCCTTACATTTCATGATTTGTATAATATGGTGCCTGGACATGCAGGTATAAAGCAGAATTCAGAAATAGTATCTCAAATTGCACTGGCTCTTTGGTAGCCCGTCACAATGTTATGTGATATTAGAATCAGTGGTGAAATGTAAAATTTGTTTCTACTGGTTCTGTGGGTGGTAATGTGATGGAGTGGGTGTGGCCAACTTTTTTTTTTTACTTTTAAAACCATTTTTTCTACATACAAAAATGGTTTTAAAAACCTCTGATGATCCTAGCTGAGCCGCGCGATCATCAGAGGCTTTTTTTTTAACTTATAAAAGCATTTTTTCGGCCAAAGAGGTTGTAGAAAAAATGCTTTTAAAAGGCTCTGACGATCCCAGATGAATTGCCTGATCGTCAGAGGCTTTTTTTTCTTTTAAAAACATTTTTTTCTACAACCTCTTCAGCTGAAGAGCTTGTAGAAAAAATGCTTTTAAAAGCCTCTGATGATCCCAGCTGAGCCGTGCGATCATCAGAGGTGTTTTTTTTTTAACTTATAAAAGCATTTTTCCGGCCGAAGAAGTTGTAGAAAAAATGCTTTTAAAAATAATTTTAAAAAAGCCTCTGATGATTGCATAGCTCAGCTGGGCATGGGGGGTGGGCAGGGATGTTTGCTACCGGTTCTCTGAACCACCCGCTGCCATCGCTACCAGTTCAAACCAGGAGCATTTCACCCCTGATTAGAATGTTATTAGATTGAAGCAGTTTATAATAGGAAACACTTTGCATAAGCTCCCCACCACCAGACCCCACCACCAGACCCCAACTCGCCGAGGCTGATGAGGGCCTGGAAAAGAGCCCTGGCAGACCTCGGTTCCTGGCGGACCTGGCGGACCTTGGTTCCTCTCTTGCCCTCCTGTCAACCACAGCAGAGCAGATCAAGGCCAGGTCAGCCCCTGAGGCCCCTGGAGTTTGCCAAAAGGCAGGGAGGCCTTTTTGTCCAAGGCCACAGAGATCCCTCAGAAGGGCCGAAGGCCATCTGCCAAACTCAGGTGTTTTTCTGGGAATGTCTAGCAGCTTAAAGCCAAGAGGAAGGCAGCACTGCCAGGAATTGGGAGTGGGCTTCCGTTGTCCAGCTGGCCAATGTTTTTCCCCCCATTGCCGGCCAAACAGGAGAACAAATCCTTATGCTCCCAAGAAGGGAATTTGCATCAACAGGTCCCAGTCCATGGCGCCCATAGTCCCAGCTGTGGGCTGAAAAATGGAGCAGGCAAAATGGAGGCAAATGGGGGCTGGGGCTTGCGGGGGGGGGCTTTCTGTGTGTGTGTGAAATGCTGAGGAGCTTTACTTCCCTTTTCTGCAGGGAGGATTTGGAATCATGGAAGAGATGTGTGTGAACTACGTCCATTACTACCCCCAGACGGAGCTGGAGCTGTGCAAAAGTGCCATCGACCCGGGATACCTGCACCGCTATTTTCAGCTTCTGGACAGGTAAAATGATGCTGAGACAGCAGCAGCAGTCGGGCATCCCAGGTAGGGGATAATAATGTTTTTAAGGTTGGCTCTTTCCTTGGCTCTGCTGCTAAGGACAGAAGGAAGTTGGGGAAGGAATTCCTCAGGATGTCTCTCTGACCGCAGCCCCTCAGGGCAGTGAGGGCTGCCCTGAGGAGCAGCTGGCCTGGAATGGGGCTAGGAGGGTGGCTGCATACAGGTGGGGGCCCTCCTTGCCCTCTTGGCAGCTGGCCAGCAAACCCCCTCCCTGCTTGGCTGGTTGTCTCCTGCTGGAGGCAGTGACGGCTGCAGAGAGGCTCCCCGGGAAATCCTGAGGCTCATTGGAGCAAAGGCTGTTGGTTCTGTGGGGCCCCCAAGGCTTTAGTGCCTAGAGAGGGAACTCGGGTGCCTAGAGAGGGAAGAGGGCCTGCCAAAAAGCAGGAGGAAATGGCCCACCTTCATCCCAGGACTCTTCTCAGAAGGCTGAGGTTAAGCAGGTTACAGACTGAGTCTGATTTGATAAACTTTTTTTGAAGCAGTTGTTAAGCAAATGTTAAACAAATCCATTTTATCCAACAGGCATTATTTGCCCATTCCAGTAAACACTGGAAACCAGCCCAAAATGCCAAAATTCATGGTCGCCTGATTACAGGACACTGCAAACATTCATAAATACAAATCAGTTGTCAAATGCTCAAAACACAGTTGTGGGACTGTGGGGGCGGGAGGGGAGTGTGTGTGCAGCCACACACTCTCCAGGACCAGATTGTAAATAACATTGTGGGTGTGTGTCTCATAACTTTGAACCAGGTTAACTACCGGCGGTAGTTATAATCATACAAATATGCATACCATTAAAAGCAGAGCTGATTGCAAACTAGTAAATAACAACAGCAATAAGACTATTGCTATTGCTGTAATATATTCACAGTGCTTTACAACCCTCTCTAAACAGGGTTAAGAAGAGTCAGCCTCTTGCCCCCAGCAATCTGGGTTCTCATTTTACCCACCTCAGAAGGCTGGAAGACTGAATCAACCTTGAGCTGGTGAGATTCGAACTGCCAAATTGCAGGCAGCTATCAGTCAGCAGAAGTAGCCTGCAGGCTACTGCGCCACCATGGCTACTGTAATAATAGCGAGTGACAACAGAGAAGATAGTCAGGACACAGGATGGCAGGTCTTCTGCATGGTCCCAACCAGCGTGGCTCCCTCTTCGAGTCCCAGAAGACGTGATGCGTGACGGGCTGTCTGTGGAGAACCCAGGAGTGGGTGGCCTCTTCTGCCCTCTCAGTTTGCCAGGCATGGGCCGGGGGCGGGGGGGGGGCATGTCCTAATGCTTCCAACTGTGGTCCAGTGGTGCCGGGAGAAAATCAATAATTGCACTGGAACCAGAGGAGGAATTGTGAGAGGATGGTGTCCAATATCCACTTTATACTTGAAAAACTCCCTATAGACAAATGAGGATGCAACGTAACCCTGGGATTATCCCAAAGGTGCTTTTCAAGAGGCAACTGAACTTTCTGGTTTTGATTCCATCCAGTCAGAGCTGAAGAAGCTTCTTGGATGAGAAGCAAAACGTCTTCAAACAAAAACCAGGAAGGTCAGTTGCCTCTTGAAAAAGCACCTTTGGGATAACCATGACCTGGTTGAGAATCTCCATAGATAACCCTGGAATTTGTTTACTCTGTCTTCCTAGTGTCCATTAAATGGGATTCTCCCATTGATACTTTCCTCCTCTTCCTCCCCCTCATCTTGAAATGCTCCTGTACTCTTTGCTCTTGTTGTTGGGACCCCTCTCTGCTTTCCCATTCCTGATGCACGGAATTTCTCCTCTGGTAGATTCAACGATGAAGACATCTGCACATGCCCAGATGCCTCAGTCACAAGGCAGTTTTCTTCCGTCTCTTGGAACCTGTTCAGCAGAGAAGTCCTGAGAGCCCTTTATGACTCTGCTCCAATTTCCATGCACTGCAATAAATCCTCTGCTGTCCGGTTTCCGGTAGGAAGGACCCTCTGGGAAAATTTGGGGCATCCTTGGGCAAGTTTGGCTGGTGGGCTCTGCTGATCCCTCAGCTCAGGGCTGGATCTGGCCTCTCGTGGAGCCTGGATGGACTCTTTTGACCGGGCTTGTATGGGCTCTTAACTGCCCCTGCTGTGTCCACAAAGTGGGAGTCTCCAAGCCCACAAAATGGGAGCTTGTGAGAGGTGGAGGCTGCTTGGGGTGAAAGGAGAACATTCAGGAGATTGAAACAAGGATCCTTTAAATCTGGAGTTCCTGAGAGGGGATGTGTTTGTGTGGCGCTGAACTATGTCTGCCAAAGTTTCCACTGGGAACTTGTGAACATCCTAGACCAGTGGTCCCCAACCTTTTTATCGCGGCGGACCAATCAGCCTTTGATAATTTTACCGTGGCCCGCTGAGCGCGCGCAGGGGTGGGGGCTTTGGGCCACACGTGCGTACCTGCGCGGGGCTCTCTTCCCTGGAGCCTTTGCGCACGGCCCAGGAGCTTTTGCGCACGGCCCAGGAGCTTTTGCGCACGGCCCAGGAGCCTTTGCGCTGCAGCGTTCATGTCCCCCGGCCGCTGCGCGGCCCGGTGCCAGGTACTCCACGGGGACCACTGTCCTAGACCAAGCTAAGACCAAAACTGTTAGGGCCTTTGAGATGGCAGCTTCTTGCAACCTTCCACGGGACTGGGGGCAGGACGTGATCTCCCTCCCTCCCCTTCCTTCCTTATTAGGATAAGTGCATGTAGCTGTGTGCCTCTGCCGTTTGGCTGCCGCACCTCCCCCATAGCCCCACAGCCATGGTGCAAGCTGTGAACTTGCACCATGGCTTCTGCCTGCCATCCAATTGGCTGGTGGCTAACCGTACCATGCAGCCAAAGGCCCAGGACAAATGGTATCTTGGCAAATGGGCCAGACCTAAGGGCGCGGGGCGGAGGGCCGGAATAAATATGGTGGTTTATATCAGGACATATAAACCATCATATTTACAAACCATTCAAAAGAGGCAACCAAAAAGCTAAGAGGAAAACAAAAAGATCAGGTGTAGGTCTCCAGCAGCCTACACCTACACCAGATAAGCAGGGATTGACACCAAACAATCAGGCAAAAAACAATGCCCTAACCAAGGAACCACCCAGGAGACAATCACACCCCTACCAGCGTTGGCAAGCCTGGACTGGATTAGTCTATGGTGTAGTCTAACCAAGAGAAAAAGTAGGGGTGATGTGATAGCCATCTTCCAATACTTGAGGGCTGCCCCAAAGAAGAGGGGGACAGCTTACTCTCCAAAGCACCTAATGGCAAGATAAGAAGCAACTGGGCTGGTTGCAAGACGCATTTCCCTTGCATGTCCTCATGAGCATCTACGCATTGTCAATCAGGAGCTCTACCTGTGCAGAGAGAGGAAAGGTTGCTGGGTCTTCAGAACTCAGCCAGTGCCCAGTAGACGTTCTCCGGGTTCCAGGGATGTGGTTGGGATGCTTCCAACCTGTAGCTTGCTTGGGTTGGAAGCTTTACTTGGAAAACACAGATGGAATAAACCAAGCATTGACTTATGTCAATGCTTGGTTTATTCCATCTGTGTTTTCCAAGTAAGGTTGGGCATATTGCCAATTGGCCTTGTAGATGGTTGATAGTGTGCACTCCAGACACTTATAGTCTCCATTTTCTCTCTAGGGTGAATGGGAAAAGCAGCCTTTACCGAAAATCACCCAAGTATTGCCCATGTCAGCGCAGGGCCACTGCGAAGATCATAGACCTCTGGGCCCCACCCATGTCAAATTAGAAAAGGCTCAGTGAGACGGAGGCTGCCCTTGGGCCTCTTTCGTCCCTCCCCAGCTCTGCTTTGTTGGTACTTCAGATCTGGAAAGCTTTGTTTGGGGAGGAGAGGAATTGCCATGCCCTCCTTCCAGCGGCTGTGCTCTCTGAGCAGCCAGACAGAAGCCCTGGCAGCCGAGGGAGGGCTCTGATCTGCAGTCAGCTGGATTTCACCTGTCCTGCCTTGGAAATCGTTGGGGAAGCCTGCAGCACCTTAGCCGGAGTGGGAATTGCTCTTGCATATGCTGTAGCCATCTACTATGCATGTGGCATCTTCAGGCATGCCCCCTTCTGGAATGAGTTCCAAAAGGATGTTCTCCTGTGGCTCTGCGATGGAGCATATTCTTGCCCCCCCCGTTCCTCAGTTCCTGCTTGCTGGAATTCCTTCACTCACCTGCAGATGCCTTGGCCAGCCCATCTTCTCCTTCCCTGTTCCTTGGATACTTTGCTTTCCCCTCACAATTGACTCCAGAATCACATTCCAATAAAGGCAGTAATTAAGGTGTCTTCGGTTGTTCAACGTTCATTATTTAATCATCTGGATAACTGGCAAGCACTTTTGAAAGTGGAGAAATAAATTTTAAATGTGGCCCCTAGTAAGAGTGGTGGCTTTGGACCACCCTTCCTCCTGTCCTCCAGAGGGAATGGGACAACTTGCCACAGCAAACTCGCTGCAGCATATTCATTGAAGCCAACTCCCCATGGCCAACTCCCCATAGCCAACTCCTCATGGACAACTTGGTGTAGGACAACTCCCCATGGCCAACTCACTGTGAGATAACTCATTGTGGGACAATTAAATAGAAACAATTCTATTTAATTAGCACTAGCACTTAGAGTGCTTTCCAGCCCTCTCTAAGTGGATTACAGAGTCAGCCTCTTGCCCCCAACAATTTTTGGGTTCTCATTTTACCCACCTCGGAAGGATGGAAGACTGAGCCAACCTTGAGCCTGGTGAGATTCGAACTGCCAAACTGCAGTCAGCAGAAGTAGCCTGCAGTACTGTACTCTAACCACTGTGCCACTGTTGATGCATGATTCTATTCCAGCATTTTTTTTTATATTAATGTGTTAATATAAACCCCAGCTATGGACCCCAAAGAACGCAGCACACACAAAGTCCATTCAAACCTTAGTTTACTAAATAAACCAGTCTTTTACAACAACAGCTGTTAATTAACGGCATTAACAGCCGCCAAGAATTCAAAGAATAATACTAGCTGCACAGGCCGTGTACAGGCCACAACATAATGTAACTCTTGTCCTGCAGTGAGTTGTCCTGTTTCGAGATGGCCATGGCAAGTTGACCGTGGTGAATAGGCCCCCTCCAGAGGGCCCTGGCCAGCCATGACTTTTGCTCTGCCCTGGCTGAACAGAACTGGGGGGGGGGATACATCAGGGCAAGAGAGACTGAAGCCTCTTTTAAGTTCAGAAATTGGATAATCAAGACCCCGAGACTTCCGGCGGTGATGTAGAGTCGTGGCAGCACAGGAGAGAAGCGCTCTCTCTCTGTTGCCGATTTTTTGAGCTTTGGTGCCTTTTTTTGGCAGAGACCGGTCCCAGAAAGATCGGAAATAAAGAGGGGAAGCTTTGGGGGAGGCGAGGAGAGGTGCGATCTCCCGCCGTACCGAGAAGATCCCTCAATCCAGGCTTGGGAAGAAGCCGGCTGGCGCGGTGAGCACAGCCGGCCCGGAGACCCGACGAGCCAATTGAGACCATCGGGAGCAAAGGAGGGAGTACAGTGCAAGATTGCTGAGGCGGAGCAGAAAGCGGAATTAATTTGGATTATCTACTTTGGCGCAAAACCGAGGAGAAAGTTTTTTTCCGGAGGGGCAGCGTGAAGAAGGAAGAACTCAGAGTGTAAATGGGCGGCAACTGGAAAGGCGAGCAAAAAGGAGGGGGATGGAATACAGAGCAGTGAAGAAAGACTAAAAAACATTAAAACAGGGAAGACGAAGGTGAGGAGAAATAGACTTAAACAGTGGAAATTAAAGGAAGAACGGTCATCTTTTGTACCCTCTTTTCTAGCTGCTCTAACGGAAGGAGAGAGGAAGTTTTGGCAAAGTAAGGATTGCATGTAGTGACTGTGCAGATTAGAGATCGCCATATTGAAACCAGAAAAGACTCCAACAGTAGTAAAAGAACTCGGTTTTTTTTCTTTTTCCTTCGCTGAAAATATAGCGAAAAAGGCTAATAAGAACATTGAAAAAACACTGCTCCTACTTACCATTTTATTTAGGCATAGATGAATTAATATTGTTACTTATTGGAATTAATTAAGAAATATTTATCTATTTATCTATTTATTTATTTATTAGTAAATATTTAACAACTTAGAAAAATATTTATAGTATACATAGAGACTTAAAAGTAATTATTAGGATATTAAATTATTATTAACTAATTAATTATTATATACTATTAGAATATTTTCTTTTTCCTGATTTTTATGACCTTTTTGTGATTTTATACAATAAGTAGGATAATTACTGATTACTGAATAATTAACTATTAGATATTAAGAATTGATCAATTGTTTAGTCTTTAATTATATAAGATATACATTTATATATATTCATATCTATATTTGTAGTTAAATTTATATCTTCACTACATTGTTAATGGAATATTGCATTGAGAGAATTAATTATTTAAAGGAATTTATTTAAAGAAAGGTTATTTTCATAAGAAAAAAAAAGAAGAAGAAGAAAGGAAAAGAAAGAAAGAAATTATAGAGAATTTGGATGGTGATTTGGGAGAAAGTTGATAAAATATTGGGGGAACAATATAGGATCTTGAAAGAAATGACCAGCACCACCACAACCACGTTGAAGACAGCCAAGAAAACAACATCAATCTTAGCAGGAACAACGGCTTCCCCAGTGACACAGAAAACTTTGGAGGGAATGTTTGCATCAGATAAGCAACCCAGCACACTGAATATGCCAACAATGCAGGCCACGCTCATAACAATTCAGGAAACTATGGCCAAAATGCAAGAATGCATGACTAGAAATCATGAGCAATCTAGAAAAGATATGGATGAGGTAAAGAGAGAAGTCAAGAACGATATCCAAAAGATTGATGGGAAAATGGACTTAATACAAGAAATCATTCAAAAAAATGACCAAAGGATAAAAGAAATAGAACAAAAAACCGAATTGATGGAAGAAAAATTAGAAGCATTGGATACAGAAATGACAGGATTAAATAAGGAGTTCCTTATTTATTAAGGAGAATACCGTGGCCCAATTAGAAATGGAAAAAGTGGCATTTTCAGAATGTAGTGGAAGACCGGGAGGAAGATCTGACGATGGTAATGGCTGAGATGATAGCAGAGGCACTCCAAAGAGACAAAGACGAAATAATTAATGAATTAGATGAAGTCTACCGAGTCCACACTAACTACGCCCGACAAAACAAAATCCCTCGGGAGGTACATATAAGATTTGTAAGAAGGAAGGTGAGGGACATCGTATACAAGATAACAAAGGACGAACCAATGTATTACAGAAACAAAGAAATAATCACCCTAAAGCAAATACCTAAAAGAATAAGAGACTTGCGAAAAGACTATTGGTTTCTGGCCACGTTACTATACAAAAGATATATACCCTTTAGATGGATAACTCCGGAAGGAATGTTGGTAATGTGGCAGGGAAAGAAAATTAAGGTGGACTCGCAGAGTAAAGCAAGGGAATTATACGATCAAATGATGGGTGTCGAAGCAACAAATGGCAATAAAGAAGAAGGACGGAACATCAAAGGAAAACAGAAAAGAGAACGGGAAAGAACCCCACAACAAGGAGGGAAAGTAGACGAAGGAGAGATTCAGGAAGAAGGAGTGCAAACAAGAGGCAAAAAAAAGGAACAGGAAGAAACAAAGAAGAAACAACAGGAAAGTCAGTAAGAAATGGAACGGACTTTAAAAATTTTATCTGTAAATGTTAATGGACTCAACTCACCATCCAAACGACACCAAATTTACAAAAAAAAATTGAAACAAAAATCAGATATTGTGTGCGTCCAGGAGGCAGCCCCCAGCCTTTGCTCCGTCTCCTCCCCTTTCCAATAGGGGGGCCTTCAGCAAAACTTAGAAACCAGCTTCTTATACATGTGAGCTAAGCAGCTGCTACTTGGGAGGCTCTTATTACCAGCAAAGCCCTGCTTCCTAAATCATTGAGAGCAATTACCGGAGCAACCCAAGTAACAAATCCAAGTTGATGAACCCCCCCAACCCCCCCCCAACCCAAAGTGGCTGCTAGCAAAAGAAGGAAAGGGTTCTGCCCCTCAGATGTAGGCCACTTTAGTTGACCAAATGTCACCCCTCTCATGTGTGGTTGGTTCAGGTTTGAGCTCTTCAGCCAGCCTCTTCTGGCAGGATGTCTTCTGGGCTTCCAAAGTCAGACTTTCACGAGGCCCTCAAAGCTTGGTGGAGAAACAGGACTGGAGATCATTCCTTTCATCTGACTCTGGGCATGAAGGCTTTCATTGCAAGCATAGACCAAACTGATGAATTGCACCTCATGTCATGAATTGACATGAGGAGGCGCCACCCAGATTTTCTCCATATTGTTAGAATACTGCTAGAATACTGAACAGAAGAGCAACAAAGATGATTAGGGGTTTGAGGGCTAAACTGTACAATGAACAGTTGAAGGAACTGGGCATGTCTGCCTTCAGACATGATAGCAGTGTTTCAATATTTGAGGGGCTTTGACCAAAGGACCTGAAAGCAGGACAAGAAGTGACAAGTGGAAGCTTATCAAAGAAAGATCCAACCTAGAACTAAGGAGATAGTATCCCCTTTTCCAGTGATGGCTAACCTTTTCGGCACCAAGTGCACTGAGTGCACACGCACTCATCAGGGCCAGGGATTAAGGTACTTCCTTATTCCTCGCCAGCAAGCGACTCTTCTGGTTACTGCTGCGCATGCGCACACACCCATCAGCTGGCCGGCGCACATGCTCATATTGGAAAATGGAAGACCAGCTCTTCTGGTTTCCGGCACTGCCGCACACACAAAGGCCAGCTGCACATGCACGCCAGAAACCCAGAAGAGGAACGGGCCAAGCGACATGGCTCCGTGTAGCCCTATTCTATACATTTTGTTTTCTTGCCTAAGTGTAAAACCTCATCATTGAATTTCATATTTTTAGATAGGGCCCAGTGTTCAAGTCTGTCAAGATCCTTCTAGATAGGCATCTTGTTGGCTATTCAAGATCTTTTGATAAAATGCTTAAGGAAAAGTGCCAATACGGACTCTGAAAAAAGCTAAATCATGCTCCACTTATGACAATATAGCAAAGACATTATCTTGGGAAATATTTTATTTAAAGCTAGATGCTAACAATCAGTTTGAATTTTAGAAATGTGATACGATTGTCCTTTTTATTATAATTATGTCAGAAGGACCAAGTGGCCCAAAATGGGGACAATCTGAATGGGATACTAGTTAAGCCAGGCTGTTTATGGAATCAATGTGTTTGTGGCATCAAGACTCCCAAAAAAACTCCACCTTTGGGAGCATGTTGGAGACGCACAGCCGGCCTTCCTGGTTAAGTGTTTGAAAGAGGAAATTCACTTTTCTCAACACTCAGCCTCAGGAGTGTGGTGGGCATGAGCCCATTGAGCCACAAATGTTGCCTTGAACTTTCCATGTTCCATTTCATTTAACTGTTCCCTCCTTCCTGTGTGCCCGGTCCACGTTCAACAAATTCAGTAGATCCCTTTGACTCTCTTGTTCTCTGGATCAAAAGGCGATTTGGTGTGGACTTTGGCTGGAAAGGGAACTCCCATTCTCTCCAAAATGTAGTCGCCGCTTTTTATAAACTCGAGGGAGACCTGAGGGGGAAACAAACAAAGCCTGGTCCATCACTCTTGCTCCTGTGAGAAAAGATAGAGAATCCACCCCCCTTCTCTCTACCGTGCTTAAAAGGCATCTAGGTACTGAATTGTCCCACTGGGAAAGCCATCCTGCAGGAACAAGGGGCGGGGAGTGGGGAGTGGGGGATGATCCTACAGGCAAAATTCTGTCTCTTACAAACTCTAGTATTTTTATGTCAAGAAAAATCTTTTTTAAAAAGAGCTGTGATAAGTAATGTCATGTTATTTATTCCAATTGCAGATTGTACCTTTTCTGTATGAGGCAAAAAGATGAGACAGCTCAGAGGAAGGGTCTTTGCTTGGGGGGCCTCATTATCTTTCCTACAAGGGGGGATGCTGCTCAGAGCCCCAGAGCTCTAAAGAGGTCCCAAAGACCAAGCCATAGACACCCCACTCCAAAGTCTGCCTGGCTGTCCTTTTCTCCACTCCTCTCAGAGTCTCCCTCCCAACGGTTCCCATAAATATTCAGCAGCCTCTCTGAAGCCCCCCCCCCCATCTCCTCATTGTTCCCTGATTGCAACCCCCACACACAACTCTTTGTGGACTTTGTGCTTCTGCCCACTGGGGGCTCTGGGGGAGGCAGAAAAGCACCATGGTGGTCTGTGGGGGGAGGGGGGAAGTGCTGCCTTTTGAAGAAATGGCCCCAGCACGGTGCCACTTATGACAGTTTAATTGGGGTTTAGCATCGCCTGAGCGAATAGGATGCTGTCTCTGGGGGCAGGACCCCTCCTGGCAGATCATTGTCAGGGTGAGTTTTGTGGCATATCAGAAATCGGGGAAGGAGGGGGTTGGAGGCTGCTCCTTGGAAACCAAACAGAGGGGGTGGCAGCTTCCAGATCACCTGCCAGGGCATTCAGGACCCGGGCCTCACGAAGCTGCCTTAAGTCCCATGGAAATCTTTCGACTGCACATCAATGTGCCCGTTATTGAACTTAAGGGATTCGGCTTCAACAGGTGGGGTGGGGGGGCTTTGAGAACAGCCAGTTGCAAACAGTGAGTAATCCATGGGGACCATGCCCAGATTCAGAGGTGGCTTCTATGCATGCAGAGAGACCCCGGAGGACCTCAGCAAGTGCAGCTGTGCCCTTTATTCCCTTCTCTTGCAGGAATCTGAGGGAGGGGGAGAGAGAAAGCACCCCATCTTCAAGGCAGAAGAGGGTTCCAGCCCACTGAGGGTCTGAGCCCCTGAATACCGCTGGCTCTCCTTCCAGACCAGGGAGAGGGATGGACACCCAAGAGCCATGTGGGCTTAGGTTAAAACACCCACCTCAGTGCAAACCGTATCTAAAGGTGAAATTACCCAAAAAGCAAAATGCAGGCGAAGTGCTGACCCCAAAGCTCTCTTCTCAGTCCACGGACTTTCCAGGTGTATGGAACCAGCTGTTGCTCCCCCAGAGGGTCAAGGGAGGGGACCCTGCTGTCCCCACCCGCCCTGCTGGATTGGACCAGGGTCATCGCCCCGGACAGAGCCCAGTCCAAGCTCTCTGGGAGACTTTGGATTAATGCTTTGGGGGTCTTTGGATCATGCTGCCAATGGCGGCATGATCTAGGCAAAGGAAATGCAAAGGGTCCAATCCTCTTTCCCTCAGCAGCTCATTTTCGCCAATCTGGATCAAGAAAGGAGCCTTCCGCACCCACAATAGCCTTGGGGGCAGCCCCTGCACAGCCTGGCCCACCGAAATCAAATGAGAACCTTGCTACTCACCGGCCCTCCTTCAGGATCTCGGATGTAGCCATAGGCAATCGTTTTGTTGATAGCGTGTCCAAAGTCCGCCCTTCGGATGTGCCCCACCACCTGGTTGTTGCGCCAAATAGCCTCCAAGCCAAAGAGGGGGACTTTCCTGCAACACAGAGGAAGCCGCTTCTTCAAGAGAGGCCAAGCAGAGGTTGCACCACATCACAGTCACTGCAAATGCAGGAACAGGTCAGCCTGGGGAGCCAGGCTGAATTTAGCACAGACTGCCTTAGTCGGACTGGCCCTTCTGGGCGATAGGCTGCTTTGACAACACCCAGTAGCCAGGCTGGACACACCTGGTCAGCAGCAGGAGCAAGAAGACAGCCAAGGTCAGCTGGGCTGCAAAGCCAGAGGTGCGCGCGAGGGTCTCTGGAGTGCAGAGATGGCAAGGCAGACCTTGACTGAGGCTCAGGTTGGGGAGGGGCTCGGCTTGGGGTGGCTAATTCGCTTCACTGTGGCGGTGGGAATGCCAGATTGCCATTACTTAGCAATTCAGTCAAGAGACATCTTGCGTTTATTCAGCAGCAGAAATTCCACTCCCCACTGTGATTGTAAGTCAAGGACTACCTGTAGCTCTACTCTGAGTCCACCCAAGCTTCTCCAGGACTTTTTAAAGTCCCAGAACAGGACACCAATTCCAGATGGCATCTAACAAAGCGCAAGGGAACCATTGCCACAGGTGCTTCCAACCCCAGGATTCTGGAAGGGAGTGTGAATCATACTGCAGAGTCAGCAGGGAACATTGTCAGAAGACAAATACCGCGAAAAATAATTAATTCGTGATAAAGAACTGTATGAAAGAGATGAATATGGAAAAATGGGAAGATTGGAATAGATTAAAAAGATTAATAGATATAAAATGTATAAGATGTGACCCGATCAACACTGTTCATAAAATACGTATGATGAAAGAAAATTTTTAATAAACTTGTTTACAAAAAAAAAGAAGGTAAATATCGCAACTCAGCAAACTTTAAATGAGGTGCCTCTGAATGGCAAGTTTTGAGATTTCAAAACTGATTGAGATTTCCAAAATTGGCCCTGGACAGATTCGGGGATGTGGCGGCCATGCCTGCACCAACTACTCACTCGTCGATGGTGAAACAGACCAGGCGACGGAAGAGACCAGCGCCTTTCTGGGCTTCAACCGCCTCCCGTCCCAGGAAAGCCACCTCCGACTTCAGCTTGCAGGTGAAGGCCAGGCCGGCTTCCAGGGGACTGTCATCTGAGCGTAGATCTGCATGCCAGTGCCGATAACCTGGTTGGCCCAGAAGAGGCTCTGTGTCAATACTGAATCGCTTCTACTGCCAATTCATCCTCTTGTTCTGCCTGTCCTGCCTGTCACTGACTATTAAAAACAGGTGGAGGGGGAGTGAAACCCAAACCGAGCCAGCTGCTCAAATCAACTATGGAAAGCCAAGGGGCTTTCAAGACCCTCAAGCTTTTTGTGGGAGAGCCAACCCTTAAACACCCAAACCCGGAGGAGCCGTTCATTAGCGATGCAGCAATGGGGGCCATCCTACTCCAAAGAAATGCTGCAACCCTGAGCCTAGACTTCCCGGAAATTGACCGACATTGAAAGGCGTTGGGTAGTGTGGGAAAAAGATGGGTGCTGCTGATTTGGAGGCAATTCCTAGAAGGCAGTAATATTCTGTTCGAACTGAAGAACTTAGAAGCCTTAAGGACCCAAGGAAGTTGTCCCCTAAACAACTTACTCAGCAACAACAGGCTCAGTACTTTAATTGGTTCAATTAAATTGGTTCAATCTTTGATACGGGGGGGGGGGGATTTCTTCGCTGATGCCCCAGTGCTTTTGCACCTGGGAGGAAATGGTTAACTCCATTATCCCCTCCCGGAAACTGACAGGACAGGTCTCAGTGAGGCAGTGGCCGCTAGCTACTCCTCAGCCAGCTGAAGAGGAATGGTTCAAAACCCACAAAACTGATCTGACGATGAGGGAGTGCCTGGCGTGGAAGGGTAAAGACCCTTCACTTGACAAAAAAACCCTCAGTTCTGGTGACCTAAGATAAAGAAAGACATATGTTACATGCAACTGCCTGGTGTGCATGTCCATGAAGCAATTGCCAGGGAAGACTCCTGGGTTGCTACAACCAGTGGCCAACCCAAGCAGACCATGGGAGGAAATCACCATGGATTTCAGTGAAATTGCCAGAGATGGGAGAACTGTAATTTGGACTGTGGTCAACCTGTTCTCCAATCAAGCACACTTCATTGTGTGTCCGAAGCTTCCCTCAGCTCAGAGTTTGGCCAAAATGTTCATGCAGCACTTTACCAGCTGCATGGAGTCCCAAGGTGCATTATTTCAGACCGTGGGGTGCAGTTTACAGCAAAGTTTTGGCAGGAATTTATAAAACTCAGGGGGTTCCATCCGAGTACCAATGGGGTGGAAGAACGAACAAATACAATAGTGGAGCAATACCTCCGTTGCTATGTAAACTATCAGCAAACCAACTAGGCGGAGCTCCTAAGTAAAAGTGGCTTATAATAACTCGGTGCATAGCAGCACCCTTTAAAGTGACCATGAGGGTTGAGTTTGTGCCAATGCCACCATTTCCAAGGGAACCCCCTCCCCTCAGTAACGTTAGCTGAATGGATGGATACCCTGAAAGCTGCTTGGGGAAATCTGCAGAAAGCTCCGAATAAAACCAGGGAATCACAAAAGAAGCAGGCAGATTAGAAAAGCCCCCAGAAGGAATTCAGGATTGATGAGAAATACCTGAAGCTGAACCAACCTTGTAAGAAACTGGAGTACAACAAGTACAGAATTACAGTTACCTAAGGTACTCAAACGAGTCCACCAAGTAGCTTGTTGAAACCCTTAAGGCCTTAAGGAAGGGAAGCTCCTACTCCCGTGTTGATGGGGAGTGGGGAGCACTTTCTCTAAGGGGAAATTACAATGCAATGTTATTTCCCAGTGCAATGGGAAGGATATCCTTCAACTGATGCTGAGTGGGTAGGTGCTTACAAGGTTAGCGCAGACAGGTTAGTAAAAAGGTTCCATGAAAAATACCCTCAGTGGTCGAGGGTAAGGCTAAGACCACCTAAATAACAATAATTAATCTATGCTTAATATTTTCCAGGTGATCTTTTCCTTCAAGGGGCCAGCATGTCAAGATTGAATCGCTTTGCTTCTTTAATGCCTTAATGCTTTTCAACTTGCCAATGAACTGGAAGGGGGAAATGGAATGCCAAGAATGTATGCAGCATGGAAACCATCAAGCACTGCAGGTGCTTGAGAAAGAGAGGGACTGTTCCCATAACAAAAGGATGTCTCATAATTGGACAATGCGATCACCCGGGGTAGGGAGAAGGGGAAGATATTGTTTAACTGGGCAAGCATTTGTGCGGGAAAACCAGAGCTGCTTTTGTTTCTTCAGTATCAACATGGTGTATCCAATAAAGTTTTACTTTTGGGAATTCAATTCTCCTGAGAATTTCTTTTATTTCATAGAAAATAATATTGTTTTGGGTTCACTAGTTGGACAGCTGACACTCTGTTCCTAGAGGGATCCGAAATACCCTCTCCCCTCTGCCCACTGGGGAATCCCAAGGCAAAAGTCAGGATTCATCGGGATGCTTTTGGGGACAGCTCAAAGGAAACCAATCAGGGGTCCCCAGCCACAGAGCTCATCCCCTGCCCCACCCACGCCCAGCCCCCTTGAGAGAGCAGCAGGCAGAAAGGATTTAATCTGGTCCTTGCAAATGGAACTGGGAGCTCTGAATTCTTGACTTCCCCTCCCCCATCTTCATAGGGAGGGAGGGAGGGAGGGAGGAAGGAAGGAAGGAAGGAAGGAAGGAAGGAAGGAAGGAATCTCCACAATTCAGGCCCTGATGTGAAAGGAGGCCAGACGCACCTCCTTGCTCTCTCCTCTATTAATGGAACAAAACCATGACAACAAATTAAATCAGCAATGTGGGCAGTTTTTATCCTTTTTCTTGCATTGCTAATTGCTAGCCTAATTACAGACTGCTGGGATTTGGGGTCCAGTTGGAATGGATTTATTAAGTCATTATGGGATCCCAAGGAGTATGAGGTGAGCACAATTAGGAAATATAGAGGGAGGAGGGAGAAATGCAAGCAGAACTTGAAAAATTGTCTAAAAAATGCAAGTATCTTTTTAAAAGAAGACATGGAGACTTTAAGAGGTTGGATCTGCCAGCTAAAGGGGCCTTTCCCCATTTCTGCCTAGCCTGCCCTCCTAGCATCTTTTTTCTGCCAGACCCGAGGCTGGAAGAGAGATCTCCGAGGAGCAAGGCTACCCAATGGAGCAGGGGCTCATCTTCACCTCTCCGATTCCCTCACTAGACCTAGAGAGGCTGGTCTGGAGCCATCCAGACCGGTGGGAGAGAACTGACTCTGCCCCATAGGTGTTTTTTCAGGAGGCAGCTGGACTTCCTTGTTTTTCTCAGAGAGAAGTTGTTTCACTTCTCTCCAAGAAGCTTCTTCCGCTCTGACTGGATGGTGGGGAATGGAAGGATTTATACTCCTTGCAGACATATTGCATCCTTTGCATCCTTTCAGAGAGTCATTGAGGCTACTTGGAGGTTTATATGTGTCCTCAGAATAACCTGAATGGTGCAAATGGGTGTGGCGCCTTCTTGGAACTATTTATTAAAAGGACTGTGTTGTAGACTGATGTTGTCGTATCCCTCCCCCTCTGTTGAGAGAGGACTGCTCGATTTTGATATAGATGGCCTCTTTCAAATCAACATTCCTCTCCTCTTCCCATCCAGTCAGAACTGAAGAAGCTTCTTGGATGAGAAGTGACACCTCTTCAAAGGAAAGTCCAGTTGCCTCTTGGAAAAAGCACCTTTGAGACAACCAGGACCTAGATGACTGAGAACCATAACTGTGGCCCAAGCACGTGGGGTGGGGTTCCTGGAGATCTGATGCAGGACAGCAATGGGGAAGGCAGACAATCCTCATCTTCTCATCAGCCTGGGCCCCACTGCTCATGAATGGGGGTCTTTGGATGCACAGGGATACTCATGGGGGGGAGTGTTTCTCCAAACCTTTCTCAATGCTGAGGGAGTCGATGGCTCTGTATCCGGCGTTGGCAATGCCGTGCTTGGCCCCGGCTTCCATGACAGCCCGGTAGACTTTCAGGCAATGCTCCCGGGGCACATGCAGCTCCCAGCCCATCTCGCCCACGAAAGACAGCCTCATGGCCCGCACCTGGAGACGGGGAAGAGGCGGTGAGGGGAGGGCGGTAGGTGAAGCCCTGGGCAAACTGCCTCCTGCCCTTCCCCGCCTGCCACCACTTCCAGAAACCTGTTTTACCCACAGCAAAAGTTTTCCCCCCTTCCCCTTTTTTTTTCAATGCGAGCCCCCTCCTCATTTGCAGAGAGCTGCTCAGCTCTGCTCAGAATGACTCCCCTCAGCGTCTTGTCTTGTGCGAAGTGTTTGGCTTCTTAGTTCAGGGGCTTCCGCGCTTGCTAGCTGGTGACCCCAGAAGGCTGGCCATGGAGCCTCAGGCCAGCCATCCCCAGAGGTTGAGGTGTGGCTGCTCTGCTCTCTGACAGGGGAGGACAGAGGACTTTGAAGGCCCTTCTGGGAGCTGCCCCGGCCATGGCCTGGCCTTGCTCTTTTCCCTGGAAAAGGCTGAAAGCAGCACAAGGCATTCAGCACCCGCAGCTCTCTTGTGAATGCTGTCAGGAGGGTGACAGCCGCCGCGCCTGCCTCCATTGTCAGGAACCCAAAATAAACCCTCAACACCTGTCCTCCTTTCCCTCCCCAGCTGCCTCCGGAGCCTCTTCAAAGAGAAGCAACTGGGATTGGGGGAGGGGAGCCTCTCAGCCACTCTCAAGCATTCCTGCTCCCCACTGTGATGGCCTCTGCCCTGCTCCAGGCCATGGAGACCCCCCCTTCCATTTCAGGCCATACCTTGCCCCCACATTCCCGGATACAGCATCAGCAAAGATTCTGCTTTGGAGACCCTGGGATACCCTGAGCCTGGCCTCTGGACTGGACTCCAGGGTTGCTGGCTGTTCACAGAAACCCCTCACCCCCAATGCCAAACCCAGCACTCACAGGGTGGCAGAGCACTCTGAGAAGTGACCAAATGAGGGGACACCCCTCACCCTGTCTTAGCCAAACCAGTCCTAACACCCAAGATTGAAGGGAAGGGGTGGGGGACGACAACTGCAATCTTGTTGTCTTTGGCATCATTGCCCAGTTCAGCTGTAAGAGACAGATGGGACTCTCCCAGCCCATTTTAAACAGATCCCCCCTCCATCCCTTAGAAAGCCCAGACCCCCCTGCTCTGGTAGAAATAAACAGTGCTCTGGTGCTCATTATCCAGGGCTTTTGGTGGGGAGGGGAATAAATCATTTGCCTTCCAGATCACTGGCAGAGAAGGGGCTGCATGAACTTCACCCACCCAGGAAAGCAAACCTGGGTGGGTGCCAGGAGCTCCTGCCTCAGTGGCATCTTTAAGGTCCCGTTTGTAGGGCCTGACAATCAAAGCCCTGACAATCTCAGCTGCTTTCGCTCCTGGTCCAGAAACGGTGGAAATATCTCAGAGGACTGCCCCACCTTCTGGTCCCGAGTCACTCGAGGCCTTGCAGGGCTGCTTCTCCGCAGCCTGCCTCCCTCCCAAGCCCCCTTCCCCATAAATTTCCTTTTAAGGGCCCTTCAAGCACTACAGAAGCACTGCTGTGCTTCCCAGCATGTCCCAGAAGTTCTGCCTTTTTGGCCTGCAGACGGTGCCAACTGAAGCGGGCACCAGGCATCCCCATCAGTGGGTGGCAGCGTTTCAGCCCAGCCATCCACACCCATCCAGAAAGCAGGAAAGCACAAAGCTCCTCATTAGAAGCCTAAGAAGCTGAGGAAGAAATTAAGGTCATCAAAGGGCTTTTGGACCCACCAAACCCTGATCTCCCCTAGGCAGCTTTTTGGGCAGAGCCTAAGAGGGAGGGCCTATCTCTCCTGGCCAGGCCCCCCTTCAGCAGACCCCCTGGTCTGCTCGGATTCATCCTGATGACTGTCAGTGTCCTTTGGCTCTCTGGAGGACTGTGTGCAGGGTGTGATCCCCCCCCCCCCCCGGGTACGGTGAATCTGCTTCTTTCTTCTCTCCACCTTTATATAAAGAACCATCTGATTTTGCCTCTCCTGACCTTTTCTGCTCTAATTGAGGAGGCTGGTGATCTCCTGGGGGCCTCCTTTTCTGGAAGCTTGTCAGACTGACACAGCCTCTCTGCTTCAGCAGCTCGCCCTGAAGGGACAGGAGCCCTCAAAGACCAGCTCCTCCTCCAAGCCCTTCCCACTCTCCTGGCCACCATCTACCCCCCCCCCCCCCCCCCCCCCCCCCCCCTTCCGCCTCTCACACCGGAACTGCAGTGGACCCCCCCCCCCCACCTCCGGCTTTTCCGGGAACTGTCGCTGCACCCTCCCCCCTGGCTGAGCTTCTGAAGTAAACCAGGCCTTGATCTTCCTAACAAGTCTGGGCCATGGTCTCCTCTCAAAAGACTCCGACCCCCCCAAAAAACCTCTTTCCCAGCCTTCATAGGCTTCTCTATTGGTGGTGTCACCCACAGCCTGACAGTAATAACCGGGAGCAGCCAGGAACCCCACCTGAGAGCCTTCCCATCTCCTGCACACCAGCATTTGGGCTGCTGACCCCTGGCCAGGACATGTAGCTGACATGCTGTCAGCTGAGATGTGACCAATGGACTGTGTCCTGTTAACGTTAACCACCATGGAGACTGGCCCATCGTACCTTGCCCATCGTGGAACTATGAGGGGTGGGACACAGTTCTGCCGAGAAGACAGAGTGGAACGGCAGCCAGAAACCTCAGGGGAGGCCGGGGTGGCAACTGTTTCATTGCCACCCTTGAGCTGCCCTTCAGCTGGGGAGAGAGAGCTTCCAACCGGCTGCTTGTCCCAGCTTTGCAGTTTCAAATGATTTTGCACTGAGGCTAATCCAGGCTGTGCTTGATGCGATAGGACTAAATCTGTCCTCAGTGAGCACAAAGCTCCACTCCAGCAGCAGAGCTCAGCTTGGTGGGCCTGCTGGCCACGACTTGCCTGGTCCTCCATCTCTTCCTCTACCAGTCTCGGTGGCTCCAAGGAGGCTCAATGCATTGGAAGCTCCATGGAGGAGCCTGCTTTTGCTACCTCCAGGCAACACAGGTGCTATTTCAGAAAAGGGAGGGGCTTTGGTTGCTGAACATAAAGTGACTGTGATGTTTAAAATCTGCCCTTCTGAAGTGCTTTCCAGGCAATGTAAAGTTGTCAAAGGTGGTCCAAAGATTTCCCCCCCCCCCCCCGCCCCATTCATCTGGCTCTTCCAAAGACAACCCACGGAGATTTTCTCCCCTGCCCCACTCAATCTGACTTGCCCGGCTGGGCCTTTCAGTCCCCTTCACTTTTGATGGTCAGAATGGGACTTTCAGGCCGCACCTCCTTCTCCTCCAGGCTTCCGCCTCTGCCCATTTTAGCTTTCCTCCTCCACTGGCCCTCCCCCAGCCATTTGCCCTGGCCAATGGGCCTCTGCCCTCCCTTGTGCCCTGCTGGCAGAGTCTCCTTGCAGGGGTGCTAAATGTAAGAGCATCCTGGCCCCTGCTCTGCTCCTTGTCTCCTTGTTCATTTCCCATCCTTTTCTGCACTAGGCAGAAACATCTAATACCATGCATTGAATTACACACAAACACACACACACACACACACACACACACACACACACACATCCCTGTACCTTTCCACTGCTCCTGCCAACCAGTAATTTTACTCTGGTTTTTATTCCTTTGGAGTGTGTGACTTAATGGCAGTCTGGACCTGTGCCTGTTACTAGAGGAGAAGCTCATCCCAGGGCTGAAATGCTCCCGGTTCGGACTGGATCGCCCGATCTGGTAGCGATGGCGGCGGGTGGTTCGGAGAACCAGTAGCAAAAATCCCTGCGCCGCCCCCCCCCCCATGCCCAGCTGAGTTGCACGATCATCAGAGACTGTTTATTTTACTTTTAAAAGCATTTTCTCTACAACCTCTTCGGCCAAAAAATGGAGAAATGGCACTTTCTTGCTTTCACCCCCTTTCCTGCCCTGCTCCCCCCACCCCAGAAGGAGCCCCAAGGAAAGCATCTCCTCCTCCCCAGGCCTGCCCAGCCCTGGGAAGACAGGTGGAAGTCCTACCGTATAGCCAGCAGCCTTGGCCAGCTGGTGGGTGGAGAATGGGAAGGCCTCGTTGCTGAGGTCTACATCGAGAACTTCCTGCAGGACAGTCCTGCTACAGAGAGAAGAAGAACCCAATGAACAACCCCACCCCTCACTGCCAGCCCCGAGCCTCCAAACAGGGTCTGGCTCCCTCAGAAACAGAGCATCGCAGCTGCCCCGTGCCAGAGGCCCCCCTCAGCCAGTGCACCAAGAGTCTTCAGTCGCCAAGGCAGCTGCGGCACCAACTCCTGCGGCCACCTTAGTCCCACAAAGCGTCTGGCCAGCTCAGCCCGCCACAGACAATTCACACATCCTGGGACCCCCGTCACAGCCCTCAGATCTGGGCTAAGGCAGGAACGGGATTCTTCACCTGGACCCACAACAGCATAGGGAGTTCTCTCCTCCTGCTTGAGGCTTGGTAGAAGGTTAGATTGCTAACAAATTTTATATCAGGTTGGGCACAGAAACAACTGCAGACAGAAAGCACAAGTGTCTGAAAGCAGAATATTCTGTTTCCTGATTTTGTATCCTGAAACCTTAATTTTATGCTGGACCCCAATTCAGGGGTGAAATCCAGCAGGTTCTAACACAGCGGTTCTCAACCTGGAGGTCATGACCCTTTGGAGGTTAAACAGCCATTTCACAGGGGTCGCCAAAGCCCTCTCTCGCCCCCCCCCCACGCCTTCACTCACCCTCACTCTCTGCTCTGTTGGATCGCTGGCCGTTTTCTTACCCCGCCCACTCCCAATCTATTGCTGCCTCCTGAGTCCCAGCTGATGGCTAGAGGAAAAAAAACTGTTTAAATTCTTGCCGCGGGGCTTCAAAGGGCCGCCCTATAGCCAGCGGTGGGATTCTGCCGCGCCCCTCCGCACCACTATTTATTGCCAATAAATAGTGGTGGGCGAGGGGCGGGCGAGCCAGCAATTTAACAAATGGTTCGGTGTTTTTTGGTAATTTTATTGGCCTGCATAGGCTAATTAGCCCTTGATTAGATCGGCTCCCGACTCTCAGCTGATTTGCTCTGAGCTGTTTTGCTCAGGTCTCTGCTGCTTCTTTGCAAAGAGTGCTGGAGCAATTTTTTTTCCCCCTAGCTATGCTGAAAAAGGAAACTGAAAGTAAAGCAGGCTGTTGGCTTTGTTGTTGCTGCAACATTGGAAAATTAGGCAGGCAGATTTCTTTTCTTTTTCCTCACCAAAAAAGGTAGGTGCAAACAATGGGAAATTTAGGGAAAAAGAGGAGAGTTCAAGATTTTAAAACACAAAAGAAAAAAAGCTCTATTTAACTAGGGAATTGTAATAATTGAGATACTATTAATTGTATATTGTGTTGAAAGCAGAAATGGTTAAGTTGTGGTTTGGAGAAATTATTTGGTTTATTATTATTGGTAAATATAATTAATTGATTTGTAATTGGAAATAATTGGAATATTCATGTTCATATTGATTAATATACAAAAAAGGTAGTTATATAACTAATTGATTTATATTAAAATGTTGAATTTATATTAATATAAATTATATATTATATAATAATATTATATATTATATAATTATATATTAACTGTAATATTACATAATTAACCAATGTGAGGATGGATATAAAAATAGATGACAATGGGAAGGGGTATAATATAGAATAGAAGGGAAAAATTGAATTTGATTAAGATTAGAGATGAGGATGAAGGGTAATATTGGTTTTTTACAAAAATAGATGAGGAATAAATATGGCAAAAAGGAAATATAGAAATTGTAAATTTAATTGAAATGACTAAACACTGTTTAAATTTGTGAACCGGCCAAATACTCTGTTCAAAGAAAATACATTGTATGTTTGTATGTGTGTTTCTAATTATTGTTATTTATTCATATTTGTTCTCTTTTATTCTTTAAAGTTTAACAATTCATTCTTTATCTTAATATCTTTATATTTGTTTGGGGTTGGCTTTCTTCCCTTTCATCTTTTTTATTTATTTCTCCTCAAACCTACCACCTCTCTCTTTTCTTTCCTTCTTACTTTCTCTTCCTCCCCCTCTTCTTCTCCTCCCTACTTCCTCTTCCTTTCTCCTTCTCCTCCTCTCTTCCTCCCTCTCTTACCCTCCCTCCTACTCTAATTTCCCTTCCCTTCCTTCATCCCTCTCTATTGCTGTATCCTTTTATGCATTCATTTATGAGTGCATTTATGCACTCAGAGGGCTGAAAAAGTTATCTCTGACTGGTCCTCACACTTTTGACCAGTCCTCAAACTTACGACTGTCCTCACATTTTACGTTTTTGCCCTATCTTGTCACCATGGTGAAGAGAAGCAGTTGTGAAATGAGTGACACGGTTGTTAAGAATGCTACAATGGGCATAAATGATGACTGGTGCGAAGACCGGTCAAAAGTGCGAGGACCTGTCAGAAATCACTTTTTTCAGCCCTCTGGGTAGTCCTTTTGTGCACAGGGACTACTCAGAGGGCTGAAAAAGTTATTTTTGACTGGTCCTCGCACTTTTGACCAGATCTCGAATTTATGACTATCCTCACATTTTACATTTTTTGCCCTATCTTATCACCATGGTGAAGAGAAGCAGTTGTGAAATGAGTGACATGGTTGTTAAGAATGCTGCATGGGCATAAATGTGAGGATGGTCATAAGTGTGAGGACCAGTCAAAAGTGCGAGGACCTGTCAGAAATGACTTTTTTCAGCCCTCTGAGTAGTCCCTATACACATAGCCATGGCCACCCAGTCATATGACCAGCTAGCCACACCCACCCAGTCACATGACCTCCAAACCACGCCCACAAAATAAGCCACGCCCACAGAACCGGTAGTAAAAAAAATTAGAACCGACCCCTGGTTGGGGGTCACCACAACATGAGGAACTGTATTAAAGGGTCGCGGCACTAGGAAGGTTGAGAACCACTGTTCTAACAGGTTCTGGAAATTTTGAATAGTTCAGAGAACCGGCAAGTAACACCTCTGGCTGGCCCCAGAGTGAGGTGGGAATGGAGATTTTGCAGAATCCTTCCCCTGCCACGCCCACCAAGCCATGCCCACAGAACTGGTAGGGAAAAATTTTGAATTTCACCCCTGCCCCAACTGCATAAGGTCTTCCAATATTTGCCTTTGAAATTGTGTCCTTTCTGCCTTCATAGATGCATTGCTACAAACTTTGATAGATTGATTAACTTCCAAGGGACTAAGGGTTAGGGTTATTATTTAAAAAGAAAAAAAAGAAATGAAACTGACCTCCTGAGGCAGCTTCAGATCCTGCATGAGGTTAGTTTTCAGAGGAAAGTCTCAGGCCAAATGCTCCGGCTTTGAGCAGCTTTCTAAAAATCTCGGCTCTCCCTCTTCCACACCTACACCCGACAAAATATACCCAGAATATCTAGTTGGGGGAGGGGGGGGCAGCATTGGAAGACAAAGCTGATTTGACAATCACACATTATATTTCAAAGCCTCCCACACTTCTAATAAACAGCGCAAGATGAAAACATGGATAGACTGTGAGCTAAGATTGTCTCGGGGATAGGTTGATATTCCGCTTAAGTTTAAGATGGCTGTGAAAGCAAAATATTTGATATTATGAACAGGCCAGCACAGAATGAAAGAGAAAGTGGCGATTTGCTGCTTGTGTTCCCTGGACTCAGATACTGGCCCCCAACATTATCCCACCTGCAAAGACACAAACCGGCTCTTCCCCTTTGCACAAGGAGCACCAACGGTCTGGGAGGCAGCTGTGCAAATCCCCTCCAGGTTGACAAGCAAAAGCAGAGCCCTCCAAGAGCAGTTTTCAAAGCCAGGAAGCAAAGAGTCTACCAGGAGAAGCCAATCTGGACTGGGAAGGAGCTGAGGCCAGGACGAGCTTCTCTGCTCGTGGGCCTATCTGGGAGGGACTGGAGGTCAACTGGCAGAAGAAGGAAGCTGATCTCTGTAGCAAGCAATACTCATCCTGGCATGGCCAGCCTAGGCACTCTGCCAGGTGGGCAGGGAGAAGGAGGAGGAAAGACTGCCCCTTTGGCACCCCTGGGCCTCAGTCCCATTGAACGCTATGATCGAGAGACTGAGCTCTTGGGGAAAAGAAAGGTGACCCCTTCTGCATTGGATCAAACACCGAGACTCACCTGGCGGGGCCTTGAATGCTGATCATGCCCAGCTGTTCCGACTGGTCGATCAACTGGCACTGAAAATGCTTCTCCTGCAGCACCGTCCCAATGTGTGACCAGTTATACTGGGCAGCAGCACCCCCAATAGCCAGGTAGTAGCCATCCCCTAAAAAGGATGAAAGTCACGTTGGCAAGTACAGCAGCCCCCGGATGCTGTGGGTTGCGGTGCCAGCTAGCCAAAGGGAAAGGGGGTTCACAGAGCCCTGCAGGCAGGGGATGTTCACATTGCTCTGTTGCTGATTGGCTGAATTCATCCCCACAACTCAGGAGACTCCACAGTTTACAAGTGAACTGATGCTGTGCTGACAACTGCACAACATCCTTAAATCTTGGATGTTGTGCAGTTGTATCGACAATATCCCGATCTCCACTTTTAGATCAGGGGACCTGGCAGACCCTCTGCTGCCCCAGTTCTGAGGCCCCAGAAGCAGAGCTGAATCTCTGCCAAAAGCAAAACAAACCCTTTCCTGGGACCAGACAATCCAAATTTTGCATTTAATGACAATGTGTTATAAAGTCACCTTCCTTTGACCAAGATGGCATCCTGCTGACCTTCCACCTGCCAGAAATTGAACTACTGCAATGTACTCTACATGAGGTTGCCCTTGAAGAGAACCCAGGAACTTCAGCTGGGAGAGAATGCAGTGGTGCAAGCAGTTATGGGTGCTCTTAGAGCAGCACACATTATACTTCTGCTCCGCAATCTGAGTTAGTCACCAGTTTGTTTCTGGTCCAATTCAAGGTGCTGATTTGACCTTTAAAACTTTGCACCGCAGGGGACAGGGATGCCTCTGCCTGGTTGCATTCGCCCAGCTGATGGATCGGGCAGAGTTGCAGATGCCATCTGCCATGGCCCTTCTTTGCCATGGTGCTCACCACATGGAATATCCTTTCCTCAGACTGGCTCCACTCTTTTTCGGTGTATCTATCAGGTTCTGGGTATGTTGTCAGGCCTGGGGCTACCTTGTTGAGGGGCCATTTTTATCCTGGGGTTTGCATTTTTGCTTTTGTGATATCTATGTTACTGTTCGCCACCCAGAGTCATCTTTGGTGACTATATCACCACTGCGGTGGTGCAGTGGTTAGAGTGCCGGCTGCCAGCAATTTGGCAGTTTGAATCTCAGCAGGCTCAAGGTTGACTCAGCCTTCCATCCTTCTGAGGTGGTTAAAATGAGGAGCCAGATTGTTGGGGGCAAGAGGCTGACTCTGTAAACCACTTAGAGAGGGCTGTAAAAACACTGTGAAGCGGTATATAAGTCTAAGTGCTATTGCTACTGTATTTATCTCTATGTCTGTCTATTGGTTTATCATCCATCCATCCTCTATTATCTATCTATCTATCATCTATCTATCTATCTATCTATCATCTATCTATCATCTATCTATCATCATCTGTGGTGTTGCAGTGGTTAGAATGCAGTACTGCAGGTTAACTCTGCTGACTGCCAGCCGTTCAATTCTCACCTGATCAAGACGGACGGATGGAAGGAAGGAAGGAAGGAAGGAAGGAAGGAAGGAAGGAAGGAAGGAAGGGCCATAGTGTCGGATGGAATGCAGTATTGCAGCCTAATTCTGCTCACTGCCAGTCAGTTTGATCCTGACTGACTCAGCCTTCCGTACTTCCGAGGTCAGTAAAATAAGGATCCAGATTCTTGGGGGCAAGAGGCTGACTCTGTAAACTGCTTACAGTAAAGCACTGTAAAGCAGTCTATAAGTCTAAGTGCTACTCCTATATCAATTGAATTGAAAAATAAATAACTGTGGCTACACCAAGCCCTTCAGTTTTTTCAATCAGCCCAAAGTGACTCGGTGTTGCCACAAAACAGGACAATAAAACCAGAAATGGAAGCACTCCACCCAGCACTTCTGGAGGCCCCTCCCTTTAGCAAGGGCGCAAGGTGGAAAACACAGACCAGGGCCCTGAAGGCACAGGAGCAAAAGGGGGAAAACACAGACCGTGGCCCGGCCCTCTCCTCCTCTTCCTCAGCCTGGCCAGCATCAGTTGATGGCCCAAATGCTGCTTCTCGCCTGCCCCCCAAACCCCAGAAGTGCTGGGAGGAGCCAGCATCTCTTCTCTTGTGCTTCACCTGATAATTGGCCCTAATGAAACCCAGGAGCCGAAAACATAGACACTGCTCTAATTGCCTGTCAAGCGGAAGCCTCTCTGGGCTGGCAGCTCCTGTACCCAAAATAATGGCTTGGCAGAATCTGGCTCTGGAGGGCTAATCAGCTCCCTTTCTTCGACATGTCAATCTCAGGCAGAGATTGTCAGATTACCTGGTTCAAACCTTGCAGAACCTGCTAGGAGCAGAACAAGCCGAAGCTGCAAAAAAAAAGAAAAAAAGAAAGAAAGAAAACAGCTAGAAGTCTCTGTCAGGGCAAACTGGGGGCTCTGGGAAAAAGGATGAGAGGTCTTCTTCCGACCTGCCACGTCCCTTGTTTGCCTGCCCCAGGGCTGTAGCCTCCAATTCTCTCCTCCAAGGCTCAGGAAGAACTTCCCCTAGGATTGTGGATGGTCAGCCCTGTGAGGTAGGCAAGGTCAGGGGTCCCTAGGAGTCTGCAAAAGCGCAGAAACTGTAACTAAATCTTGAGAGCCTGTTGGAGCCCCTCTCTGGAGTCCTTCTGTAGGAAGTTAGCGCCCACCCCTTTCCTAGAAGAATGAAATATTTTAGGAAATATTAAAAAAGGCAGAATATTATATTTCTCTGGTTGTGAAATGGAGAAGTATGTTTTAAAGATGAAACAGCTCCCACCTTCCTGCCCCCATCCTTTGTCAATGGGCCAGAGGCAGAAACTCAATTCCCTCCCATCTTTGTATTGACAAAGATCATCATCTGGACCATCATCTGCAACACAATAGGACCCATCTAGCAACAGAAACTCACCACATGGCACCTGGGAAGATTACATCAGCCAGCAAGGCTAGCTAAGACCCCTGGGAGTCTGACAACCAATCAGGATACTCTTCCTGGGTCCCAGGAAGTTCAAAGCCAGAGAGGGCATCAAGGCACACTCAGCATCTCACCCCTTTTTCTGTTCAGGAACTCAAACCGTGTGATTCTGTCCACCATTAAACCATCTTTCCAAGCAGTCTCCATGTTTCCAGTGTCTTTTTCCCCACTTGGAGCTGAACCCAGAAGGAAATTTCTTCTTACCCTTCAATTCACACTGAGCAACACCAGGCTCCCTCCTTTCCCAAGACTCCGGCACCCTTCCTGCAAAGGTTCTTTATTCCCTTCCACATCTCCAAGCTCCATCATAAGCTCAGTGCCTCAGAAAGCATTTTTAGCAGTTTAGGCCACCGCACCACTCAAAGGTCCACAACAAGTTGATCTCTCAAAATAGCAGAAGGCCTTTTTGCCCAGCTAAAGAAAGATGGTAATTTTGTGGCTTGTCTTCACTACTTTTTCCTTTCCTGCTACTTTAGGTGTGTGTATAGATGGAGCATGTTGGGGGAGGGGGGCTGTCTGTGGGAAGGTAAATGAAATGGTTACCAGACCAGGGAGGATTCTGCCCCCAGAGACGCCAAGCCCATGCCGCAGAAAGCACGAAGGGAGCCTCCCTCCTTGATTTGGGCTAGAGAGGAGTCGGGGCCAGTCCCCTTAGCACCTCCAGAGGTGCCTGTTTGGGGAGACCCATCCCAGAAATTTCACCAGGGGAAGAAACCCAGCTTCTGGTCACAACCAGGGCATCAGCCCAGCAAATACATTTCAATTCAGGGGAAATGGGGAGGGTCCATCACCTTCAAAGTCAGGTGCCAGGGCTGAGTCTCGGGGCCCCGGGTTGATCGGACTAACTGTCAAATCACTTTCCACTCCCCCATCTTTGTTCAGCATGCAGGTGTAAACGGTGGTCCCTGGGGAAAGAGAATCAGGCCCCCATCAAGCTTCGGGGATGGAGGGGAAGGAAACTGCCCGGATCCCCCCATCAAGCTGCAACCTTTCCCTATGACTTCCTTACAGCACCAAGTCCGTGGCATTGGTGTCACCCGATAGGCAGCATTAAAGTCTTGCCCGCTCTTCCTGCCAGCAGCAACCATGGCGATCTCGAGGTCCATCAAATTTAGCCCTCTTGGCCAGCCGTGCCATCGAAGGTGCAGTTAGGTTTTGCAGAGGCTGCCCTCTTGGGTCCCTGGCACCAGGCTCTGAGGCCACCTCATCCTCCCCGCCTCCCAGGAAGAAGCAAGGAGGGGCCAGGCTGTGAAAAGCCGCCACCTCCTGCAGGCCAGACACACCGGCTCCGTTTAGAAGCCCCCTCAAGATGCCAAACCCTGTCTGTTCAGCATGGTCCATCCCGCTTTCAAAACTGTGCCAATCTGTTGGAAACACCTGTGAAGATGCCCATGTTGAAAAGCTGCAGGCCCATGTGTTGACAAAGGGCAAATGGCCCATGGCAAAGGGGTCACCCTAGGACCGGAAAGGGTCCTAGGGTTCCAAGTCCACCTGAGAGCACAGAAGCAGCCTGGCCGCTCCTTCCTCCTACTGTAAAAGGTTTTGCAGAGCCCTCTCCTTATCAGGAGGACTGAAGGAGCAGCATTGGCATAGAGGGCCAATTCCTTAGGGGTCAAACTGCAGATCCAGAGCTGGGGCAGGCCGGGTCCAGCCGGCCCCAGACAATCCTTGGTCTGTGTCCAGGGTCCTTTTGAAAATGGGCAACTCAAGCGCCCTGCCGATGCTGGTATCAGGGCCAGCCCTGGCTGGCTGAGCTCAAGGGGGTGGGGGGGGGGCTCGCCTCCTGCATGGAGCATGGAAAGTGGCCCCAAGGAGGATTTACAGGACAATACCCATGAGCCCTCTTCCGTGAAGACTCAGCCCAAGGCGCTGGTTTCAGGGTCTGGGGAGGAAGAGAACCTACCTGGGGGCTTGTGAACATCAGCCGTGAAGAGCCAGTTGGCTGCCTTCCTGGCATCCGGACCCACCAGGTAGAATTTGCCAAAGTAAGACATGTCAAAGACAGCGAGAGCATTTCGGCAGCTCAAACATTCCTTCCTGATCTGAAAATGTAGACACCACCAGGGTGGCAAGGGGCCAGACAAAGACCTCCCCGTTTGTGTTTCCTTTCCAAAATCTCATCCAAGGCTTCTCTGCTCCTGCATCCCTCACTGAGAGCTGGGTCGTTTGGCAGAATTGTTCCCATTAAGACCCTCCACAGGAAGCCACGTCCAGCCCAGCGTGAAAACAGCTGGGCAAGGCAGGGTTCTCACCCTCTCTTTGGCAGCAGTCAACTGGAATCTTGACTGGCATCTTGGGTGGGGGGCACAGAGGGCCTTCATCTCCTCGAGTCTGCCTTGCCCACCTGGTGAATGCCCTGACCCCTTCTACTCACAGTGCTATGATGAGGAGGGAAGTCGAAGGTGTACTCCTCGGAGAGCAGCTGGCGGTAGGCATCCTCCTCACGGGACGGGTGGCCGTAAGCCCCATAATAGTTGTAGTCCAGCACCTGGATTGGCACATGAACAGCAGGCCTCAGCCCCCGCCCCCCTGCAGAGACGCCCTGGGGAGACGGGTGAAAGCTGGACATTGTGCTGCAGATGGGGGTGGGGTTGTAGGGAAATCAAGGGGGGGCCTTGGCCTGACTGAGCCAAGGGAGGGGGGAGGGAGGAGCTGGTGCTTGGAGTGGACATGGGTCCAGGATATGGGTTTATAAGGAGAAGCATGGGAAGAAGGGCTACCAACCGCTGGGTGGGTTTATCCAAAATGGTCCAAAGGTCCAGTATAGAAGAGGACAACTGCCCCTGCTGCATGACCCAGAAGGCTTGAGCAGATAAAGCCTTGCCAGGCCCTCAGGGTAGCTACCGGCCACAGGCATCTGGCTCTCCCCGCTGCTGCAGCCGCCTCCCCTTTGCTTGGCCAGAGCAGACCCGCCTTCTCCATCCTTGGGCCATTCAAGGAGAGACTTGAATGGAGGCTTCTGAAGACCTCGAATGATCCTGAAGGGAAAGCAGGTCCCCTCCCCAGCCTTGCAAGAGACTCGCCCAAGGCTTACCGGTGCTTTGCTCACCGGGTTGAACCAGCCTGGCCTCTCCCACCCGTGTCGCTCCTGGAAGACGCAGCCCTGAAGCAGCAGTTCCTGCATGCAGAGAGGAAAGCAGGGTGAGCACCTGGGGAAGCATCCACACTCCTCCGAGAAGGAAGCTGGGAAAATTCACACCCGAAGCCTCTTATGGGACCAGCCTCCATCATCTGCTCCACAAACAGCACCTCTCCCTGGCCCTGGGTTCAGTTCTCTGCTGCATCCCACACTTTGGTTGCAGCCAATTGGAGGTCTGGCCCCAAGACAGAGCTCCCCAGAGAAGGAGGATTCTCTAGGACTTGGGGTGGCTCTGCTCCCGCATCCCTCCAGCCCTTGCGGGGGGCATCCTTGGCCTCAGCCACTGGCTCCCCCACTATGCAGGGGAAGATTCTCTGCAGAGGCCAGGCACCCAAGGCTCCCCACACAGACCACTTCCAAGCTTCAATGGGCCTGCGTGATTCAGGCTACGGCAGAAGGACCAGGCGGTGGGTCATGTGGGTGGCCACCCATTCTCTTTGCTGCTCTGGGAAACCCGAGGGCTGCCCCTAGAGTGTCCCAGGCGCCTGGCTGGGGAAGATGAGGTGTTTCCCAGAGACAGAACCAAAATGGCTCCCTTTGCAAGGCCCTCCTAGGCTGGTAAAAGCAGGAATGCCCAGAACTGAGCCATAGACAGAGGAGACCAAACTCTGGCACATTTTCTGCAAAGTTTGAGGGATGTGCATGAGAAACAAAGGGGCAGGAACAGGTTGTTGTGGGGTAAATGAACTGGGATGCAGGAAGGCATCATGGAGGGGACCCAAATGCTGAGTCGTTCATCTGCCAACCTCCCATAAGCAGTAAGCTGTGGGCATCTGGGGTAGTTGCCTTGGCAATGGGATTTCCCCCTTTTGCAAAAACCTAGGAGCAACCTACTGAAGGGGGGAGGGATAGAAATGCTTATGGAGATCTCCTTGCTGTGGCTCAGCTGATCCTGTCCAGAAGAGCTCTGCATTCTTCTGCTGCCCCACATTTTGCTCTGGTGCCCCAGAAACGGAGCCTTCCCCCTAATGTCAATCCAGGCTCTTCAGGGCTGATGGGGGGAAGGGGACTAAAGGCCTGGGCTGCCAGACAAGAGGGCATGGGAAGAATGCCTCAGGGCTCTGTGGCTAGCAGCGATATCAGGCCAACTAGCCATTATATTTTGCCTGAGGCATGTGAGGGGGGGCAAAGGGTCTGCAATGCACCCAGCAGCTCCGGCTTCACCTCATGCAGAGGGTCCTTCCTCAAGTTACGCCCGGCCAGTGGCTCATCGTAGGGGAACACGATGGAGTAGTTCTTGGCGTAGGACTCATGGCTCCTCTCTCGGATCCAGCGATGGTTGCCCGTGAGGAAGCGGTGAAACCTCCTGAAAAGCGAGGTGGACCTCATCACCACAGTTGGAGGCGGGGGGACAGCCAGTGCCTGGGATCCTTCAGGGGAAGCAGTTGGACAAGGAGTCCCGGCGGATGCCTTGGGGACCAAGAATCACATCCACAGGACCCTCTGGCAGCTGGATCTCTGGGGAAGCAGGGGCTTATCAGAGGCCAGAGGGAAAGAGGGCTGGGATCTGACAGGAACAGATTTGAATGGCTTAATGTCCATTAACTGCCCCTGCTGAGCTGGAAGAACAAACAGCTGTTGCTACCACCGCAAAAGAACGTGGGAAAGTTCGAGAAAGACCCCACTAAGTCAGGATCCCAATCTCTCCTTCATCCCCAATGGTTTTGGAAAGGTTGGGGCTGCTCCGTGAAATCTGGTGGCCTTTGGAAAACCAGATCCGGATTTTGCTCAGCTCCCATCACCCTCTTGGCGCACTGCATCTCTGAGAAGAAACGGAGTAAGAGCCACTTGGGGTTCATCCTGCCAACTGATCTCCCAGAACTCCAGCGGATCCCATGTTCAGAAGGACAGATTACAGGGCAACACCCTGTGATTTCCGCGGCTAAAGTGTCCGTTTCAGGGCCCCCTCCACTCCACACATCAAGGGCTCGGTACTTCCTCCCACTGGCTGCAGTCTACTCAAGAGTTCCCCAGCTGTAGCCCGCTCCCAGTGCAGCAAGAGCATTGGCTTGACAGGAGAACCACAAGGAGCTGCTGCTCACCTAATGTCATAGCTGAACATGTCCTTCTCCGGATGTCCATGGACAATCCAGTGGGCCAGTTCCTTCCCACAGCCTCCTCCAAGCATCATTCCTGTGGAAAGGGAAGACCAGAAGTCAGAGGGTGCACAAAGATGCTCCTTTATAAAATGCACCATCTACCGATTCTTTGCTGTTAAATCAGGGCTGCTTCTTTTGCTGGACAACTCTGGTTGCCATAGACAACCGGATTTCTGCTTTCTTACACATGGAAGAAAACTATTTTCTGACAAATCTTGCAGGGTCCTCACTCACTTATTGGCTCGGAATGGCCCTTCCAGCTTGCAAATTTATTTAAATGTGACCTTAAGAGGAGGCAGCTATTCACTCCAGGCTACATGACAATCTGAAGAATTAGAAGCTGCAGGAGATAAAATTAACCAGAAGCTCAAATAAGGGCTGAAGAAAGCAGAGGAGACCCCCGTGGATAAACACCAAAACTTGCTCCTCAATGCCAGGGAAAACCTATCTTGAACCCTTCACCTCCTCTGAGTGTGGGGCAGGAAGCAATGGTGGTAGGAGCAACTTGGAGAGGCAAGACAAATGGCCAAGGGCAGATGTTGCTTCTGCACACAGCAAGGCCTTTGGAAATGAGGGGGGGTTGGGGGTTTCTCCCAAATTCTCTGGCAGGGTGAGGGTGCTGGGTTGGGCAAGATTTTTGCATCAGGAGCAGCTCTGGCCTCTGGGTCACCCACAAGGCTGTGGATTGGGGTGGGATGACCAATGGGGCTCCGTTGACCAACTATGCACATTTATTTAACTGGGGTGTTTTTCTGCTGCTGTGTTTATGGTGCTCTCTCCTACCACGCTCTTCTGGGATGTGAAAACCACATGCAAAACACTCTTCCACATCCTCTCCAACACACACCCCCAGCAAATCTCACTAGGACTCAACAGCTCTCCTCCAGATGAAGTTGGGGTTGTGCTTTTGGGGAGCCTTTGAAACATTGTTCCCCCCTCTGTCTACTCTTTCCCCAACCAGAGTGTCCTGGGCCCATGGCTTGGTCCAAGGGCAACCCCTGGCCAGCCCCCTCTTCTTATGGACTTGGGCAGCCAGGCAGCTGCGCATTTCCCCAACTGTCCTGTCTGGGAAGGCTGCAAGGGTGACTTTAGGGCTTGCTCCTTACCAGCACTGTTGAAGCCACATCCCAGGAAAAAGCCACGGACTTCTGGAGCTTCCCCTAGGAGAGGTTTATGGTCTGCAGTGAAGGATTCTGTGGCAGGGAAGAAGAGAGAGAGAAAGAGAGAGGATTAAATGTGGCACAGCAATTCTGGCTTTAATCCTGTGCACTAATGCTGCAACTTTAGATATGGTATGTGCACCAAGAGTCAGATCCACGTCAAGAAGTGCAGAGTACTCTAATTCCTGGGTCTCTCTCTCCCCCCCCCTCTCTCTCTCTCACACACACACACACACAGCAGATACAGACATGGATTTTTCTGTGGAAAGATCATGCCATAGACCACTGCACAAGGAAAGTGCAGAAGAGGAAATAGTGGGGGGTGGGAGAAGAGGGGGTGTCTGTGTGTGTGAGAGAGAGAGAGAGAAAGAGAGAGAAGTTAGAGAAAGAAGAGAGGGAGGAGTGAGAGGAGAGGGAGGGATAGGAGAGAGAGAGAAAAGGGAAAGAGAAGAGTGAGTGAGAGAGAAAGAAAGAAGACAGAGAGAGAGGATAGAAAGAGAACAGAGAGAGAGAGGGAGGGAGGGAGAGGGAGCGAAGAATAAGAGAAAGAACAGAGAGAGGAAGGAGAGGGGAGGGAGATAGGAGAGAGAGAAAAGGGGGAGAGAGAGGAGAAAGGAGAGAGAGGGAGGGAGGAGAGACAGAAAAAAGAGAAGCAGCAGCCCACCTGCAGCTCCCACTGCTGACCATGAGGCTGCAGATAAAAGTTGGTGGCCACTTCATCCACCCCAAATGTTCTGGACCTCACCCTGCCTCAAAAAAAGAAGTCTCCTTGAGAATCCTTGGCAAAAACCTCCCCTAATTGAGCTGAAAATACTTGACGGAGTTAAGTTCATATTTTTAAAAACTGTCTCCAAAACCGTCATCTCTTTCTTACTTAACCCACACATTCCAAGAAAGTACCGTTTTGCATTTTTTCCCCTTCAGCTTAATATTTATTTCATTATGACTAATAGAGGAAAGTAAGAGGCTTAAAAGAGCTGATTCAGTTTCTGCCTGTAAAGTCTATTTATTAGTTTGGGGATTGAACTATGAGAAAAGGTGAGCTATAAATATTCTAACTACATTCAACTTCTCTGGCTCAGCTCAGTTCGGCACAGGAGACTTTCTTCCTCCTTGTTGACATCTGGAAGGGCAGCTGTCAGGTAACCAAAAGCAGCAACTTGGGTGGATTTCATACCTCCCTTCAGAACCTTCTAGAATTCCAGAACAGCTCAAGGGGGAAGCCCCTCCCCAGAAATACCATTTGGCCAAGTGATGGTTCCTCCTCTTCCTCCTGGTGACCCATAGAGATCTACGACCAGAGGATGGCCTCATCCCCATCAAGTGATCGAAGACCCTCGTCAGTAATAGCAATAGCACTTAGACTTATATACTGCTTTACAGTGCCTTACAGCCTTCTCTAAGTGGTTTACCGAGTCAGCATATTGCCCTCAACAATCTGGGTCCTCATTTTACCCACCTTGAAAGGACAGAACTGAGTCAACCTTGAGCCAGTCAGGAGCAAACTCCCGGCCGGAAGCAGAATTAGGCTGCAATACTGCATTCCAACCACTCTGACAATACGGCCCTTCCTTCCTTCCTTCCTTCCTTCCTTCCTTCCTTCCTTCCTTCCTTCCTTCCTTCCTTCCTTCCTTGGTGAGATTTGAACTGCCAAATTGCAGGCAGCCAGCAGCCAGCAGAAGTAGCCTGCAGTACTGCACTATAACCACTGCATCACCATGGCTCTTTGCTGGCAGGCTAAACCCAGCAGGGATGATCGGGCAAAGGCTGCCTTATACTTATTGCTAGACTTATTGCTGCAGTTAAAATATTTCTTCTGTCTTTTCATGCTCTTGGATAGCTATCCCTTAAGTTGGATGATAGCTGAGACAAGCATGAACTGGGACCGGACCAGACTGTGCAGCTCAAAACACTCAAAGCAGCTCCTAAATCCAGACCTTTGAGGGGCCCAAAGGGCAGGCCCTTTGCCCTCCTTAGAGTCCCGATTACTCCTCCAAGATCCCAGGGTCCTGATCTCTGGCCCTTCTTCCCAGAGAGTCTGGAAAATACCAACTTTTCCAATAAATGTCCACCAGGAGTTAAATATAAGAGGCCCAATAATATTATTGCACTGATCCAGTTATTATTGTAGCAGCTCTCGTCCATCAGCTCCTTTTATGCGTTAGATGTGTTGTTGCCTTTGTGGTAGTAAACAAGTTACACGCTGCATCACCACATATAGCACACTGACACATTGCCTCCATGCGCATAATTGTCCAACCTGTATTGCACAACCAGAATCCAGCTGTGGAGGGAACCGTCTTTAGTTCTTGCTTGGCTAAACAAGATGTTTCCATCTGAAGAACTAGGACCGTTTGTCCTCTGGCATATGTGACAGGAACTAAGATATCTTCTCCCACAAAAAAATGATGGCAACTCATCATACAAATGTAAGAGTTGGCAAGGCAGAGGGCGAAGGCCCACAAAGATGCAGTTCCTGTCAAAGACCCATCGGTTTTCTGCGCCATCGTCGGGTGCAGAATTCCTCAAGTAAGAAGAGAGTCTGAAAGGCTCAATGCAGCAAGAAGTCGACAGCACAGCAACTGACTTAGACCAACCAGATGTCTTCGGTGAGGAAGGAAGTGTCAGGTGAGAATTGGTGAAGTGGTAGATCTTGGACCAAAGGAGAGTTCCAGTCCCCACTGGGCAAGTGGGAGGAGAGGTTGGAGAACAACATTGGAAGCAGCTGAGGAAGACCATCCTGAGTTCTGCCATGAGAAGGAGGAGCCTTTGGCAAAAGGTCAGCAGGCAAAACCTGGTCAAAGCAGAAACCAGTGAACGGAGACTTCTGAGAGGAACCAGGCTGGGCTGAAAGTCTGTAGAGATTCTCAGTCATCCAGGTCATGGTTATCCCAAAGGTGCTTTTTTTTTTCAGGAGACAACTGGACTTTCTTGTTTTTTCTTTGAAGATGTTTTGCTTTTCATCCAAGAAGCTTCTTCAGCTCTGACTGGGTGGTAAGGAATGGAAGGATTTATATTCCTTGCAGAGAGCTGGTCATTTGCATCCTTTTCAAAAGAAAAAACAAGAAAGTCCAGTTGCCTCCTGAAAAAGCACTTTTGGGAGAACCGTGACCTGGATGACTCTACAGACTTTTAGCTATACAATTTGGGATGAACACCCTTTGAATAGTGCGGGAGTAGGAATGGATTTCCAGAGGGAAAAATGGCAGACCACATAAACCAGGACTCAGATGGTTGGGGGCAAAAATGAGGACTCAGATTGTTGGGGACAATAGGCTGACTCTGTAAACTGTTTACAGAAGGACACAGATAAACCTCCAAGTGCTTCAATGACCCTTTAAAAGGATGCAAATGACCAGCTGTCTGTAAGGAATATAAATCCTTCCATTCCCCACTATCCTGTCAGAGCTGAAGAAGCTTCTTGGATGAGAAGCAAAATGTCTTCAAAAGAAAAAACAAGAAAGTCCAGTTGCCTCCTGAAAAACAACACACCTTTGGGACATGCTGGGCTTCAGACATGAGGCCTACCCTGAAGAAGCACCAGGGCAAAAGACAAGACCCGACAGTGAAAAAGTGACACTTCTTGTAAAGGCAATACCAGCGTCAGGTCAATGCCCAAGGGACCAATCTGAAGAACACCATGATGCAACTAAGGTGACAGCCAAGACAGGACACAACAAGAGCCACAGTGGGGCAGTGCAGGCTAATTCAGCTGACTTCCAGTAGTTTGATTCTCACCAGCTCAGGGCTGACTCAGTTTTCCATCCTTCCAAGGACGGTAAAATGAGGACTCAGATTATTATTGGGGGCAATAGCCTGAGTCTGTAAACTGTTTAGAGAAGGCTGTAAAGTACTGTGAAGCGGTATATAATTCTAAGTGCTATTGCTATCTGAATTTTGATCATGTGACTATGCTGCAAACATAGTAAGTGTGAAAAACAGTCATAAGTCACTTTTTTCAGTGCTGTTGCAACTTTGAATGGTCACTAAATGAACTGTTGTAAGTCGAGGACTACTTGTGATAGTAAACAAGTGTTGCCATCTCAGAAGAACCTGGGCAGGGGTTGGGCAGGGGTTGAAACAAGCAGAAGGGTTCAGCAGGAAGCTGTGCTTAGATCTCATGCCTCAAAAACCTCAGATCTTTGCCGGAATCTGCTGACTCTGAATCCGGGGAGGCAATTCCTGCCTCTCCTCCCCCCTGGTCTTTTTGCCAAGCCATCTTTCAGGGCACCTGTCGAACCCCACATCCCGCAACCCCTCAGCTGCATTTCCTGCTGAGGCCCTCAGCTCTTCAAGAGACACTCAGTGGGATTTACAACGAGGAAGCAAGAACAATCAACATGCTGACAAAATATGTTAATTGCTTCAATTATCAGCCAGAGGAGCAAAGATTGCTCTCATTGGAGACTTGGAGGGAATTTCTTTCAGCCAATATCACCGAACAACCACAGGCCTCCTGACATTCTCTTCTGATGAATGGTGGGTTCGATCCCATCATTTAGCATATAAAGTGGAATTATGAATGAAGAAGAAGCAAACTCCACTAAGGACATTCAGCTGGCGAGGAAAAAGGTCTGCCTCAGCAGTTTCTGGGCCTGCGAGAGCCGTTGAGACCCCTCCCATACTCCTGGCTGGGTTGAGTTGAGATTGCTGGGCTTGGGGGGTTCCTGCAACTCGGTGGCTTAGTCCGTTTCAGCTGTCACCCCACAGAAAATGTGAGGACTGCAAAAGCAGCACTACATCCCATGAGTAGACTCCTCCTTGTCTCCCCTGGGCTTCTCCTATGCCCATCCTTCCTTTCTTCAAGGTATCGGGGCTTCTGCCTCTCTGGTGCCACTTTCTGGCCAAGTGGACTTCTTCCCTACTCCAAAAACAAATGCCCGGAGGACAGGAGGAAGGTTGCTGGCTAAACAGCCAATTGTTGGATTTCCCACTGATCAACACAGAAGCAGCTCAGAAGCTAACAGCCAAGAGCTTCCTTCTGTTTTTTCATTCTCTCTTCTTCCAAGAGATGTAGAGATACATGGATGAGAACTGAAAGTCCACCAGCAACATTAGCAAGTAGATGGTTTCCTAGAAGGTGGGCCGAAAGGTACAGTGCCTAATGTTCTGTGTAGCTTAATTCTCTAACTTTGTGATGGCAGTGAAGATTTACCAAAACAAATCTAATCTGTGTTTACCAAAGCCCACAGCTGTAAATGTGATTGTGTAAAAAAATCACATTGAAGGAGATGTTTACTATGTTTCCCCTCCTCTTTCAAGACAATTCTTAATATTGTGGATACTTTTATGAAGTCTGGGGGTCCTCACCTGGTCCACAGACAGTTGATTTAATTCCAGTTTGCTCCAGAGCTGGGACTCGGTTGATGGCACCATCAATATGCTGTGTAAATACATCCCAGTCCAGATTGAAGAGACCAAAAGCAAAATCGTCCAACACCTGTAAGAGCAAAATACGCATTGCAGACATTAGGCACCGATTACAACATGTCAGCTGCCAGAAGATGGACACCACAGACACGATGGCAAGTCAGACTCCACCCGGCTTTTGAGACAAACTTTCTTCTCCAAACTGTTTCTTGCTGCCTGAACTCAGCACCATTATTGAGATCACCAAGAACTTTTCTGATGGAATAAGTCATAGAATCACAATGTCAACCCTGAAGCTGGCCAGACTGAGGCCATTTTGAGACTTCAGCGCTGACACACTGGAGAAGAGGGACGGGGGTGGGGGAGAATAGTTGGGGTGTTGTAGTCAAAACAAAATACTTTCTCTTGGGAACCAAGGACAGTCCTGCAGGTGCTCTGAAGGAGGGGACTGGAGTCACCTAGCAACTGGATAGTATCTTCATTGGACCGTGTGACTGATTGTTTTAAGAAAGTGGAAAACTTTTACTTTTAATTAGATGAAAACCATGGGAATAATCAGAGTCGGTTTTCACCAGCTTGTGCCAATATGACATATCCAATAAACTTATTCTTTGCGGAATCTACCTGCCTCAGAGTTTTGTTTGCTACATGCTATGTTACTTGCAATTTGCTATGGGTATGTTACTCGAAGGGACCTTGGAGGTCTTCTAATCCAACCCCCTGCCAAAGGCAGGAGTCCTTGTACTATACCAGACAAATGGCTCTCCGGCCTCTTCTTAAAAATCTTCAGTGATGGAGCTCCCACAACTTTCAGAGGCAAAGTGTTCCATTGATTAATTGCTCTCAATGTCAGAATTTTTTCCTTAGTTCTAGGTTGGATCTCTCTTTAAGAAGCTCCCACCCATTACTTCTTGTCCTGCCCTCGGGGGCTTTGGGGAACAAGTCAACCTCCTCACCTCTGTGACAGCCCCTCAATATTGGAAGACAGTTATCATGTCCCCCCCAATCCTTCTCTTCAATATGCTAGACATGCCTAATTCCCTCAACCATTCATCATATGATTTAGCCTTCAGCCCCCTTAATCATCTTTCTTGCTCTTCTTGAGCAAGTCTCTCCAGGGTCTCAGCATTTTTTGGTATCATAGTGACCAGAACTGGATGCAGTAGTATTCCAAGTATGGCCCTATATCAGCTCTTCCTAGGATCCTGAATGTCCACTATTCTCCCAGACTCTTTGGAGACCCAGATCCTGGGAATCGAGGTCTGTTTCCTGGAATTGGAAAAAGGCTCTGGACGGAGAGCAGTTCTTATGCAACCAATGCAGATTTCCTCACTTGCTTTGCCTTCGTCAGTTTGCCCTCAGGCGTCAGCCCAGAGCTTCAGGATGCTTGGGCTTCTGCTTCCCTGATTAAACCTGGCCACTCTGATCAATCCAATAAAGCAATGGCCTGTTCATCTGTAATTAAATCAACCCTTCACCATTAATATTTATGCAAGTCATCCTATATCTTCTAAATCAGTACTAAGTCACCACACTTCATTGTCACTGAATGGCAGGCCAGGGGCTAAGGCCGCTCATCACTTTAAGGAAGGGAGGCAGGAAAGGTGAGCCAGGACTGCAAGCAAAGGTAGGTTGAGCCACGGTGGTGCAGTGTTCAGAGTGCAGGCTCCTTCTACTGCCTGCCAGCTGCCTGCAATTTGGCAGTTCGAATCTCACCAGGCTCAAGGTTGACTCAGTCTTCTGTTCTTCCGAGGTGGGTAAATGAGGATCCAGATTGTTGGGGGCAATAGGCTGACTCTGTAAACCACTTAAGAGAGGGCTGAAAAGCACTGTGAAGCGGTATATAAGTCTAAGTGCTATTGCTATTGTTGTGCAACCCATTTTCTTTCCAGCACATGACAGGAACGCTCAGGGAGCCACCTTGACATGCACAATAGCCGGGGCTCTGGCTACTCTGTTCCCAGGCCCAATGCAGTACATGTTCCCCAACCTGAGCTCTTCCAAATCTTTGGGGGAGAGGAGAAGCAAAGCCTCTGCCTTGTCTGCCAGTTACGCCCTTTCCTGCATAAGAAGGCTCTCTTTTTGGTCACTCCTGTTCTGGCCATCTCCCGTTTGGACTACTGCTACATGCTCTACATGGGGCTTCCCTTGAAAAGTACCCAGAAGCTTCAGCTGGCAAAAAAAGGGGGGTAGGTGAACAATTTTTGGCATCCAAAGAAGGGCATACATAACACCTCTGCTGCATGAGCTGCACTGGGTGCTGGTCTGCTTGGGGGTCCAATTCCAGGTGCTGGTTATGAAGCCCTACAGGAACCGATTTCGTCCCATTACATCAGCCCATCCCACACAGGCAGGCAGGGAAGGGAATGTTATGAAGGTCTGGGAAGAGAGCCTTCTCTGCCGCTACCCCTCAGTCCTGTGGAATATTCCCTCCCCCGAGGTGAGGTGGACACCCCCCACCCCCCGTTGGCCTTCAGAGAAGGAGTGAAAGCCTGGCTCTGCGGCCTTTCTTGGGGCGGGCGGATGAGCACAGGGCCGTGCTTAGACCCCTGAAAGTCCTCCCTTCGCCTTTTCAGTTGATTTTTAACAGGGCTTACTTATTTTTGCCTCCCTATAAAAGAATATAATTTAATTCTTACATTGTAATTTTATATACTGCAAATGAATAAATAAAAAAGCTGGTGTGAGAGGCAAAGGGAGCCATTTTGGATTTAATTTTCTTTTAACTGTATTTTAATGTCTATATTATATGTTTTTTAATCTTGGCTGTTCACCGCCCCGAGTCCTTCGGGAGAGGGGGCGGTATAAAAATTTAATAAATAAAATAAAATAAAATAAAATAAATAAATAAAGGGGACCGAGGGGTATCCATCCAGCAGCTGCCCAGATGAGACCCTCTCCTTCCCCAGGAGCCTCTCCTCTGCTTGCCAGGGATCAAAGCTTTCAAAATCAGGGGGGTAAATCTTAATGTCTTTGTGATTTTTGTATGTGCAATAAAATCTCCTTTTGAACACCTGGTTTAGCACCCAACCCCACCAACACGGACCCCCCAGCCAGCTTCTGCAGTGTTAGCACTTCCTCCTTGCGATTCCTTAAAAACACAACTCACCTCCTCGCAAAAGATGGGGTTTGATTCATAGCCACCCACAGAAAGGGCATCACCTTGGAGACGCAAATACACGGAGGCATCGTGGTCTCGAACATTTGGCATGTTCTAAAAATACCCAGAGAAAAATCAGTGCTCAGCCTCAGAAAGGCTCCCAGGTCAGCATTTTCACTGGGAGGGGAGCTCCCTCGTCCACCTCCTGTCCCACACCTCACACCCAGGAAGTGAACGATGCCGGGAGGGGGGGGGGCAAAAGCAAGGTGGCCCCTTGCTGGCTGCAGACCCAGAGACCCACTAATCTCAGGTCCCATGGAGGATCCCTTCAGCGTTTGGCCCACTGTCTCCCGTCCTGTGGCCTCCACTGAGGCTTTTTCCTCTCTGCCCTCCCCTCTGGGAAAGAAGGTCAAAGGGTCCTGGGGCCCCTCTCCACAAGCACCAATGCTGTTGCCTTCCGAAGGAGCCCCTGATAACGACCGGTTGCTCCTAAGGCCCAAGAGGCTCCCCTCCCTGGGACCAGCGAGCAAGGCTGGGGGAGCCCCCCTCTCTCCTCAGGGTGGCTGCCAGGATTCTAACCGGGGACTCCGGGAGCCACAGGGCAACCCTGAAGGGCCAGGCTGGGGAAGGCGTTCCAGAGCCCTCCAGCGCCTCCAGAGTTGGCATTCCTAACCTTCAACTGAGAACCTGTTTCTGGGTCTCCCTTTTTGCAGCACTGGGCAAGATGATTGCTTTTCCACATATCTCCCAAAATATGTCTGGCAAGTTTAAACCCAAGCAAGGAGCACAGGAGTCCTGCCTTGGCCATGCAACCTTGGGTAATGAGGAAGACCCATTGTCCCAAGGCTGCTGCCAGGAGGATGTTTTAGGGCGCAATCTACCTAAAGCTGCTGGCAGGAAGTGAGACCTAATGCATGAGAATGGACAAGAAAAATAGAATACTGAATAACAGAGTTGGAAGGGACCTTGGAGGTCTTCTAGTCCAACCCACTGCTCAACCATTCAGACGAATGGTTATCCAATCTCTTCTTAAAAATCTCCAGTGTTGGAGCAACCACAACTTCTGGAGACAAGCTGTCCTCACTGTCAGGTTGCTTCTCTCTTTGATTAGTTTCCATCCATTGCTTTCAGGTGCTTTGGAGAAAAGGTTGACCCCCTTTGTGGCAGCTCCTCAAATATCAGAACACTGCTATCATGTCACCCCAGGCCTTCTTTTCACTAGAGTACATACCCAATTCCTGCAACCATTCTTTATATGTTTTAGCCTCCAGCCCCTTTCTTATCTTTGTTGCTCTCCTCTGCACTCTTTCCAGAATCTATATGACAACAACCAAAACTGGATGCAATATTCCAAGTGTGATCTTACCAGTGCGGTATAAAGCAGTACTAACACTTCGCATGATCTTTATTCTATCCCTCTGTTAATGCAGCCTAGGACAGCACTGGCTTTTTTGGTGGCTACAGCACACTCTGGCTGATATTTAAGTGATTGTCCACTGGGACTCCTAGATCCCTCTTGCAGGTACTGCCAGGTACCACCTATTCTATACCTGTCCATTTGGTTTGTCTTGCCCAAATGTAAAATCTTGCTTTCCTTACCACTGAATTTCACTGCATTACAGGAAACTCTCCTTCGTCAAACCCTCCCAATCTGGGGCCTTTCAGAGCTTCCCCTGTGGAGGGTAAACATGGGATCTGGCTCTCCCAGTCCCAGGTCGATGTGCCACCCATCCCGAGGCCACAGGCTGAAGCTCTGCAGGGCCAGGAATGCCCTCTCTGCTCTTCACACACACCACATGCCGCTTTTGTGGGAATCCTTAACCAGCCTTGGAGGGACCTCTAGTGGCAGAACCTCCATCTCTGTCTTCTGTGTTGCTCATACCACATCATTTTAGGCTTTGACGCTAACAAACTGACATGTGTCCAGAGGAAAACAACCCAGGTGACAAAAGGGCATGGAAGAAAAAGAAATAAGGTTCTCAGAATACAGAATAATAGAGTTGGAAGGGGCCTTGGAGTCTTTTAGTCCAAGCAGAGGGTTCCCTCTCAAGCAGGAGATCCTGCAGCATTTCAACAGAGTCAAGTTCGCATGAAGAATTAGTAGTGCTAAGTAGTGCTTAATACCTGGAATACTGCATCCAGTTTCATAGAAACTGGATTTCATAGAATTTTAATGGAACACTTTCTGATTTTATATGCTTCCAAAATTCTGTGTAAATGCTAGAGCTATGGTATGCTTTACATTTGAAAAAAAATATTCCTAAGCAGCAAGATTGTTGATAGGTAAATATTGGAAGAATGAAGCTTTGCCTACTATCGAGGAATGGACTTTGAAGATGGCCAGTTTTGCAGAGATGGCGAAGATTTCAGCATATTTAAAAGATTGTTCACAAGAGACTTATGAATGGGAATGGAAAAGGTGGATAGAATATGTTCAGAACAAATACCAAACTAGAAAGTACCAAATAGCTTTTATTTGAAAACAATGTATTAGAAATATTTTAATGTAAAGAGATAAAGAGGGAAAATTATATAGGGGGAGGGATGGGTTCAGGTATATATATCAGTATTATTAGTTATGAGTATATAATAGGGAAGTCTGGGGGGGAGGGTTAGGGAGGGCTAGGGAGGACGGGAAGTTTGGGGAGGGAGGTGGGGGGGTGAAAAAAAGGGGTGAAAATGTAATTGTAAAACTTTTGCAATAAAAAAAAAAAAAGAAAAAAAAAGAAAAAAAATATTCCTGCAAGCAAGGTTAAGTATGAAAACTTCTTCCTGCCCAGTAAATAGTGGAAGCAGACAGGAAGCCAGATGAATAGACAGAAAAATTCAAGCTCCCCCTTTGCCCCCCAGGAAGCCTCATGGAGTCACATTTATAGTTCAGGGAGGGGTGGCAACCCTACCCTGAGAAGGAGGGGAGACACTCTGAGCTGCATGTGCAATGAGTGTGACAAGAGGGGTGTTCTCCCACTGTGCAAAGATGCTTAGAATCAAAGGAAATACCTGAATTGCTCACAGCACCTATTGCTCCTGCCCCACCAGGACAGAAACTCCCCCGAGAGCCCCCCCCCCTCCCAGGACTGACCTGGATTCCCTCAATCTTCTCTGTCACCACATAGGCATGGTGCATGGCCACCAGGGGCACCTGGACGCCAGCCATTTCCCCCAGGGCTTGGGCCCACACACCTGTGGGAGAAGGAAAACAACTGCATCATCCAAAGGGCCTGTGGAGAGGAGAGGGCTTGGCTTTGAAGAGGAAGCCAGAGCAGAAGGAACCTGCCCAGATAACCTTTGCAAGCTCATAATGTCATAATGTCAACTCACAAAGCATCCCAGGCCTGCTCTTGAGTTGCCATAGGCAAGGGGGATGGGAAACCAACAAAGCAGCATGGCAGCTGAAAACAGAAGTACATTCTAGACATATCTCTCTCAAGGCTGTCTCCCAGGGTTACCCACAGTGGCCAGAGGGGAGTGATCTCTACAGCCCGCAAAATTGCTCCATTGGCGAATGTGATTGATGACACACCCTGGGGGGAGGGAGGAAATAGGGTCATGATTGGGGTGTAAATTACGCAGGGTCAGAGTTGGCTTTACTTGAGAGCAGGACAAGAAGTAGCAGATGCAAGGAGAGATCCAACCTAGAACTATGGAGAAATTTCCTGTCGGTGAGAACCATTAATCAGTGGAATGGTTTGCCTTTACAAGTTGTGGGTGCTCCATCCCTGGAGGAGGTTTTCAAGACAAATCATTTGCCCAGAATGGTCTAGACTGGGGTCTCCTGCTTGAGCAGGAGGTGAAGTAGAAGACCTCCAAGGCCCCTTCCAACCCTGTTATGCTATGTTCTATGTCCTTCACAACTTCTTGGCATCTTGCCATCGTCACCAAACAGCTGTGAAGCTTCTTTCTTTCCCATTTCATTTTGCACAAATTTAAAGACAACAGTGATCAATTCAGCCTCCACCACAGATTCTGGTTCTTCACAGACCAAGCCTTCCATGCAGCAACCCAAACTAAACAGTTGGTTCTCACTTTTTTTTGATAAAGAGCTCAGAGATGGGCTCTTTAGTTTAGATTTCCATAAGAAAAGGAAGCTGCATGTGGACTTCAGGTCTCCATCTCCAGCAACAAAAGAATTGATTTTGGGGAAAAGATGAGGACTAATGAAGGATCTGACTGTTAGCTAAAGGGGCTATAAAAGGTTAGCATGGATTAAATAGCTCCAGTGGCTACTGAAGATAGCTGCCATTTGGTTTCTATCCAGAGTAAAGTTAAACCTCAAACGGTTTAACCTTAAAAGGATTTATGATCTGCCCAGTGAAACTGAAGAAAATTCAGAGGAGCATTCAAAGGACATTCCAGAAGAAGAAGAATGCTGAGGAGACCATCCAGAAAGCCCGTCCAAAAGGCCAGAAGACACACGGAAGTGCAGAAGCTCAAGATTTCTCTCTCTAAGGATCTGCAGCCAACCCAAAGTTACTTGCCAACTCTGTGGATTGTGAGATATGGGAGAATAGAATAGAATAGAATAGAATAGAATAGAATAGAATAGAATAGAAGAGAAGAGAAGAGAAGAGAAGAGAAGAGAAGAGAAGAGAAGAGAAGAGTTGGAAGGGACCTTGGAGGTCTTCTAGTCCAACCCCCTGCTCAGGCAGGAAACCATATCCCCTTTCAGACAAATGGTTATCCAACCTCTTCTTTAAAACTTCCAGAGTTGGAGAATTCACAACTTCTGGAGGCAAGTTGTTCCACTGATTCATTGTTCTCACTGTCAGGAAACTTCTCCTTAGTTCTAGGTTGCTCCTCTCCTTGATTAGTTTCCATAGTAATGATCAGCACAGAAAGGGCATAGATGCAAGAAACACGCCTCTGTTAGGCTCAGTTCTGGAAGGATTTCTTGCATAAGAAACAAAAGTCTGGAGGAAAAAAATGGGTTCTTTGCCTGGTTAGAAAAGGGGGAGCAAGCTGCCCCACATAAGTTTGCAAGCGAATCAGCAGTGCTGAAGCTGGATAAGCAAAAGTTCCTGTTGCTCTGATGGGACTTGGCTGGTACTGCAAACCGAATATAGAGAAAAGCAAGCTGCAACTTATGCAGCCCTGCCTGGGCAGACACATCATGGACCTCCCATGTCCATAACCCATGAAAACCCTCCTGGGACTACCCTTGGCATCCTTGGCTTTCCTCAATTGATCCTCCATGTTGACCCCCTCTTCTCTGTGGCAGCCCCTCAAATATTGGAAGACTGTTTGAAGAGTATCTGGAAGCTTCAGCTGCAAAATACAGTGGGGCAGGCTCTAGAGCAGGGGTCTCCAACCTTGGCAACTTTAAGACTTTAAGCCAGCTTTGCTTCTCCTGACACGGAACCCAACATATCCCAGTTCTAAACTGGCTAAACCTGCATTCAGACTGCAGGAGTCCCAGCCTATCTTTCGCCAACTGGGTGCCTTCCTTACCACAGCAGTTGACCACACAGGACGTCTGGATGTCTCCCTGTTTCGTCAGCACAGCCGCCACCCGTGGGACCCCAAAGTCATCTGTCCTGACTTCAATGCCAGTAACGGGGCAGTTTTCAATGATCTAGAAAAACAACCGGACAAGAGCCTTAAACAGGTCCTGCTTGTCTGGTCTGGAGTCAATTTCAAAACAAGTAACCAAGTAATCCTGATTCTGTGACGATCCCTGCATGGTTCAGAGGGAATCTTTTCCTCAAATATCTGGCACAGGATTTGTGGCAGCTCACAAATGCTCACAATGCCTTTCCATGGCTTCTGTAACTCAGAAAAGTTGCTACCAGAATCCTGCAGATCTTTTGCCACCGCAGACTGGCGAGGTTCTCCTCCTGCACTGACCCACCTCTGGGCATCCCTGCTGCTAAGAGGTAAGAGAAAGGGCTTCAGACTCTCAGGAGCCTCCAATAACTCCTATGGGTACAGGTGGTCCTTGACTTATGACCGGTTGCTCAGTGACCATTGGAAGTTACAATGGACATCTCCCCACCCCGAGCTACTTATGACCCGGTTTCAAAGTTCTGATGTCTGTCCTACCCCTAGGGTGACATGATTTTATTTATTTAGAAAATGTATATAGTCGCCTTACTTGCTCACAGCAACTCTAGTTGGCTTACAAGCAATAAAAACACAGTATACAAAATATATATAAAAAATAATAAAAAATGCATTTTGGGTGCTTGGCGAGTGGCTCACAGGGTCACCTAACCACAATTTGTGACTTTGTTTTTTTACTGGAAACCAGTGTTTCCACTAAAAACCGCTTATTGGTATAATGTGTTGGCTTAATAACCACCGCAGAAAGGTCACAAAACCATGGCATGGTCACATGGTAAACAGCTTAATGACCACCAGAATTTACAATTGTACTTCCAGATTCAATTATGGTCATAAGTCAAGGACCAATCAAGGGAGGCATATCGTTCTACAGGAGAAAAGCAGATATTCCCAAAAGATGCAGAGGGGGCAAGAGGCAGCAATTCAAAAGACAGGTGGAGGGGACTTGGGGGGGAGAGAGGTGCCTGTGAAGCCAGACCTTGCAGAACATGTGATTCACCTGGAAGGCAACAAGGAAACTCTCCCCTGCCGCCCCCACACTCACTTCTGTCCCTGGGCAATAAGAGCCATCATTGCTTGTTCCACTTAAGAGGTGGCTGGAACAATCCCTGCCTGCCAGACCTACGCTGGAGAAAATGGAAGATGGGGGTGGGGGTGGGGGGGGCTGTCTGTCATTGTTGCCCTCTGCCACTTCTCCAAATGCTTTGCTGGCCAAATTAGGTCCCTGTCAGCACTTCAAGGTTTTCCTAGAAAAGCTGCACATGGAGCTCGTAGTTTAGGTATGGTTGAGAGCCCCCCAGGGATGCCCCCCCCAATGAAGTCCGGTTGCAAAAGGGCAAAGAGGACCTTCTCACGTAAGAGCCACAGTGGCGCAATGATTAGAGTGCAGTACTGCAGGCTACTTCTGCTGACTGCCAGCTGCCTGCAATTTTGGCAGTTTGAATCTCACCAGGCTCCAGGTTGATCCAGCCTTCCGTCCTTCTGAGGTGGGTAAAATGAGGACCTAGATTGTTGGGGGCAAGAAGCTGACTCTGTAAACCGCTTAGAGAGAGATGGAAAGCACTGTGGAGCGGTATATAAGTCTAAAGGCTATTGCTATTGCTATCATCTCTCCCTAAGGAACTCAGATGATCTCACCGGTATCAGGCAAGTGGCTTTATCTCCACTCTTTCTCTAAGGCCACTTAAACGTTTTAAATGGCTCAAGGATCTTACCAGAGCCCCTCGGTTGCTGGCTGCCCGGGTGAGGCAAGTGCAGGTCCCAGCAGGATCCATTGTGCCATCCTCTGGGACATAGAGGGTTCCGTAGAGGTCATCCACATTCATCAAGGGGTAGAGCTCTTTGGTTTCCTCCGGAGACAGGACGTGCGATTCAATGCCGAAAACTTTGCCCAGCTGCAAAAGAAGAACCAGAATTTCCAATATTGTTTTCAATAATATCAAATATTGTTCCAATATTTGAGGGGCTGCCACAGAGAGGAGGGGGTCAGGCTGTTTTCCAAGGCACACGAAGGCCAGACAAGGAACAAAGGAAGGAAACTGAACAAGGAGAGATTCAACTCAGAAATAAGGAGAAATTTCCTGACAGTGAGAGCAATCAACCAATGAAACAGAAGTTGCATTTAGAAGTTGTGGGAACTTCATCACTGGAAGCTATTAAGGAGAGACTGGACTACCATGCGTCAGAAATTGTGTAGGGTCAGTAGTTGGCCAGGGGGTTGAACTAGATGACGTAACAAGGTCCCTTCCAACTCTGTTAATCTGTTGATTTCCAGAGCAGCCTCCAAAAGCCTCCAAAAGGAGCCACATAAACAGGCAGGAAAGCTACAGAGGCCTTGCCCGGCACAGGGCAGGCAACCCTGGAAGCCCTTCAGGATAAAGTCTGCTCCAATGGTGGCCAGCCAGATGGGCTACTACTGGCTGCAGGCAAAGTTTCCCAACCAGGGGAGGCCCTGGCAGAAATGGGGCCGCTTCCTCTCTGGGGCTTCCTCTCTTCTTTATCTTTATCTTTATTCAAATTTCTATACCGCCCTTCTCCTTTCGGACTTTCCTCTCTGGGGCTGCCATCTCCCAGTGGACTCAGAGAGGGCCTGCAGGAGCTCCAAGTCCTGGCTGAGACTGGCAAGGGAGCTGCAGGCTGCAAGAGGTGCCAAGCAGGTCAACCAAGCTGGCAACAGCTCCTTTCCCAGAAAGAGAAGAGAAACGGGAGGTGGGGTGGGGGATGAATCTCTACACTCCTCAGAAGCAAACTCTGAGATTTCCTGGCATGCAAAGAAGCCGCTTGACACATGAGGCACAGAGGATGAGGCCATTCTGGAATCGCAGACTACATATTGTCTCCTTCCTGTAAGAACTTCCAAATGTGCCTGGCTATCCATCAATGAAGGATGAGCTGGATGGGACCTTGGCCCATGCTGAGTGCCTGCTGCTGGAGAAATTGGATTCAGAATGACTGTGGCACATCAGACAGGCCTATTTGTAGAGGAGTCAATACTGATGCTCTGGGAATGTCATAGCTAGCTCCTGCAAAAGGATCCAGAATCCGGTGGCCAGACATATCATAGGGAGTAAGCAAGATGACCTCAGTACGAGACACGTAGGAACCCTTCTCTAGGCAAAAGGGGCTCAAACATGTTTTAAATCCAGAACATCCCAACACCATTCAAAAACAGCCGACCTGACAGAGTTGGAAGGGACAGTGGAGGTCCTCCAGTCCAACCACTCACAAATGGCTGTCCAATCTCATCTTAAAAACCTCCAGTGATGGAGCACCCACAACTTCTTGAGGGAAGCCGTTCACTATTTGAATTGTTCTGTCAGGAAGTTTCTCCTTAAGAAGGGGAGGAAGCCCATCACAAACTGGTTTGCCAGAATCTCAGTCAACTGAGGAGCCTGAGTGGCGTAGAAGGCTAATCCAGCTGCCTGCAATTATTGCGAGTTCAATTCTCACCAGGCTCAAGGTCGACTCAGCCTTCCATCCTTTCTAAGGTAGGTGAAATAAGGACCCAGATTGTGGGGGCAATAAGCTGACTTTGTATAAATATACAAAAGTATGAAGGCTATTGCTTAGTGCACTGTAAGCCGCCCTGAGTCTCCGGAGAAGGGCGGCATATAAATCAAGTTAAAAAAACAAATAAACTGAGTTTTAGCCTTTCTGTGGAGTTGATTCCTGGACTTTTTACCTAGTAAATGTACTAGGAAAAACTTATTGGAATCACACCATTCCCTTTCTGTAAGCACCATTCTGATCCCTCTTATATAAACCAGCCCTACCTCCCCACTGTGTGCTTTCAGAAATGGGACCCTTCTAGTTAGCCAAGGGGGATCTGAATCCTATCATTTTCTCCAAATCCCCATGAAGATATGGATTCTATTGAATTCAGAGGTGAATTAGTGGCCTGAACTACGGGCACCTCCATCTGCCCACAGGAACCTATTTTAAAAGAGACACAAAGGCCAAAAGCACAGAGTCAGAAAGAAGCAAAGGGACAGATGGCCAAAGCTGCTCAGATCATTTAAGGAAGGCCAACATATAAGGAAGAGGCGGCTGTTGAGAAGGATCTCCAGAAAGGACCAGAGAGATGACGCCAACACTCGAACAGAAGGCTGGCGGCTTCCTACTTACTGACATAAGCCTCTTGTACTCATCCAGTCTCTGCTTGTTGGAAGCAATGAAGAGTCCCCCATTTTGGATCCAGCCTGTGTGAAGGCCCGTCTCTTCCTCCAGCTCCCAGCTGACCACATTGCGGGTATGAGTCAAGAGTTCCACCTCCACATCACTCGGGCGCAACTGCCACAAGAGTCCTGGGGAAGGGGAAGGCAAGGACAGAAGGCCATGAAGACACAACTGGGTCACAAGCCCACAGGGTTTTCTGAGGGGGTCCCAAGAGAGTAGCATTTCCTTGAAATTCCTTTGCTTCCATTTTTTGCTCCCAGGGATTAAGGGAGGAATTTGGGAAACACCAAGTGGGACCAAGAGCCAAACCAGGCACTGCCCACTCCCTAGAGTAAAGTTATCTTTTCACTGATTCCAGAAAATGGGTGTCCTAAAGCAGGGGTCTCCAACCTTGGCAACGTTAAGCATGGTGGACTTCAACTCCCAGAATTCCCCAGCCAGCTTTGAAGTCCACCAGGCTTAACGTTGCCAAAGTTGGAGACCCCTGTCCTAAAGGAATGATACACACTTTATGGGCCCAGTGAAAAGACTCATGCTAAAGTTTATATGTATTAACTTAAAAACAGGTCCCAAAATGTAAACACTGAAAATGCAATACATACAGTGAGGTGCTATAAATTCCAAGTGAACAACACGTAATGTGCGGTGGATTCAGCAGTGGGTAGAAAGAATTGCAAAGGATGAAATACCCAACATCCATTCTCTGACTTCCACATTTGCAAAAGGCTCCCTGCCAAGAACACCCTCAGGATTGTTTGTTTGTTTGTTTGACTTGTCTGTCACCCTGCTGGACTAGTTATTCCCACGTCCAACCTGAGGATCCTTCCCTTCAGATCTGGTGGCACCAAGAACAATCAGACTAAAAGCCTGATTTGATCTGCTGTATGTCAACTCTGAAGGTGACCTGACCGAAGCCATTTTTGACCACTTTAGTGTTGCCACACTGGAGCTGAGGGATAGGGAGGGGGGATTTGAGATAGAGTGGATTCTGTAGCCAAAACAACACATTTTCTCTTGGGAACCAAGGACATTCTCACACCTGGTAGGAGGAAGGCAGAGTGATGCTACCCGGCTGCCACCCTGCACCAGATATATGGAGAGAACGCAACATGGAGGAAAGAGACTTTACTTTTTTTTCTGATAGACATCAATCCTTCTCCAGGATTGATTTTATACTAACCACAAATGATTTTATTTCCAGGGTGAAGAAGACGAAGATATGTCCAAGAACTCTAACTGATCATAGTCCGGTTTGGGTGGAATTTGAACAGGAGAGGGGAGAAAGGTGGTCCTAGAGGCTAAATGAAAACTTATTTAGATATGAAGATAATGTGAGAGAGCTTAAAAAACAAATGAAAGAATTGTTTGCTATTAATATGCATAAGGGTACTTCTATGGAAATGGTTTGGGATGCTAGTAAGGTGATTACTTAAAGAGCTTCTTTTTATGGAAAGGGGTAAACTGCAATTGAAATCTTTAGATGTATTAAAAGAAGAAGGGATAATTTATACTTGGTTTCAGTATGGTCAGCTTCAAGCTAGATGGAGGGAAGACCAAAAAATTGGTGTTATGCAAAATGAGGAAAATCTGGTGAAACAGATTAGAGATCAAAATCAGATGCATATTAAAAGGTTGTATAATGCTTTATTGGAAATAGATTCAGAAACGGAATTGGTTAAGGATTGTATGATAAAATGGGCACAAAATTTTCAGAAACCAGTGATGATGGAAACATGGGAAAAGATTTGGGTTAGAAATTTTAAATTTACGCAAGCACAAAATTTGAGAGAGAATTTTTATAAAATGTTTTATAGATGGCATTTAGATCTAAGAAATTATCACATATGTACTCGAATTTGCAAGCTAAATGTTGGAGATGTGAATGTGATGATGCTACTTATTATCATATATGGTATGTAAGAAAATCAAGGCATTTTGGATAAAAATTTGATGGGTGATGCAGAACATTCTGAAAAAAAGGTTGAAATTTACTCCTCAATTGTTCTTATTGGGCATAACGACGGACTGTACAGTATTAGAGACTAAATTGATTTTGAACTTAATATCAGCAGCTAGGCTGTTGGTAGCACAATACTGGAAGAAGGACTCTTTGCCTACTATTGAAGAATGGACATTGAAAGTAACGAACTTAGCAGAAATGGCAAAAATTTCAGCGTATTTGAAGGACTATACACAAGAAAGATACGTATTGGAATGGAGAAGGTGGATTGATTATATTCAAAATAAGTATCAGACAAGAAAATATCAAATAGCTTATGAATGAATGCTAAGTACTAGAAATATTATGTTATCTATAGTGGAGTTAAGGCTTTGGGAGGGATCTAGTAGTCTAAGGATAGATAGTTTAATTTAGCTTATGATTGTTAAATGAAATACCTTGTATTTTGCTCTGGGAAGTCTGGGGGGGAGGGTGGGTTGAGGGGAGGGAAAGGGTAGGGGGAATAATGGGGGAAAATTTTTTTCTTTTTGTAAAACTTTTCAATAAAAAAAAGATAAGTTTTATAAATTTTTACACACTAAAATAATACAATGGGACTATAAATCTTTTATTTTCATGGGTGATTGGAATGGAGTAATAGATACACAGAAAGATAAAAAAAGTTTATCAAAGATTTCAACACGTGTGAAATTACCTAAATCCTTTTTTGATATGATGGAAGATATGGAATTGAGAGATATTTGGAGAGAACGCAAGGTTGAGGAGAGAGATTTTACATTTTTTTCCGATAGACATCAATCCTTTTCTAGGATTGATTTCATACTAATTACAAATGATTTTATTTCCAGGGTGAAGAAGACGAAGACATGTCCAAGAACTCTAACTGATCATAGTCTGGTTTGGGTGGAACTGGAACAGGAGAGGGGAGAAAGTTGGTCTTGGAGGCTAAATGAAAATTTATTTAGATATGAAGAAAATGTGAATGAGCTTAAAAAACAAATGAAAGAATTTTTTGCTATTAACATGCATAAAGGAACTTCTATGGAAATGGTTTGGGATGCAAGTAAGGTTTATATGAGGGGAACTTTAATACCTATGAATAATAAACATAGATCAAAACAACAAAAGAAGCGGAAAGAGATAGAGGAGGAAATAAAAAAGAAAGAACAATTACTCATACTTAATCCAGGAGATAAGAAACCCAAACGATAGACTTTTTGATCTAATGCACAACAGGAGAATATAAGAAATTCAGGCCTGTTTCATAATTCAATATGGAGAGAAGCTTTTGGTTACAACTTTTGGAATCTTAGTTTGTATCACAAACTTAAAAGTATGTTTAAAGTTGAAATTACTGACATTTACAATGAATGGGATAATGAATATTGTAATCATTAATCAATTGAATATTGTAATCAATTCCATTCGATAATGGAATTAAGCCTTTAACATTGTTAAATTTGTTTGTTTGGACTTGAAATTAATGCATCAAAAGATTTTATATTCACTTCTGGTTGGCACCGCAGACTCCGTGGACGGTCATTTAAAACCGCCAGCCCTGCGTCTCTGTAAAAGCTGCTTTGACAGCGCAAATCGGCTGTCTAGCGGCTGAAAAACTCTCCTTCGGGAAAAGAAGGAGAGGAGAGCCGGTGGGTGAGAGTAGAGCTCCCCGAAAGCCCTCTGGAACATTTCCAGAGGCTTGGAGGGTGAGAGCTCCCCAGCCAGCCCGCCAAGAAGCTCTGGAGCCAGGACGACTCTGCGAAAGCAGAGCGAGAAGCCGCGATCCGATCCTGCTTTTAAAAGTGAGTTTGAGTGACTACAAGTGCAGGCAGAGCGGAAAACAGGAGAACAAGCCTTAAAAGTACAGTGCTTAACTCCAAAGTTACTTTGTTTCAATTTGAATCTTGAGCTGGAGGCGGAAGATGGCGTCTTTGTTATGGTTTTGAAAGTGAAAGCCAGAAACAAAAGTGCTTGAGAACTTTGCGCTGGGAGAGTGGATTAGCTGCCTATTAACTGCTGGGAACGGAGAGTTTGTGGAGGAAAGAGGGAAAAAAAATCTACTCTGCCTGGCAAATTAGAGACTATAAATTACAAACATCTTTAAAGACTTTGTGGCTTTTAAAGAAAAGAGGGCGGGGGGGGGGGAAGGAAAAAAAATGGCTTCTAGACAAGTGAAACCAGGAGTTGTTAAAGGAGGGGGAGGTTCTCCAGTTGTGTCAGTGGTGACACAGAAAGCACAACTTCCGGCTGATACACAGAGCCAGACCCAGAGTCAAGATGCAGCACTTAATGATTTTAAGGAAGTTATGAAAGAAGCCATGAATAATCAAGCAACAGCAATGAGAGAAGCAATGAATAATTTAACATTACTTGTTGAAGGGAAATTTAAGAAAATTGAGGAGGATATAAGCTCGATCAAGGAAGCAGTTGCAAAGGAAAAGAAGGTTGAAATTTACTCCTCAATTGTTTCTATTGGGCATAACTACGGACTGTACAGTATCAGAGACTAAATTGATTTTGAAGTTCATATCAGCAGCTAGGCTGTTGGTAGCTCAGTATTGGAAGGATTCTTTGCCTACTATTGAAGAGTGGATATTGAAAGTAACAAACCTAGCAGAAATGGCGAAAATCTCAGCGTATTTGAAGGACCACACGCAAGAAAGATACGTATCGGAATGGAGAAGATGGATTGAATATATTCAAAATAAGTATCAGACAAGAAAATATCAAATAGCTTATGAATGAATGTTAGTATCAGAGAATTAGGTTATCTATAATGGAGTTAAGGTTTCAGGGGGGGGGTCAGTACTTTGAGGATAAGTAGATTAATCTATTTTATGATTGATTAAATGAAATACCTTGTATTTTGCTCTGGGAAGTCTGGGGGGGAGGGTGGGATGAGGGGGGAAAAGGGTGGGGGGAACATGGGGGGGAAATTTTCTGTATTTTTTTTGTAAAACTTTTCAATTAAAAAAAAAGATTTTATATGGACTTTATTGTAACCCCAAAAATGCATATCTGAACGATTTTCTTAGTTGGTGATGTATGAAATCTGGAGATACATTAAGCCCATAGTATTTGGTCTTGTCTGTTTCTTTTTGGAATAAAATTATTTCACAGATAAATAGATTCCTGGATGTTTTCATGTTAAAAATGCTAATACTATTTTGATTTATATCTCCAAATTGTGGACCTTGTTTTAGATCTCTACCTATGCAGGACATGGGAATAGCAAAGGGAATAATACCGAGAAATTTGAAGTATAAAACTGCTCTGGACATCAAGGTCTGTTTAAGAAACGTATAATTTATCCAGACTGTATTTTATAACACAACTAGGTCCCGTTGAAATGGATCTCATAATATTTAACAATTTTTTTTTAAAGGAGTAACATTTTTATTCAATTTTCTCTTTGAGAAGACTGGTGGCAGTCCCCCCGGAGATCTATGCCCTTATTTCTGATGGGGGACATTCCCTGTCCTGCCAATTTTGTAAACTGCATTTACATAGGTACCAGATCAAAGGCAGCAGTTGCACAGATGAACCATCAGTTTAATCACAACATTTAAACTTGAGGAGCTGATCAGCTGCTGAGAGAAGAGAAGCCTCTTTCTGGCCCCATCCTGACCAACAGCTTGGATTACACAAGTGATGATGAACACACCACGATGGGCACCCACATAGTCGCCCAAACAGAACCCTCCCACCAGCAGCTCCCTTCTTTACCTGCAGTATGCCAGGTGGTCCCTGAGGTCAAACGATCCCTTTCGAGCAAGACCACATTGGTCATGCCCATCTTGGCAAGGTGGTAGATTGTCTGGCATCCGAGGCTGCCCCCGCCCACCACCACCACATCTGCAGAGGCAGGAAGGGGCTTTGTAGGCCCTTCAGGGGAGGAGAGGCCCTCTTCCTTCAGCGTCTTCTGGTATGGGACATTCTTCTTGGTAGTTAGGCCAGCACCACTAGTGAAGAACCGGAGCCTTCGTCCAGAGTGGGGTAACTGTCGAGCCGCTGCTGCTGCTTGGAGTAGAGACCTCAGGTGAGCCATGGCTGTCTGAAGAGAGAGGAGGACATTCACGCCAGGCACCCAGGAGATAAAGAATACCCCTGGGAACCAAGCAGCCATGATGCCCCCATGAGAGCTGGACACTGTCTTTGCCAGGGGAATTCTTCTTCCCCACATAATCCAAGTTAGCAAAGCCTAGGAGTTTAGTTTAGTTTATTTGATTTGTATACCGCCCTATTCCCGAAGGACTCAGGGCGGTGAACAGCCAACAATAAAATACATAGATACAAAAAATTTAAAAACCAGTTCTTGGCCGCAGCCTGGCGAAGTTGCCCTATTATGTTCCTGCTCAGCTCTGGGCCCCAGACCCAATGGTGCAAGCCAACCGAAGCCTCAGTGGGGCAGAAACAACTGGAACTGCACAAGTCAAGAGAAAATAACTGCTTCAGCTCATCTGAAGGGCTTTAAATGAAAAAGGGAAGGAGAGAGTGATTACCGTACTTTTCAGAGTATAAGACATACTTTTTCCCCCATAAAAGAGGATGGAAATGTTGGTGCATCTTATACACTGTTATGCCGAACAAACCTTATTGTCTTGTGGATCAAGGAAATACTATGGACATAGTTTACTTAAACTTCAGCAAGGCATTTGATAAAAGACACCACAGCATACATCTTGATGAGATAGATTAACAGATTAACAGAGTTGGAAGGGACCTCGTAGGTCATCTAGTCCAACCACCACCACCCCCAAGCAGGAGACTCTATACCATTTCAGACAAATGGCAGTCCAGTCTCTTCTTGAAAGCCTCCAGTGATGAAGCTCCCACAAATTCTGAAGGCAACTTCTGTTCCATGGGTTGATTGTTCTCACTGTCAGGAAATTTCTCCTTATTTCCAGGTTGAATCTCTCCTTGATCAGTTTCCATCCATTGTTCCTTGTCCGCCCTTCAGGTGCTTTGCGAAATAGCTCAACCCCCTTCCTCCTCTCTGGGGCAGCCCCTCAAGTATTGGAAGACTGCTATCCTGTCTCCCCTGGTCCTTCTCTTCACTAGGCTAGCCATGCCCATAACAATGTGGATAGATAACATAACCACAACATGGATTCCTAAATGTCTGACCAACCGCACTCAGTGTGTCAATGGAAACTACATCTACATCATCATCATCTCCTTTTAATGACCCCATAATCCCTTCCGGGTGGAGTCTGGGTCACTGAATAAAGCTGAGTGTTTACTGGCCGGATGCCCATTCTGTTGCCAGTGCAGAGTTTGTTCAGAGAGTTGGTGCCGAGAGAGAGAAATATCTGCCTCTAGGATCAAACTCAAAGCCTCCTGATTTGAGCCACCTCTAGGCTACTGCAACACTCAAACTGGAAGTAAATAGTCAGGTTCCTCAAGGTTCTGTATTAGGCCAGGACTCCTCAACATCTTCATAAACAATTTAGATGAGGGGATAGAAGGGAAACCCATTGAATTTGCAGACGAAAGTTGGAAGGAATGGCTAACACTTTAGTAGTTCTGGTCACCGCAGTACAGAAAAAGATGTTGAGACCCTGGAAAGTGTGCAGAGAAACAGAGCAACATGATAAGGGTTTGAGGCTAAAGACGAATGACGAACAGTTGAGAAAGCTAGGTATGTCTGGCTGGGGGTGGGGTATGATAACTGTCTTCCAGTACTTGAAGGACTGTCACAGAGAAGAGGGGATTGACTTACTCTCCAAAGCACAAGGGGGCAGGAGGTATTGGGTGGAAGGTTGTTAAAATTAGATCCAACCTAGAAGGAAGGAGAAATTTCCTGACAGTGAGAAGTATTAATCAGTGGAAGAGCTTGCCTCCTGGAGTTTTGGGTGCTCCATCACTGGAGGTTTTCAACATGAGATTGGATTTAACTGGGATGTTAGATGATCTCCTACCTTTAGTAAGGGGTTGGGCTAGAACCACTTCAAGGTCTCTTCCAGCCCTATGATTCTCTGTTCTGTGTTTGTTGCTAGCTGCTTATTCAGATTCTCATCTCTCTTTCTGCACACAAAACTCCAAGAACATTATCTAAGATATGCCAAAGTTCAGAAAAATCTAGAATGATTTTTCATAGAACTGTAGTTATTCTAAAGAAGCCAAGAGTTGATGCACACATACCCACACCCACACCCACACCCAGGGGCTGTAGGTGGCAATTATAACCAAGGGTGCAGCTGCTGAGAAACTGCCAAAATGCTTCAACTTCATAGCCTTCACAAAGCAGCCAGCCGGGTGCTTCCCCTTCCAGGAAAAGGCTGCCCAGGGAAGGAAGAGGCTGCAGGGGAGCCCTGGATCCGCCTGCGGAGTTGCTTCACCTCCCCTCCCTCCCAACCTCCTGAAACGGAGAAGAGACTCTTGAAGAGATGCAGCATCCCCCACTCCCTGCCGATTGCTGACCCAGTCCGGCCTGTCACTATTGCTCCCCCCCCCCCCGATACAGGCAGGAGGAGCCGCAGAAAGCGCTCAGATTGGCTCGGGCGGCGGGAGGGTCAAGAGGCAGCCCCCCCCCCGGTTCTTGACGAGCGGCTCCTGCTCCGCTTGGCGGCTCTGAAGGGCCAGCTGCCAGTCTCGCTGCCCAGCCCCCGCTGACCCCCGAGCCTTCCCGGGCGCTTTCCGAGGGGCCGCGGGGCGAGCTCGGGAAGAGCCAGAGCCACGTTGCAGGCTTGGAGCAGGTGGCCGCGCGGAAGAGCCGCCGGAGCGGGTCCGCCTGTGGCGCGTCCCGCAGCCGGGAAACGAGCCTCCCGCCGCCGCCCGCGAGAGCAGACGGACCTCGGGCGCCACAAGCGCCTCCCCGCCGCTCTCTTACCTCTCCGGCGCCGGCAACTTTTCCTCCGCGCACCCCTGGCTGCCCCGCGGCCGCCGCTCAGACGCGCCCGGAGCCGCCGTGCAGAAGGAGCCCGGCGAAAGCCCGAGCCGGAGCAGGGGCGGGCAGAGGGCCACGGGAGGCCGGGGCGGAGAGGGGGGCGCCGGCTTGGCGAAGCAGGAGGGCAAAGGCGGGGCGGGCAAGGGGCGCGGCGGCTTAACCGCTCGCTCATTGGCCAGGAGGGCGGGCGGGGTGCTGCGGAGGCGGCCCCGGCTCCCTGTTGCTGTTGCAGCTGCTGCCGCCGCCTCTGCCTGATGGGCCGTTTCGAGACTGTGACGGACGCAGCGCCGCGGACGCCTCGCTCCCCCTTGCTTCTTGGAGGCGGCCAAAGCGCTCCGGCGAGGCCATAGAAAGGCAGAGTGGGAAGGGAGCTCCCGGGTCTTCCTCTGAAGCAGCGGATCAGATGCCATCCCTAAGTTATTCTCTTGGATCACTTTCTGTCTGTACCCAAAGGCAACTGGACTTTCTTGCTTTTTCCTTGAAGACGTTTTGTTTCTCATTCAAGAAACTTCTTCAGTTTTGGAAACTTGGGACAACCATGATCTGGAATGACGGAGAATCTCCATAGACACTTTCCATCCATGACTTCATATCCTGCCTTCCGGTGCTTTGGAGGTCCATCCCGTATTCTCTGTGACAGCCCCTCAAGCAGTGGTGGGATTCAAATAATTTAACAACCGGTTCTCTGCTTTAATGATTTCTTCCAACAACCTGCTCAGAAAGTTAACAACTGGTTCTCCCGAAGTGGTGCGAACTGGCTGAATACCACCACTGCCCTCAAGTATTGAGGGGACTATCATGTCCCCTCAATCCTTCCTTTGATAGGCTAGATATCAGTGGTGGGTTTCAAAAATTTTCACTACTCATCTTAAACATTATTATGCTTAAAATGGGTGGAATATACGTAAAAACATCAACACTAGAAGAAAAAGGGGCTGTTGGAGGACAAGACCCTAAAGGATTAAAGTGGAAGGAAATCCCACCTGCGATGGTTGAACAAAAGAAAAGTCATGATGATATAATGGGAGATGGAGTGGATAAGAAATTGAAGGATCTTGAAAAAGAATTGCAGGAAGCTGAGTGCGGGGAAAAGTTACCACCCCTTTCTCTAAGAGATGAATTTAAGTAACTACCCAAAAGAAGTGACCCGACCATTAGCACGTCCCCTCTCCCCCACTCTCTTTATAGAGGCGGAAACCAATTGAGGATGTGGGGGACAAAGATTGTTTGTTATTTAATGTTTGATGTGTCTTTTGTCCTTTTTTATTTTATTTTTTTTATTTTTTTTTTCTTTTACGTTGAATGTTGTTTGGAATGTGGGAGATTGGTGCTGGGATTTGGGCACAGAAAGGAAGAGGAGGGGAAAGGATTAAAAAAGTTACAGTTTAAACGGGTTTAATAAAAATAATGACATGGAATGTGAAGGGTACAGGGAATCAGATCAAGAGAAGACGATTGGAACTTAAAATTAAAAGAGATTTACCAGATATCTTATTTTTGCAAGAAACCCATCAGAAATCTGAAGGCTCAAATAAAATGTATATAAAGGGTATGCAAATTTATGAAAAATCTTTGGAACTTCAAAAGCTTCAAAAGAGTTGCAACATTGATATCAGATAGGGTATATTTTGAAAAAGAACAAGTAATCGTGGATGATGAAGGAAGATATGTAATAATTGTGGGAAATATTAATGAGGAAAAAGTGACACTGGTTAATTTATACCTACCGAATGAGAAACAAAAAGAATTTCTTGAAAAAATAACTAAAATTTTGGAAATTGAAAGTGTAGGGAAAGTAATTGTGGCTGGAGATTTCAATTTAATTAGAGATAAGAGATTTGGCTCAACATGGTTTTTAGATAAAGCAAAATCAAAATGTGTAATTAATAGCTATTGGTTAAAGGGACTGAGTAAAATTTGGAATAAATTTGTTAACATTTTAATTCCAGATATAATTTTCTTAGGGAAGACAATTGAAAATTGGCCGATCAAAACTAATATAAGTCGTGATAGGGTAATGGAAGATGAAATATATACAAATTATAATAGATTGGTTAAAAACTTCAGAAAATGAAGGAGGAAAAAAGAAATTAAAAGAAAAAATTGGGTTTAGGCTGGTTTGAAAAAATACAGATAGAAAAATGGACTAAGAAAGTAAGGGACAATTGTTCGATACGTAGAAGTAAAACTGAATTTGAACATTTAGTATTCCAAATTATGAAAGATGAAATTAGGCTAAAGGGACTCGTTAGTAAGATATATAAGATTATAAATTTTGATGGAAAACCACAAAGGGTGATGAAGATGAATTGGGAAAAAGAACTTAATATTAAAATATCAGATTTAGATTGGATGTGAATTGGAGGAGTAGAATTATGAAGACTTTATCTGTAAGGATTAAAGAGCATAATTATAAGGTTGTTTGGAAATGGTATTTGACTCCATTAAGATTGTCATTGATGGATAACAAAATTAGTAAACAATGTTGGAGATGTGATATGGAATTAGGGACTTATGAACACATGTGGTACAAATGTGATAAAGTTAAAAAGTTTTGGCAACAATTGGAGAAAGTGATATTTGAAATGATGGGGAAAGCAATAATATTGAGACCAGAAACTATATTACTGTTGATAATTAAGGAAATAGAACCAACAAAATACGAGAAAGAATTGATTAGAATTATGATTATAATGGGTAGAATTATAATAGCCAGATATTGGAAATTAGATGTGAATTTTAGAATAGAAGAATGGTATTGTGAAATGTGGAAATTAGCTTTAAACGATAAAATGACATGTGATATTAAAATTAGAAATGGTGACTATAAAGAAGATATTTTCTGGAAAATTTGGAAACCATTCGTGGATTATGCGCTGGGAAAATTAGATGCTTCGGTACTTGTACCCCGAGAACGTGGATTTTGGCGATCATGAGGATATATCCGAAGAACCAAATCTTCCTTTCTTATGTATAGCACAGGGTGAAGTATTGTATATGTTGTTTGTAATGTTAATTTAATAATATAATAAACTTTAAAATAAAAAATAAAAAACAAACAAAAATTTTCACTACTGGTTCAGTGGGCCTGGCTAGGTGGGACATGTGACTGAGTGGGTGCAGCCAACTTGATGTCACTCACACCCACTCAATCACATGACACACCTCCCCCCCAGCCATGCCCACAAGAAAAGGTAGGATTTTTTTTGGAATTTCCACCTATCTACCCCCACCCTAACTTTGCCAGTTGCCCCCAGTTCCTTTAGCGGCCCCGGCCATAGCCCCACTTCCTCCCCCACCACTGCCTCATTGTTCGGGCTGCTTACCTTCTGCGGAGTCCAAATGAGAAGCTGACCAGAATTTTTGGAAAGCGGCTGGCAAAGAAGCCTCCCTAGTTGCAGGCCGCTGAAAAGTACCAGAGGTCGTGGAAAAAGCTGCTGCCTTCACCACCATGTTCTTTGCGCATGTGCATCCCATTGGACTTGCAAGGCAATGGGATGCGTGTGCGTGAAGACCATGGCGGCGAAAATGGCAGGCGGGGCGAGCGAGCGGCAACCAGGGGAGGAAGATTATCTGGGAGACATGATGGACTTCCTTCCAGTCCATTTTAGCCTGACACCAAGGTCGCTGTACCCTGGGGATGAACTACTATCAAGCTAACACCTCAAGAGTTCTCAAAACACCTTTGTGGCACTGTATTGGATACTGGTGAAGGCAGGGTGGGGTTTTGAATGGGGAAGAATAGCTTAGCACTTTGTGTGGGAACTTCAGATTCCTCCTGACTTCTCTGCAATCACTTTCTCTCAGTAAAAGTTCCTTTTGATAACTACTTGTTTCAAGAGTTATGCTTTCCTGAGATGATAGTTGAGGCAGATCCTTACACCACTGTTCTATACCTGTGCATTTGGTTTTTCCTGCCTGTTGTGGCCCCGCCCTCTGAGCCTGTCCCATCGGAGGAAGAAAGCTCCAAGCATGAGGAAGAGGAGTCAGCCTCCCTCTCCAGGCCCCTCCCCTCTGGCACTGTCTCAGGAGCCGGCCGAGGGAGAGGAGATTAGCCGGGAGACAGGTGTCTCGGATGAGAGTGAGGGAGAGACGTCATTCCTGGATGCACGCCTCCGAAGGCGTGATAAACGATTGCAGCAGCTCAGGAGGCATGCTAGGGATTAGAACTGAGTCACTGGACCACACCCCAGAGACTATATAATAGAGGGTGGTGGCCAGTGATCCCTGTGACGAACAAAAATAAACCTTGGATAGTCACTAAAGCCTCGTCCGAAACTGCTGAGAGGAATATTAATTCTGTTGGACTCTTGTACGCTGAGTATATTATCTTTCTGTTTTCTGTGGAAATAAAAGCACTTGGCAGACGGTGTGTATATCGCTGCCAAGTTGGAGATAAAGACCTGGGTGTGTTTCAAGTGCTTCCTTAACCCTCGGCTGGCTGTGTTTGTGTGTGTGTGTGGACGGGGACGGATCACCTGCCTAAGTGCAGGACTTTACTTTTCTCACCACTGAATTTCATTTTGTTAAGAGACGGCGTTCAAGTGTCCAGGTCTGTCAAGATCTTTCTGTACCTTGAGTCTTGTCTTCTGAAGTGTTAGCTATTCCCACCAGCTTAGTGTCATCTGCAATTTTGATAAGTTTCCCTTCTGTCTCTTCATCCAAATCATTTATGAAAATGTTGAAAAGTACTTGGCCTAAGACAGAACCTTGGAGTTCCTGACTGCATGCTTCCCGCCATGTAGATGTAGTTCTACTGAGGACCACACATTGAGTGTGGGTAATGAGCCAGTTACACGTCTATGTGGTGGTGATGCTGTGTATCCTACATTTTTCTATCAAGAAATAGGTTGTGGTCTACTTTGTCAAATGCCTTATTGAAATCTAAGTATATTGTGCTCACAGCATTTCACTGGTCTACTAATCACTAGTCACTGTGTCAAAGAATGAAGTAAGATTTCTTTGGCATTATTTGTCTCTGACAAATATACGTTGGCTTCGGCATATAGCTTTGTTCACTTCTAGGTATTTGCAGATCAATTGCAGATGTTGGGTTGATTGGTCTGTAATTTCTTGGATCCACCCCCCCCTTTAAACTTTTAAACATTTTTTTTGACATGAAATTTATATTTACCAACAAAGAAATAAAGGGAGACTAGTATAGATCTGTTTCAAGCTATTTAGCTCTTGTCAGCTAGCCATACCCTTCTGGGGTTCTGGTTTACTGGGGCTTTTTTCAGCTAAGGCCTCTCAGACAGGATGTGGGAGAAAGCAATGGCTTGTGGTCACTGCGGATTTATTTTAAGCTGCTCTCATTGGGAGATCCAGCCAAAGCCAGGATAAGGCCAGAGCTTGTGTCTGTGTGTGTGTGTGAGAGAGAGAGAGAGAGAGAGAGAGAGAGGGAGAGGGAGAGAACTATATATTATGTATCATTCCAAAGGAAAGTCATGGAGTTAGAAAGGAAACAATGTTATCCATCCAATGGAATGTTCTGGATGCATGATCTGCATGACCCTCAGTGTTGGTGTTCTGCCAAAGGATGAAGCTGGAAGGGAAGAAGCTCCAAGTTCATCTGTCCCATCTATGCTCAGTCCCTGGCTTTGAGCTCTGCACTTCCTCCGTAGAAATTACGTGAAGGAGCTGGAGCTTTGGTGGTGCTGGTGGCTTCTTGACCAGAAGGGACCTAAACAGACCACCCTTACTAAATCCAAATCATACATCGCCTTCTTGCCTTGGCAGCCAGCGCTGTTATTGTTTCATCCCCATGACTGAGTGGTCTGAGCAGGCTTAAACTCCATAGTGACCAGACTGGATAGATGTGGATGTTTGCACACTTCTGAGTCCATCTTTGATCCTGAATACGACTATAGGAATCTCTTCAGATTTTGACGGGTGGGAGGGGGACAGCTCCTGCTCAAGCAGCAGGTGGCAAATGATCACAAGTGCCTGCACCCAGTTGCATCTACACCTAGATTAGGAAGCCTTTTTAGACGGTCACTCATGTTCTGGTCATCTTGCATTTGAACTGTCACAATGAGCTCTGCATGGGGCTTCCCTTGAAGACAACTTGAGCATCGCAACTAGTCCAGAATGCAGCAGCCTGGACAATTATGGGATGCCCAGAGGTCACCATGCTTTGTGAGCTGGACTTTAGCCCTTTAGCTTGTGGGCACAATTCATGACACGGTTCAGCCCTTTCATTGCCTGGGTTTGAAGGACCATCCAGCCTCATAGTTTCTGTCTGTTGCACCCAATTTGACAGCATCATCATGTATTCTGGGCCCAATCAATTTAAGAGTGTCATCTCTGTCACGGCACATGCCCTCTGCACCATCATTCTCCAAGATACAGTAGCTGTGCTCCAAGCTGGCCCTATTTAAATAAGCCTTAAAACCTGGCTGTATTTCCAAGACAAAGTGGTGATACACCTATTTGGGTGATTTGATCTTATATAAATTTGTTGAAATTTTTCTTCTGATCATGTCATAATTCTTTTAATTGTTCTTTTTAATTGTTGCATTTTGTTAGCCACCCAGAATGATAACAGATTGGGGCAAACATAATAGATAGCAATAGCACTTAGACTTATATGCCACTTCACAGTGCTTTGCAGCCCTGTCTAAGCAGTTTACAGAGTCAGCCCAACAATCTGGGTCCTCATTTTACCCACCTTGGAAGGACGGAAGGCTGAGTCAATCTAAATGAATAATTCTATTCAATAAAATTTAGGGATGAAAGATTACAGAAGGCCTACAGAGAAAAAGATCCTTGTGCAGAATGCTGAAGGCCAGAAAGAACAACTGAAACTAAAAGAGAGGAAGAAAATACTGAAAAATTAGATGGAAAATTTTCCAAAAATGATCATCTAAGCAAGTGAAAAGGGATAAATAGGAGACCTCCAGCAGAGGAGGACAGAATTATAGATGAAATGAATGAGTTGATTTGGGATGAAAGTGAAGGAAGGAAATGCCGGCACTCGAAAGCTTTGCCTGGGGGTGGTCGCGGCCGGCCATGGGACCGGATGCAGAAGACGGAGCAGGTGTGAGGCTACAGAGTAAATGCAGGCCAGGCAAAGAGATCAGATTTGGCTCTTAGCAGCTGAGTGAGAAATGGGTGAAGGAGATGGTCTGTATTGATTTGGAGGAAGAATAAGAACTGAGTTATCAGACATTTGCATAGATATGGGATCAAAGGGCTGCTGCCAAAAGGAATATAAAAAGAGCAATGGAAGCAAAGTGTAGATTAAAATAAAATTTGAGTTGGCAATAAATGTATCTTCAGTGTATTGCTGAAAACATGAGAGGGATCGGTCAGGCCAGCATCTGCCTCTGCAGCTGATGCTGCATTGTTGCAGTAAATATTAAACAATTGCAATGCAGGTCTGAAATTAATGTATTTTCAAGTTTGTTACGCTAGAATAGAAAAAATGAAGAAAGCCATTATTAGCTTAGCTCTGAACTGCAGCGAAACATCAACACAAGTCAATGAATCTTTGCACTTTAGTGCTTATAAAGATGGGAAATTGGTGAAGATAATTTAAGAAAAGAAGATAACTTGCAAAAAGTGTGTGGTCTTGCAAAAGAGGGGGGAAGGGTGTGAGTGTGTGTGCTTCTGATCACTTGGTTACATGGAAATGAAAGCTGGACTTGTCCAGAGAAACATACAAGGATTCGTTTAAAACATACCATTTTATAGTCAACTTGTTACTCATTCCGTATTTAATATTTTATCTTTGCAGCTGGTTCATTTCAAAGCTGCCTCCAACTGCAGCAGCATAAATATTTTGAGGCGGACCAACAGATGCGACTTCACTGGCAGCAGGGCACCTGTGGGCAACTTGAAAGAAAGGTTGGGGACAAAATTTATCTCTGCGGTCTCTAGGAGTCAAAATGACTAAATGGCACAAAATCATAGGAAAGATGCCTGGTGTGTACAGATGCCAGGTGGCCCAGGAAACCATGTAAAAGGAGGGGAACAAAGGAAAGGTGTTTGCTAGAGAAATCTCTAAGTGTTGGTAATTGAGGATATTGTATATGTAAATATATTACCATTTTTCATCCATCCCTTCCTGGCCTCAATTTAGGACAGTGCAAAAAAGAAAATAATAAAAAAGAGACCAACACATCAGAGAACTTTTTCCGTATTGTTTTCCCATTATTATATTTCTTTTTAAAAACATTTTTGCAAAATCAAAATATATGTACAATATTTTGCCCTTTTAATAAAAATCCTTTTTCTTATTCACAAGTAGGAGAGTAATTAATTACAAACCAAGCACCTCCTGGGGGGAAAAAGACATGTTACATCAGCAAACAAAAAAAGCCTTCCTTTTTTCAATCAAGAAATAGTTTGACATTTCTTCAGAAGGATTACCTCATAGTACGATTGCATTATGTTCCCTAGTTTTTTGAGAAGAAACACCTCTTTTCAGTTTTCCTCTTGCCTAACCTCATTTTCCAAAGTTCAATGGATTTCTGTAAGGTCTGAACGTCTCACGTCTCCCGGGGCTCACTCAGTGAGGAGTGGGCTTCACCCTCGACCTCCCAGTCCTGGCCCAACACTTCTCTTGCCCTTGCAACTCCACCATGCCAGCTCCTCCCTCGCTTAGTTCACAGAAAATGCAGGCAGGTTTTGACTCAATGGTTGGCTTTCTTTTGCTTGTACTTCTCCACAGACGGGGTCACAATCGATCTCCTTCTATTCCTCCCACACCTTCCCCCACTGCATCCACTGGGGGGGGGGATTCTGGAGGGATCCAGAAAGAGGGGAGAGATGCAAGAGGTGGAGAGCAGGTGCCTCAAGCCTGGACTCCTCCTGGAGGCCTCGGCCCCATCTGCAGCACAGAGGAGAAGCTATCTCCAAGAGGGGAAAGGGGCCAGCTGACAGTTAGGAACACACTGCATGCCCTCTCCTCTATCACTGGGTATGCTGCGGTGGGTCCTCCCTGGTGCCTTTATGCCTCTTTCTAATCCTCTCTAATCCTTCAGGAGGAACTGGTGAGCGGTCTGGGAGATACGAGCAGTGTATTTCTCCGCTCTGGTTCTGCAAAGCATCTCTCAGCCCCAGCTCCTAGCACTGAATCCACTCCAGACAAAAACTAGAGAGCAGCAGAGAGAGAAGACAAAAAGTCTCTCTTCTGCCATCTAGTGGTCACTGGGGTTTTCACAGACCAGACAGACAGACTCCTCACTCCTTTCTCCTACCTACCTACCCCTCAGTTGCCTCAGTCTATGGGGAGAGGACGGGTGTTAGGCAGCTGAGCTCCCCCACTCAGGGGGAGATTTGCCTGATGACCCAAAGAGTTCTACAGGGATCCCATCCAGCTTTGTTGAGATCAGCCATAGTGGGGTGGGGTGGGGGTGACCTTCTGCTTCTCTCTGCCACACGTATTTCCCTACATGAAAAGGGCAATGATTGAAAGATCTCCCTGCTCTCTGGCCTAGGGCCAGCCCCATTTCTGGAGGGACAGCCATGTCAGGGAATGGTCGCTTGCCAGGCTGTCTGCAGTGGGCAAAAGGGGAGAAGCAGCCTGAAAAAGCCAAGAAGATTTTAAACTTCAGGCTGATTTCAGGCAAACCGTGAACCCGCTGTGGGGTTCCAGACCTGCCTGGGCATTCAAGCACAGATTTGCTGGGAGCAGGCAGACAGGGGTGTGCCAATCCCAGGGCGCTATGGGGCAGCAGCTTCCAGGAGACTTTGGCCTCTGCCCCCTGGAGAGGCCCAGCTCCTGCCCACAAGCAGCCCCTTGGCACCAAAGCCTTTTGCAAGAGAGTGGAGGAAGCCAGGGAAGAGGCTCAGTGCCCAAGAGGGCTCCCTGAAGCATGTTTGGAAGGGAAAGCTGAGCCGTCTTTACTGCCTGGACATGGCCAGCGGATCTCCCCAGTCTGAAAGGCAGAGAGATTCCTCCTTCGCGGCAACTCCCCAGAGTTTGGGGGGGGTGGAAGCCGAATGCTGGAGAGATCCCTGCGAGGGATCATTCTGTGCGCATCTGTGGCAGCCGTCTGGACGCCGCCTGTTCTATTCAATGCTAATCCTCTTTGGCAGCCTCTTCTCCCAGCAGAAGCTCCTACAGCTCTGAGGGGCCCTGGATGGATGGAAACTGTTTTGCCAGCAGGATGAGCAATAATGCAAAGTCCTTCTGGGGAACTCAGAGGGCAGCGGTGCCATCAGGAATTGGCGGGCCCTGAGAAACCCAACCGATGCCAGGCCAAGCTGGTTGTGTGACTGGCAGAGGTTCCTGGAGGCCACGGGGTCCATTCTGGCAGCCAGCTCAGACAGGTTCCCAGGACTGATGGAGGAAAGACCCACACAACAGAGGGAGAGGCAGCCGTGGAGCCCGGGGGGTGCAGCCACATCTCTCTTCTACTTCCTTCTCTTCAGTCAGGTGTTTGCACCGCAGTCCCTGATTCAAGATAGGCTCAGGAAGAGCCCCAGCAGTTCTGGGGATGCTCACATGGTAACCGGGTGGACTCTTTCCTCTGGATCACATTTAGGGCAGCTTCGGTTGGCCCACAGCCACAGTGGACGCTGGGACTTGCAGAAGCCTCCCTGCACAAAATTCCTAAGCTAAGGGCACTCTTTGCAAAATCCTCCTGTGCCTCCCAAACTCTAGAGAAGCATCTCTGCTAGCGCCCCATCCAAGCATCAGACATTACCAAGCCCATCTTCCACACTTCAGAAGGCTTTGTAGTGCAGCCACTTCTGGCCAGGCCATCGGGTCCTGCCTACCTTCCTTCCCCAGAGGCTTCGAGGTTTTCTGCAAACAGCGTTTGGTTCTTCTGTGCCAGGAAATTGGTGGGAGAGAAGCAGCTGTGCCTTGCCCATGCGCACACCTGCTCCCAGCCCCACCGCTGCACATGCCCCTCATGCACTCACACCCATGGACTGGGGAGTGGGCCAGGGAGGGTCTCTTCTCGGTGCTGGAAGAACAGTCTTGTTTCCCTCGGAGGCCCAGAGATGGGCCGGGGCTGCCCTTGGGGACAGTAGCTCTTGCCAGTCTGGGCATCATTGCACCCCCTCTTCCTCCACGTAGGTCGAAGGGAACCAGCCAATCTGCAAGAAATCAGGAGGGAGCATAAGGACGGAGGGGCAGCCCAGGATGGGACCAGGCCAGGCCTGGTGGGGAGGGGCTGGGAGGGCTTTTATGACTGAGTAGGCTTCAGAGAACAGGGCCTGGCACTGGCCTTGTGCTCAGCTGGATGCATCACTGCTCCCTGGCTGGATGCCCCCTCCCCAATTCGGAAAGAAAAGCGGCAAGAGAGGGCCATGCCCCTTCCAGAGGCTACTTACTCGGCCATTGGCCTCTCCCTTCCACCAGCCTTGATCCCCGCCGATCCGGCTGTAGATCTTCACCACGTCCCCTTCCTGCAGGGAGAGCTCCCGCATGTCCCGGGCAGCAAAGTTGTACCTGGCCACTGCAGTCCCGATGGCCCGAGGGGTGAAGACTGATGGAGGGAGATATAAAGGAAGAAGAGTGAAGGGGCTTCCCATGGCATGGCCTGTCCATCTCCCAAGACAGGCGACAGCAACGTCAACACGTTCTGTGGCTTCTGGCTGAATTTTTCTTTCTTTCTGGCCACAAGGAGCCTTTCTCAGCTGCTATTCGGCTGCCCTGCCAAAGCTGGACTAGGACCTGGTGGCTGATCTGCCAGCTGTGGGCAGAGGGTCACCCTGTCCTTTCTTAAATGGCCAGCAGATGTCACTGTTCTTCAGCAAATGGATGGGGGCCTCTGCATGCATATAGAGATATAGATATAGATATAGGTATTATACACCTACTATATTTATTGAGAGAGAGAGAGAGAGAGAGAGAGCTATATCTACCTGACCAAAAAGGAGTGGAGGGATTCTGAGAAGTGAAGTGGTGGCCCTGAGGACTGAGAAAGGAAAAATTGTAGGAAGCGCAGGCAGCTGCAGAAAAGAAGTTAGAGGGAAATGAAGGCAGCAGGAGAAAGGGGGGGGGGAGACAGTATTAAAGGGGGACATTTATGAAACGGGAGAAATCAGCAAGGCAGGGGAAAAGCCCACCCAAACCACGCGGCTCTTCATGCTTCGGCCTGACAGGAAGACAGAGGTGCTCTGCGTGGCTGGCCAGCCTCTCAACCCCGACACCCTCCGGGCAGTCTCTCCCGCTTCCTCCCCAGGGGAAGACCCCACTGTGGGCTGATGTTCACAGAGGGAGCCAGGCCCGGAGGGGAGCAAGCAAAGCATCTGCCTGGGAAGGGCACTGGTCCCCTGCAGGGCCAGGGAAGGCTGTCTCCAGAGGAGCAGGCCCAGCAGAGTCAGCATGTGGGAAGGATTTTGCCCTTTCTTTAAAGTACCAAACAGCAGTTGCTCTCAGATGCGTCTGCCCAGCAAGGGCCGACCAGACTATGAAGCGCAGCTCGGAGCAAGTGGGCAGCATCTGAAAGGACCACTGAAGGCATTTGGAATCCCCTCCCCCCAAGAGCCCAGATGCAGGATCAGCTTCAGCCACACACTTTCTCCTCCTCCTGGTCAAAATGAGTTTTGGGGATGAAGCCAGAATCACACAGGAAGCACCGCCCCAGCAATCTCGGCCCGAGCCATAAAAAACTTGGATGGAGCTTCCGGGTCCATTTGGCCATCGGTCCACTTGCTTGCCCACACTCAGACCAGCCCCTCCTTCATCACTCACCCCTCACCCGCGGGAGGAAGGGGAGACCTTGTGGTCAGTTGGGGAGTTTGCACAGATTTGGTGCTTTCATGAGAGAGCACGGTGGAGGGCAAGGAATTCCTGCTTTTTCCTCAGGGGTGGGGTGGAGGGAATGTTTGACATTCTCCCCATCAAGGCTCGGAGATATCTGGCAAAAACCCCTCCCCTTTCAAAGCGACTCCAACGTTCTTTTCATAAACTCAAATTCAGGTATTAAAATCGTTCTGTTTCAGCCTCAGGACATTTAAGAATTTCTTTGGTATTTCTGTGATCAGGGCCGGATTTTCCTATAGGCTAACTAGGCTTCAGCCTAGGGCCTCAAGATCAAGAGGGGCCTACACAGTGGTGGGATTCTGGGGGTTCTAGGTGGCTCGGCCGAACCCTTTGTTAAATTGCTGGCTCGCCCGCCCCTCACCTCCCACCCGCGCGGCGCCAGCGGGTAGGCAATTGTGGCTCTTTTACAACCTGTGGACTTCAACTTCCAGAATTCCTGAGACAGCTTGGCTGGGAGTTGAGGCCACAGGTTGTAAAAGAGCCACAACTGCCCACCCCTTCCCTAGCCTGAGTTCCGCTGCCTGGGATCCACGTGGGCTGCCACGTGGTTCCCCACCGGCTCTGGACGCAAGAGAGCAGGATGGAGAAAGCAGCTTCCACGCCTTCACTCACCCTCATTCTCTGCTCTGTTGGATCGCCGGCCGTTCGCTTACCCCGCCCACTCCCCATCTATTGCTGCCTCCGATGGCTAGAGGAAAAAAACCCTTCAAATTCTTGCTGCGGGGCTTCAAAGGGCCGCCCTAGAGCCAGTGGTGCAGCCGAACTCTTTGTTAAATTGCTGGCTTGCCCCACCCCTCCGCACCACTATTTATTGCCAATAAATAGTGGTGGGTGAGGGGCGGGGGAGCCAGCAATTTAACAAAGGGTTCGGTGTTTTTTTGTAATTTTATTGGCCCTGGAGCTTCAGCATAGGCTAATTGGCCTCCCGGCTCTCAGCTGATTTGTCTCAGCTGTTTTGCTCAGGGCTCTTCTGCTTCCTTGCAAAGAGTGCTGATTTTTTTCCCCCTAGCTATACTGAAAAACGAAAGAGAAAGTAAAGCAGGCTGTTGGCTTTGCTGCAACATTGGAAAATTAGGCAGGCAGGTTTCTTTTTCCTCACCAGAAAAGGTAGGTGCAAACAACGGGAAATTTAGGGAAAAAGAGGAGATTTTAAAACACAAAAGAAAAAAAGCTCTATTTAACTAGGGAATTGTAATAATTGAGATACTATTAATTGTATATTTCTGAAAGCAGAAATGGTTAAGTTGTGGTTTGGAGGAATATATGGGGGAAATTATTTGGTTTATTATTATTGGTAAATATCATTAATTGATTTGTAAGAAATTGGATTGCATGGAAATAATTGGAATATTCATGTTCATATTGATTAATATACAAAAAAGGTAGTTATATAACTAATTGATTTATATTAAAATGTTGAATTTATATTAAACAACTAATATTACATAATTAACCAATGTGAGGATGGATATAAAAATAGATGACAATGGGAAGGGGTATAATATAGAATAGAAGGGAAAAATTGAATTTGATTAAGATTAGAGATGAGGATGAAGGGTAATATTGGTTTTTTACAAAAATAGATGAGGAATAAATATGGCAAAAAGGAAATATAGAAATTGTAAATTTAATTGAAATGACTAAACACTGTTTAAATTTGTGAACCGGCCAAATACTCTGTTCAAAGAAAATACATTGTATGTTTTTATGTGTGTTTCTAATTATTGTTATTTATTCATATTTGTTCTCTTTTATTCTTTAAAGTTTAACAATTCATTCTTTATCTTAATATCTTTATATTTGTTTGGGGTTGGCTTTCTTCCCTTTCATCTTTTTTATTGTACAGCAATCTTTCTCCTCAAACCTACCATCCCTCTCTTTTCTTTCCTTCTTACTTTCTCTCCCCCACTCTTCTTCTCCTCCCTACTTCCTCTTCCTTTCTCCTTCTCCTCCTCTCTTCCTCCCTCTCTTACCCTCCCTCCTACTCTAATTTCCCTTCCCTTCCTTCATCCCTCTCTATTGCTGTATCCTTTTATGCATATGGACTACTCAGAGGGCTGAAAAAGTTATTTCTGACTGATCCTCGCACTTTTGACCAGTCATCGAACTTACGACTGTCTTCACATTTTATGTTTTTTGCCCTATCTTATCACCATGGTGAAGAGAAGCAGTTGTGAAATGAGTGACATGGTTGTTAAGAAAGCTGCACGGGCATAAATGTGACGATGGTCGTAAGTGTGAGGACTAGTCAAAAGTGTGAGGCCCAGTCAGAAATGACTTTTTTCAGCCCTCTGAAAAAAGTCTATGCACATAGCCACGCCCACCTGGTCACATGACGAGCTAGCCACGCCTACAGTCACGTGACCAGCTAGCCACGCCCACCCAGTCACATGATTGCCAAGCCACACCCCCAACTAAGCCACGCCCACAGAACCTGTTGTTAAAAAAATTGAATCCCACCACTGGTGAAAGGGCCTCATAAGTGGAATAGCCTAGGGCCCCTTTCAATCTAAATCCGGCCCTGTCTGTGATTATATAGAGTTTGAGATGCTGCCCTGAGTTCCTTCTGCTGGGAGGAACGCAGATGAGCTTCCAGAGAGGAAAAGAGAAGGAGGGGCTGTCTCTTTCCCAGCCCCTCCCTGCTGGGGAGAGTTTGGCAGCTGGGGGGTTGGAAAGCTGGAGGTTTGTTGAAAACACCTCCCTCCAACCCACTGATTGAAAAGCAGCCACTGGTTAGACTGGGCCCTTGCTGGGCTGAGCCACTATGGTAGTTGCTCTGTGTGAAAAGCCATGGGGTGTTGGGTCTTGAAAGGTTGGGAAGTGCCCCATCCCCATAGCAGGAGTCTTTCGACTGCTGGACTTCTCTGCCGGCCAGACAGACCTTCAGGAACCCGCTGGTGGGGCCTGGGCCTTCAAGGGGCATCCTGGGGGTGCCAGCCATGCAGCCACAGGGCTTCTACTTGTGGGAGCAAAAGGGGGGGGGGCTCCTTTTGCAAGCTCTCCATCTGCTCTGTGACCCCCAGCAAGGCGGAGAGAGTCCTTACCCGGGGATCGAGCTAAGGTTCTTGAGGCCGAACGTTCCCGGGATTTGTATGGATACTTCAACGTTGTGTCCAGCTGTTTGAAGCTCTCCTTCAGCGAATGGGCTTGGTAGTACTCCACCAATTCCTGCAGAAGACAGGTCAAAGCCCATGAGCCCCTTGAAGCCCCCAGGAAGACCAGGTCCAAGACGGGGCTTGTTTTTCTCAAAATACCAACGTACCAAGAGGCTTTCAAACTTTTTTGCTTCTGTGATGTGGATCCAGTTATCTTTTTCAACCACTTTAATATGCTTGACCTCGTCATTAAACCTGCAAGGGAGAGGGCAGAGGTTTCAGAAGTTCATCACAGGGAAGTTTCCCACCCAAAAGCCCACCCCGCCATCACCCCCCCAGATTTGCCCCATGGAAGAGGCTGGCAGAGCTGGGCTTAAACCTGCCAGACTTTAATAGCCAAAGGTCCCATTTGGTGTGGGTGCCCCTCTGTGCTGAAATGCTGGAAGGTTTGCTCCACTGGGGAGGCCAATCAGGCCAATCTCTTGAGGGCTTGAGGTGTGAATGTGGTCTCCCAGGGAGGACCATGATCCAGGCTAATTTTGGATCCATTATTGGAAGCAGAGAAGTTATCTTTGGCAAACTCTAAAAGCAAGAGCTCTCCTTCAGCAAGTACAAAGAGGTTTGCAAGGCCAGTTTAAAAAGGGCACCACATGGCGCTTGCCCCAGGGCCACCCCTTAAGCCATGTGTAACTCTTTGGAATAGGAAGATAGGAACGGTCTGGAAACTAGCTGGGGTCCTGCAGGGCTGTGTGAACCCATCTCCTGATTTTGGAAGAGGCCCTGTGTGCCCCTCAGGGGTGCGAGAAGGTGCTCTTCATGAGCCACTGACTTGATGCTGATAGCAAAACGCTCGGCTTCGGCTGGCCTCTCCCGGATCAGGTAGGTCCCGCTGGCATGCTGCTTCAGGAGGTTGTCCGTCTGCTGCCTCTCCATGTTGCCTGCAAACCTAAGAGCCACCCTCTGGGTTAGGAGAGATCCCCCTTAGATACCCCAGATGTCCCCTTGATGTTCCCAAGCTGCACTGGTCTGCAAGGAGGCCCCTGATGCAGAGAGAGGAGTTGGGAAGCTGGGTCTTGGTCATCGGAGGCTCAGCCTGGGGGCAGAAGCAGCCACGCCTCCCTCTTGGCAGCTGGGTGTTTCTGGCCCTGCAGGGCTTTGGGGAAACGGGGCCTTGCCTGCCGGAGCCCTTGGCAGCCTCGATGTCTTCCCTAGGCAGGTACGGAAACGTCCACTAGCCAAAAGCCCAGCTCACAGTTCAACCCTGAGCTGCAGAAAGTCTTCCATCACAGGGCTCTGTATTTCAGCCCCGCCTTGCCCACAAAATCCCAGAGTTGGAACGGAAGGGCCTGAATCCAACCCATAATCCAGCCCCTCCTTTAGGGAACTGCCCCCCCACCCATCTCTCCAGATCATTGAATCTACCATCCAGCTGGTTTCTCCTAACACTGCTTGCACTCTGTGGCCAGAGAGAGCTGGTCTTTTCCTCCAGTGTGACAGATTCCAGAAAGTCTCCCCCACCCTTTAATTTTTCTTTTCTCAAGGCTCAACATCTCCACCAGATGCTCTCCTTAAGGCCTTTCTCTGACTCTCTTCTAAGTTCTCTGAAGACTTCTTAAAGCTCAGCACACAGAACAGGGCAGCACCAATAAACAGATCTGGCCAAGAACTCGGGAGTTCTTCTTTCGTGGCATCTCTGGTGCTGTTGATGGAGCCCAGCACTAGATTTGCCTTTCCTTCACGGTTGGCTCGTGTTTAATTTTAACAAATGATTATTTCAGGGTTGCTTCGTCAATAACATATCGAGCCAGCTACATCTACTCTAATTTTTCTCCATTTAATTCTTGTTTCCTATATAGCAATTTGGCATCCATCTCTGTAAAATTATATCTTCTTAATCTCAGCCATTCTTTAACCTAGCAAAATTAATTTAAATTTTATTCCCATTCTGAATCAGCGGCGAATGGGATGGTCTGAATCAGGCATCCCATCATGGAGAGGAAAAGGCCCAGGCTGAACCTCTTGGCCTCTGATGGGAACCTCCCTGAAGGTGGTAAGGAACCATCAACCATTAACAGAGATTAACAGATTAACTAGATCTTTGCCCAAGCAGGAGACCCTACACCATTTCTGACAGAGGGCAGTCCAGTCTCTTTGAAAGCCTCCAGTGATGAAGCTCCCACAACTCCTGAAGACATCCTTGGGAAAAGCTGGGTCTCATGCCAGAATTCCCTTGGAACCCTTGGGCTTCCCCTTCGCACCTCCTGCTGCTCCAATCCCAAGTCTCTTCAGCCACCCATTCTCCAGTTAACGTCAATCTGCAATCGTGCACCTCTACAAACTTGGGGGACAATGAGGGTCTCTCCTCTGGCTCCAGGTTGTGGCTTCAAGCAACACCTTCCAGAAAACCCCCAAATGAAGAGGAGGCCCCTTCAAGATCAGGACTCTTGGGTCCTTGCCATCATCTATCCTAGGGCAATAATCCCTCTGGCTGAAGAGGCAACAGCACATCGAAAGCCACAAGAGGCTCTGGCACGAAGGAAGCCTTCCTTACTGACACAGGGATAAAGCTCTTTATTCTGTTTGAGCGAGACTTGGGGGAAAAAAGTCTTACAGCAGGGCTCCCCAACCATGTGAGGAGTCTGCTATTGGGCCGTGGAAATGAGTAGTGAACGCACGCACGCACTCTCTATTTGCGTGAGGGGCAGGTGTGCATGCAAGCCACTTGTGCAAATGGAGCTGTGATGCACACTTGCCGGCCACTCATGCAAAACCATCTCCCCATCCCCCAGTCCTCAAAGCTGGAAAGGCTGGGGAACTCTGGCCTACAGCACAGAGAGGGTTGTTTTTTTTGCAGGTGCTTTTTCTTCCTTTTCACAGGTGCAACTGGGGAAGTTTTAGAAAACCAAGAAAGGCTTCCACAAATATGACTCTCCAAATTTTGGGAGCTCTTCCAAGGAATGCCGGCTCGGAGAGAAACAATTCACTTTGAGGGCCTCCCATTTTATTCCTCACAGTCGGAGTGCTGGTTATTTTGAAGAGCGATGCTGAACAGAGAGCTGGTGGCACCCAGCAGACAAGAAACTGTCCCCACATCCCACTCGCTTTGAATTCCCACTACCACGATCTCCTCACCGATGAGGAGATTCCAGATTAGTGGGAGGGGCCCAGCCAATTCCACCCAGCCAACTCACCAGGGATACGTGGAATAGTCCATCTCTCGTGAAGGAGGGCGGCTGTTGGGAGGCTGCAGCAGAGAACATAGCAATAGCACTTAGACTTACATACCTCTTCACAGTGCTTCACAGCCCTCTCTAAGCGGTTTGCAGAGTCAGCCTTTTGCCCCCAACAATCTGGGTCCTCATTTTTACCCATCTCGGAAGGATGGAAGGCTGACTCAACCTTGAGCCGGTGAGATTCGATCTGCTAAACTGCAGCTAGCAGTAGCCTGCAGTACTGCACTCTAACCACTGCGCCACTTCGGCTCGGCTCACAAAGTGGTGATTAGGGGTGAGGTGGGGTGAATTCTACCAAATTCTTCCCAAGGGCATCCCATGCAGGGGTGGTCTGAGCAGTGGGACAGAAGACCCCCAGTGCCAGGAGCAGGGAATCGGTCCTCAAACTAAAAAAAGGGGGGGTCAGCCCCTGAACACAGCAGCCATTTGTCCAGGGGCTCAATCATGGGGTGGGGGGGTGGGGGCATGGCCTTGATTGTGGCTTCTGCAACTCATTGCCTCCAGGACTCTTACCCGCGCATCCACTGGGCAAGGCTTGACCAACGAGCTGGGGAAATAGCCAGATTTCTTGGACACGACGAGCCTCCCCTGGAAGAAAGAGAAGAGTCCCTCACAAGGGTCCTGTTGTAGCCTGTCAGCCAGGCAGCCAAATCAGAGGAGGAGGAGGCGTGGGAGTCAGGGCCAGCATCAAGGCAATCTGAGAGCTCTGAGGGGGAAGAGGGAATGGAGCTCTCAGAGATGGAGGCAGAGGCGGAGTCTGGGCCGTCTGTCAGCCCTCAGATGGACAGTCAACAGCCTCCAGGTCTGGAGGTGGCTGATGAGGAAGAGGAGGAACTGCTGGGTACAGATGTACAGAAGGCAGAGGAGAGGAGAGCAGTGGAAATCTTTGGGCTGGTTCTTGGGACGGAAGAATCAGTGCTGCCAGTGAAGCCCCACCCTAGCTCTGGGGATAAAAGGCAGGGGGTGGAGATGAATAGATGTGGCAGACAACTGTTCATCTCCCTGCCAGACAGACTTGTTAGCCTGCTGTGTGAGAGAGAGAGAGACTTTTTGCCGGGGCTGCTGACACACCTAATAAAGAGAACAATTAGGTAACTACAGAGGGTTTGTTATATTTGGGAGCCGGGTCCCTCCTGCTGAGTGGGGCGGAAGGCAAGGGCATAAAGGAAGAAGCAGGGTCATGGATTCTCTTTGTCCACCTTGAGTGTAGGTTTCTTTCTTCTCTACCAAGGGAGGAGATTTTCAAAGATTCACATAACACCCATCACACAAGTCAACAAGACACAATGATGGTGTCTCTGTAATGTGAACATGTTAATGCAATAGGCTGACTCAGCAAGTGTGCTAAGGGCCCACAAACTTGCTTGGCTTTGCAACCTGGTTTGCAGCTGTGCTTTGCAACCTGGTAAATTACAGCCCGGGATGTGGAACTCCTTCAGCCAACATGTCTTGCTGGCCACACAGAGCCACCCTGCAGCTGTGGGGAAGGGGCTCAGCCCAGGCTTCCTCCTGTTTGGTAAAGCAGCACCCCAGGGAGACTTGAGGCTCAACTGGATCCACAAGCCAGGATGCCAGGCTCCCTGAGTTCAACCTGGGCAGATGGCAGAGCAGGATCCTAGATTGGACAAGGGTGCTGGGTCCCACATGGCAGGATGACTCCCTGCCCCAAATCCTGGTGCTGTTGAATAAACCCAGCAGAGAGAGGGAGGTACCCGTCCTAGCCAGCATCTCCTCATCCTGAGCAGAGTTGAAGAATTTCAGGCCCTTGTTAAAATGCCTGGCAGGTCCAAAGCTGAATTCCATGGATAACGAGCTGAGGAAGGTTTCCTCTTTCCTGCACATTCCTGGAGGATCCACTCACCTCCCACCACTGGGAATCCGGTTCCCCTCGGAGCAGCTCAATCACTTCGCCCATTTGGAAAGTTAACACGGGTTTCCCTGGTGGAGCTGGGTTGCCATGGTAATTCTGGAGGGCCACCATTTTAGGACCTAAAAATAAGCCAGAAACAGCAGGGGCCTTGATGGAGGGGCCTTGAAAGGGCCAAGGCCGTGGCTGCGTGGCAGACCCCACTCCCTGGGGGTGCCTTAAGATCCCTTCCTACTCTGTTATTCTGTTAAGTTCTGTCAAGGGGGGCTTCTGACTTCCAGCCCCTCCGCCCAGCAGGAGGTGCCCAGTGCCAGTGCAAAAGGAGGGCCCATCTCGCCCTGAGCTGCCATTTCCCATTTCTGGGCAGGGGCCGTGGGGAAGGGGCAGAGTGCAGGCCTTCAGCTCCCCAGGAAATCGCCTAGGGATCCAGCTCTTTCTTAACAAATGCTCAAGAGTGTCCATGATCACTTTTTGGCTTCTTGAACAAAAGGTTGTTTAAAGGGGAGCTCCCACCTGGGAGCAGCTGCCCCCTGAGCTTGGAGTAGAATTAACTAAAGACTCTTTTTGCGGGGACGGATGGACTGGGGGGGAATACACCTCAGACTGGCTTAGTGACAAATTGCTGACTGCAAAAATGAACTTTATTTTTTAACATAAGAATACCGGTATGTCTGCTTTCCCTTACCTTTTTTCTAGATAGCTTATTCAAATAATAAAATTAATAACGTGGAAGAGGTCAGCAAACTACAGGATTTGGAAAGGGAGGGCTGGCTGGCTGGCTTCATCTGCTGCACTAGTCACTCCCTCCCCTCCTTACAGAAACCGCCGGCACAAATCTGAAAGGGACAAACTGCACCGGGATTTAACTCTGCTTTTTTATTTAAGGGGCACATTTTCTAACAGGCAAGTGGGTGATGTGGTGGCCTAGATAAGGAGCTCTCGCCTCACAATCAGGAGGCTGTGAGTTCGATCCTAGGTAGAAGCAGATATTTCTCTCTCTGGGCACAATGAGATGATATCTGCTGAATAAAACTCTGCATTGGCAACAGGAAAGGCATCCGGCCAGTAAACACTCAGCTCCCTTCAGTTGCCCAGACTCCACCCTGCAAAGGATTATGGGGTTGTTAAAAGAGGAGGAGGAGAAGGATTTTCTAACAGGCAAATAAGAGCTGCTTTCCTTCTGAAGTCTTTCCTTGGGGCACATCCTGCTGGGTGGCAATGCCAGCATGCCAAGGGAAAGGCATCCGCTTGACACTGGCAGGCATCGTTTTGCCCACAACGAAAAGTAACAGCTCGTTTGCCCTCTCCTTTCCCCATTCTGCCTTCTGCACTGTGATGCCCTGGCATCTCTTCTGCCTCTCCCAGTTTGCTGCTTGGCAGGGAGCAGCCCAGTCAATGTGCCTGAGGGGACAATGTGCCTGAGTATTTTGCGATCGCTCTGTTTCCGTCTGGAACTTTTCTGCTATTAAACCCGGATTTTGCTTTTAAGCACCAACCAGGAAGCTGCCTGGCTTCAGTCGAGGAGGGAGGAGGGAGGGGTGTGGAGGAGGAAGAGGAAGAGGAGGAGGCTTACCTAGATTCAGTGATTCCTGTCCAGAAATAAAAAGAAAGAAGTTTCAATCTCCTGGAGCCTTTTTGTCCACATAACGAGCTACTCTTGCTCTTAGAACTGACCCTCCCCCCACCTGGCCCCACCGCCAGCAAAGGCCTTACAGAGATGCGACAGTTTGGATTCTGAGCTGCAGCCCATCCCCACACCCCCAACCCTCTTTGCAATCAAACCAGGACAGGAAAAGTAGCAGAGAAAAGGGTGCCTCGTCTCAGGACAACTAAGGACTCAGCCTCACATCTAAGAAAAGTGGCCGGGGTGGGGGAGGGGAAAGGTGACCCCAGTGTCTTCCTCTGGCACTTTACTCCCTATGTCCTTCCCCAGAGAGGAGGGAAAAAGAGGCGTACTGCTTACCTGCTCAGCCGGAGAACCTAGAAGGCAACGTTAAAAAGTGGCTGGTTAATGGAGAAGCCACCTAAGAGGAGCAGCTCAGCTGGTGAGTTTGTGCATGCAAATCTCAGGACCACCTGGATTCCCCACTCCTGCCATTTCTTGCTATTCCAAATTCTCGCCCTTTGACCCACCTTCAATATTTAGACTTTCACAGTTACAAATATATTTGTTAAATGATGGTGATGCTACAGGAGGGCAAAATGTATCTTTCAAAACGATTTATGACATGCAAAACCCTCTAAATGGCTGCAGAAGGGATGTGTCCCTGCAGCTGCTCTGCCCTTCTGGGACAGGTGAGAGGCTGACGGGGACCGCCAACAAGGAAGCTGTCCAAGGTGTCTCAGCCATTCTACCTGAGCCTGAGAAAGAAGCCCACGGAGACAAGTTCTCAGGACGCAGTAGCCCAGCAACAGATGCAGGGCACTGAGATCAACAGGCAGTCATTGGAGCGAATAGCAATAGCCCTTATATATCGCTTTCCAGCCCTCTCTAAGCGTTTCAGAGTCAGCCTCTTGCCCCCAACGATCTGGGTCCTCATTTTGCCCACCTCGGAAGGAGGGAAGACTGAGTCAACCTTGAGCCTGGTTAGATTCGAACTGCCAAATTGCAGGCAGCCAGCAGGCAGCAGAAGTAGCCTGCAGTACTGCACTCTAACCACTGGGCCACCATGGCTCATGAATCATCCCTTTTATTGCAGGGAAACATCTGCTGATTTGGAGAGCAACACCCCAAAACTGTCACCATGGTGGCCTAGCAGACTTCCCTGGCAGGCTTTGCCTGGTGACACCAGGACAACGGATTCCCTAGCAGCAGACACGGCCCTTCTCACACACACGCCGCCATATGCGTGGATCACTTACTGAATTTGCAAGGTGGGATGACCTCCAGGCACTCTTTGTGGGCGCCCGCCTTGCACTTCAGGCACTGGTAGCCTTGGTAGAAGGTCCCCCTGCGGAAAAAGAGACTGCTAGCCCAGCACGCCTGCCTAGAGCTGCACCCCGGGGGAGCCCCTTGGAGCGGGAGCAGGGGAGGCTCCCCAATAACGGAAGGCTACAGATCCCCAGGCCTCTCCTGAGATGCAGGGAAGCCCTTCTGCTCAGACTCGGGAGCCGAGCCCACCTTCCATCGAAGGCAGCCGTGGCACTGGGGGCCCAGAGGCAAGAAGGAGACCCTCGGTTGAGGCCAGCCAGGGAAGCAAGCCCTGAGGGGTCTGGACTTCCCCCTCTTGTAACCGCCCTGCTAGGGTCATTGGAGTTTGCCCCAAATGGCTACCAAGCCAAGCTATTTTCTGGGTTGCTCTGCACCCCCAGCCATGCAAATATCTGCCTCAGTTCAAATGTCCAAAGGGTGGCCTTCAACCCAAGTGGGTGCGAGGTGAGAAGTCACCTTGGGGGTCAGGATCCGTGGACCTGGGGCCATTTGGCTCTGCATGAGGAGCCTTGTCAGTTTCCACACTGCGCTCAGCTATTGCACTCTCACCCGGCCCATGCATTTAAAGAGAGACAGGCAGAGGGAATGCACTGGGCTGGAGGGTGGAGCAGGTGGTCTCCCAAATCCCTTCCAGTTCTTGCATCCTGTCCTTCTATGACATCATTGGATCATTTAAATATGCAGGCAGCCCTTAAGAACGGTTAATCAAAATTACAACAGCAGTGAAAAAAATGGACTGATCCTCAAACTTATAAGCAGCACACACACACACACCCATGGTAAAAACTGAGCTCGGCCACGTTTACTGCTCCCCCCCACCGCCCGCTGCCTCCCAGCTGCCTTTCCTTGTCTTCACCTGCATCCCATTCCCTGGGCTTAGCATCCTGGCAGTGCATGGGGAGGCGCCGTGGAAACAGGATGGTGACATCAGGCCAGGGTGCAGCCTTGAACCTGAGCTCATGGGAGGCCCACCAAATTTCTGGGGTGGAGTGGAGGGGAGAGTGCAGGCAGAAACTCTCTGCTCAGTCTGGGGGCACTGAGAACCACTTCGTTGGCATCACGCACAGGATGGCTCTTGGAAGGTGGCGGAGCCATGGCCATAATGGACCCTGGCCAGCAACAAAGTAAGCTGCTGGTGGGCCCCTGGAAGAGGTGGGCTCCGAAACCGTTGCTATTTGCCATAGTGCAGCTCAGGGGCTGCTTGGGGCAAGAACTCCCCTGCTTCGATGTGGCAAGCAGCCCCAGAGTTGTGAGGCTGGCTGTGGCACTGCGGCTGCCAGACTTTTTGTAATTATGCAACTTTACAGTAAAACGAGCAGCAGCGTTGGAGGAGTCTGTGTGTGCCTGAAGAACACTGCTGAGCACATTGTAAGCCGCCCTGAGTCTCCGGAGAAGGGCGGCATATAAATCAAATTAAAAAAAAGAAGAAGAAGAAGAAGGAAAAACATTCACCTTAAGAACATCTTGCAGGCTTTGCAATTGGTGGTCTTGTCAAAGGTGAACATCTGGAACTGGTGGTTGTTTGCCGTGGCTTTCTCGGGCTTAATATTGGATCTGGGCAAAGAAAGGGAGCCCCACTCAGCTCAGGTCAGGCTAAGCGAGTTGCAGCTCCTCTTCGGGGACATTGGGAAGAGGGTCCCCTTTGCACTGAGGGGGCCTTTGGTGCTTAGCCCCGCCCTTGAGAACCTTTGGGTAGGGCCAGGCCGTGTGGCACAACTTAGTCCTGCCCATGCATCCTATGTGCCAACGCCCGGGTCAAGACCGCCAGCAGGAGCCGGCCATGCCTGCTGGCTTCTTGACCATTCAGACTTTCGATCTGGGCCCAGCCAGGACCGAGGTCCCAGACACTCACATGGCCATTTCAAACTGCTCCATCCACTTCCGTTTCATCTCTTCCGTCTTACAGAAAAACTGGAATCCCTGTTTGCCTTGAAGGTGAGTGAGGTAGAAGCCGTAAGACCACTGTGGGGAAAGAGAGAGGGAGAGGATGGAGCCGGACACAGAGGCAGGAGAAAACCAAGGCCAGTACGGGCCAGGGGGAGCCATCGCACCACCCTGAAATCTGCCCTTAAGAGGCACCCTTGGGCAGCCGAGTCGCAGCACCAGAGGCAGCCAGCTTGGCCAACTGCCTTCTGTTCCTGGCCACAAGGACTGGGAATTCAGTGCCGCTTCCGGGAGGGCACGGCTCACCTTCCTTCTCTTTCTCGCCAGCAGCACAAAAGAAGCTGCCAGGAGCCCAGGAGGAGGCTGCCTCTCCTTCAAAGATGCTTTCACCTCATCTGTTCCACTCGCCCTCGTCGGGCAAGCCTACCTCACAGGGCTGCTTGTAAGCTTTCCTACAGTAATTGCAGCCCCCCATGCAGCCCCCTGGATGATGCCCAATCAGCCCTGTCTAGGATTAGTACAGCAACAGCAAAAGACAAGAGAGTTGGAATTGGTAGAGACGGCTTACCATTTTCCCATGCAACTGAGAAGCAAAAGGAAGCGAAGGGGAGACACAGGGGGTTACAACAAGCTCCAAATCCCACCTGTTCAGACTCCAAAACAAGGGTCCCTCTTTCTCCCCATCCCCACAGCCCCCAGTTCCAGGTGGCCCAGATGTTTAATCCTTCAGGGAATGAGGGGGGGGGTCTCTTTCTGGATCTGCACCCTCCAAAGTATGTGGGCGGGGGATTCCGCCTGCTAAGGCCCCTAGAAGAACAGGGCTTCCTTCATGCCCTCTGGATGGATTTCCTGAGATCTCCTTCATCCATGATCACGTCACTTCAAGCAGCAACTCTCCATGTGGGAACCCTTGTTGGCAGCTGACCAGGAAAGGGGCTTCTCCTTGTGGCGAATGTGGCACGAGATTGGCAGTTGCCAGGCCAGCTTGCTGAAGGACACAGGCATTCCAGTAACCCGCCGGCCCCCCCCCAAGTGATGGAACTGTGATTTTTCTAAAGGGGCAACGCAGCACAAGGACACCCCCTGCCCCCAGGCTAGTGGAGAATGGGGAAGTCAACAGCTTCCAGCCCCTGGGCAGCCTGAGCACCCCGGCTCTTTGGGGGCCGGCCCTCTACAGCTCCTTGGAGCACCATCAGGCAAGGTTGCCCCCCAGGGAGACACCAAATGTGCTTCCAGCGGCTAGAGCTCTTCCCCCCTCCACCCTTGCAGTGCCCAACATTGGCCATGAGGGAAGGGAAGGGAGGCCCTGCACCACCCACCTTCTTGATGTCCTTGTTGTTGGTGGGGTCATCGGTCATCTTGTAACAGAGAAGTTCCAGGATGTCTTTCTGCTCGTAGCTGTAGCCTTTCCTCTTGCAGACAATCACCACTTTATCAAACAAAAACAAATACCTGTCCCAGAATTAGAAGAGGAAACCGGGGCTCAGCAACCATGTCTGCACATTCCCTCTCTCCCAGGCCTTGGGGGAGGGGCTCCCATCCTCCCCCCTCTCCTCCAGGGACTGGGAGAACCATGCCAGCTGAAGAGGGGTAGCAAATGTACAAAAGTGGAATCTGCATCTTCTAGGACTGAGGTGAGAGGAAGGAAGGAAGGAAGGAAGGAAGGAAGGAAGGAAGGAAGGAAGGAAGGAAGGAAGGAAGTTGCCTTCATACAACATGCTAGCCCTCCCTGGCTTCCTGAGTGGGGTGACATGGGTGGCAGCCAACCCGCTCAACCCAGCATGTCCTGGGAACTCAGAGCCCTGCATGAGGATTGCCCTCGGAGTCTTTGTTCAGCCAGGATCCACGGAAGAGGCTTTTCCTTCTTCACTGCTCACTCACCGATCCTGCTTTGTGTGGTTGATGATGGACCGGACCTTCAGTTCCCCATCGATCTTTGGCCGCCCATATTCTTCTAGCTTCACTGGCTGGGGGAAAGGTGACAAAGGTTAAAAGGGCAAAACTCCCCACTAACCAGGAAGACTCCAAAGTGGCGCCTCAGCTGTCCTTCTCGGAAAGGGGGTGGGGAACAAGGCACTTTGGGAGTTAGAGGGCAGCGAAGCCCCTTCCTGGATGCAATCCAGGTTTGAGGACCTGTGAGGAGGCAAACTGGGGGAGACCAGAAAGCAGGGGGAGGGGGGGTGTCTCCTTTCCTCTTGGGTGTTGCCCCCACTGAGGCAGCCTCCCATGCCCGCCTGGCTGACCAAGCAATCCCTTTCTGCATTGCCAGGGCCTCAGGCTTGCGGTCATCGGGGGAGAGCATCAGAGCTCCTGCCGTTGGGGGAGCTGGGACCCTCTCCTCAGTGTGGCAGTGCTGGGCCCCTCATTGCATAGCCTAGAGTGGCTGGGAGCATTTGGGGACTGCCCTGCCCTGGACCCTGCTCCCGTTGGCATCGTCTGTGCCCTTCAGCTGGCTAAGGCCATTTGCAATTGCTGTCTTGCAACAGCCATTACAGAATGCCAATCTCCTGGCCAAGGATCCTGTTCCTGGCCAGCGGGACGGCCAGAATCACCGGGAGACCAGGGAGGCCTCTCTGCCGTTTGTCACTCAGTGCCAAAGCTGCTCCTTTGATCTTACCAGGTTTTCTATGGAGCTCTGGAATTCACTTATTTTCTTCAGGGTTTCTTTGTCCCGTTTGACTTCATTGATGAACATGGCCAAGTCCTGAAAGACGAATGGGTGAAGTGGCCCGTCAGTGGCATTGCAAGCAGAAAGCCCCGGGCAGAGATCAGGTCCGAGAGCAGAAAGACGGGTTCTGCTTCTGGGCTCAGCCTCCCTTGGCTCAACAGCCTCAGGGTGCCTGTGCAGTTCCCAGGGCCCCTGGGGCAGTAGCAGAGCACGGCCCAGCCAGGCTGAGAAAAGCTGGGGTGAAGGTGGGTTTTGGGGAGCAGTCCTTTGTCAGAGACCAGAATGTGACTCTGTGCAGTGACCCCCAAAACACCTCCCACAGGACCCCACCTGCATGGCCTCCAAAGCTTCTTTCAGCTGCTGCTTCTCTGGCCGGTCGGACGAGTGGCTGAGCAGCTCCTAGAAGACAAACCATTATCCTGGGTTACTGTATCCACTGCCTGCCTGGCTGCTTCCTGCTCCACCTCGCCATACGAGGGGTTCAAGGCCACTGGAGTAGGTGGCAGGAGAGCCCCTGCCAAGAAACAAGGGTTGGAGTTGTCTATAGAGATCCTCCGTCATCCAGGTCCTGGTTGTCCCAAGGGCGCTTTTTTCAAGAGGCAACTGGACTTTCTGGTTTTCCTTTGAAGGCGTTTCGCTTCTCATCCAAGAAGCCTCTTCAGCTCTGACTGGATGGGAAGAGGAGTGGACCGCTGGTTTGAAAGAGGGGTCAAAGAGGCCTATATCAAAACTGAACAGCCCTCTCTCAACAGAGGTGGAGGAATATGACATCATCTCTCTCCAGTCTACAACACAGTCCTTTTAATATTTCCAAGAAGGCTCCATGCTCCACACCACTCAGGTGACCCTGATGACCCAGATAAACCTCCAGGTGGCCTCAAGGACTCTCTAAAAGGATGCAAATGACCCGCTGTCTGCAAGGAGCATAAATCCTTCCATTCCGCACAATCCAGTCAGAGCTGAAGAAGCTTCTTGGATGAGAAGTGAAAGGTCTTCAAAGAAAAACCAGAAAGTTCAGTTGCCTCTTGAAAAAAGCACCTCTGGGGCAAGGTTTGGAGTTGCTTGTCCCAAGAATAATGGCTGGGGGAGGGGACGGGACGACGACGACATGCAGAATCAGATGAATTGGTGCAAGCTTGAACAAACAAGCCAGAATTAATCAAGATTTGTGAGAATAACTGCATTATTAATTTCTGGGTGGAACAAAAAGCATTTGCACAGGGGAGAATCCTGGGCAAGGGGGCACAAGCGGAGCCAGAGGCGGCCCAGGCTGAAGTTGTCTGAAAGACTCCGTGGTCAGCTGGAGACACTTGCCCCTTGCCTGATGTGCAGCTCTCCCCACCCGATCCAGAGCCTCAGGAACTCATCTGGGCTCCAGGAGGCATGTGGGCAGCTCAGGGCTGGCTGTTCGCATCCCTTTGGCTTTACCAACCCAACTGGAATCGGCGCTTAGATGTCCCAATCTGTTATGCTGTAGGAGCCAAAACCAGTTCATGCCAGACAAACATTAGTGCATTCTTTGACAAAGTGACTAAGTGACCAGCAAAATGCTGTCTACATCATTTACTTGGACTTCAGGGAGGCATTTGACAAAGCAGACCACAGCCTACTTTGTGGCAAGATAGAAAACTGTGGGATAGACAGCATCAACACCAGATGGATTCTTAACTGGTAGACCAACAGCACTCAGAGGTAGCCCTTAATGGAGCTACATCTATCTACGTGGAGAGAAGCAAGCAGTGGGGTACCCAAGGTTCTGCTTTAGGCCCAGTACCCTTCAATATCTTCATCAATGACTTAGGTCGGAGGATAGAAAGGGAACTCATCAAATCTGAAGAAATAGCTAACACACCGGAAGATAGGCTTAAGGTACAGAAGGATCTTGACAGACTTGAACACTGGGCCCTATCCAACAAAATGCATTTCAGTGGTGAGAAAAGTAAGGGCTTTACACTTAGGCAAGAAAACCCAAATGTACACAGCGGGTATCTGGCTCAACAATAGAAATTATGAGAGCAATCTAGGTGTCCTAGTGGATCCCCAGTTAGGTATGTGTACTGAAGCTCCAAGATGGCTTCAGCCAGAGAAGCTTGTAATGTATCCAAGTAATGGATCTATTACTTGGAACCCTGACATTATGAGCCAGCAATGTGCTGCAGCTCCCAAAATGCCAATGCAATCCTAGGCTGCATCAACAGAGGGAAAGTATCCAAGTCATGTGAAGTGTTACTATCACTTTATAATGCCTTGATAAGACCACACTTGGAATACTGCATCCAATTTTGGCACCATGATACAAAAAAGATGTCGAGACTCTAGAAACTAGAGTGCAAGGAAGAACAACAAAGATGATTAGGGGACCAGAGGGAAAGGTGTACAATAAACAATTGTGGGAACTGTGTATGTAGTCTAATGAAGGATTAATGGTGGCATGATAGCAGTTTTCCAATATTTGAGGGGCTGTCACAGAGAAGAGGTGTCAACCTATTCTCCAAAGCACTAGAGGGCAAGGCAAGAAGCAGCAGGTGGCAACTAATCAAATAGAGATCCAATCTAGAACTTCCTGACATTAACAACAATCAATCAATGGAATGGCTTCCAGAAGTTTATTTATTTATTTATTTATTTATTTATTAGTTTGATTTATATGCCGCCCTTCTCCGGAGACTCAGGGGGGCTTACAATGCATTAAAGTTGTGGCTGGTCAATCACTGGAGGTTTTTAAGCAAAGATTGAAGAGCCATTTGTGAGTGATGCAGTGACCTAGAGGTGGAGCTCTTGCCTCACAATCAGGAGGCTGTGAATTCGATCCTAGGTAGAGGCAGGAATTTCTCTCTGGGCACAATGAGAATATCTGCTGAACAAAGCTCCGCATTGGGACAGGAAGGGCATCCAGCCATTAAGTGTTCTGCTAGTTCTATTCAGTTGCCCAGACTCCACCCCGCAAGGGATTATGGGGTCGTTAAATGATGATGATGATTGAAGAGTCTGGAATGGTATAAGGTCTCCTGCTCGAGCGGGGGTGGGGGTGGGGGGTGGACTAGAAGACGTCCAAGACCCCTTCCAATTCTGTAATTCTGACCTGAGGTGCTCTGCACTGAGAGCAACTGAAGCCCACCTACCCACTTCAGAAATGTATCTGCATTTTTCTTCCCTCTGGTAGGTGGAGAATGACTCACTTTGAGCAGGAGGTGATACTTCAGAACTCTCTGCATCGGCACCACCAGCAGGTCCTGAAGCTTGAACTTCCCGTCCTGGACCTTCAGGGTACATTCCTTGAAAGGAGAGCAGCAGAAGATAGACCTGAAGCCCACCTTTGTCTCCCCCACCCACCGTCTCTAATGAAGGTCTGCCTGGACCAGGAGTGTCAAACTCAAGGTGCTTAGATCTGGCCCGCGGGGCCACCCTGGGAATAGCGAAGGAACAGCCCGTGGTGCCTCTGCCAGCAAAAACGGAGCTCGCCGGGGGGGCGGGGGTGGGTGGGGAGAGAGAGGTACAAAACCCACCCGGGCTGTTTTTGGCCACACCGGCCTCCTGCAGCCCTCCGCCAGCAGAAATGGAGGTCTGGGGAGGCTGTGCACTCGTTTTCGCTGGCTGTGGGCTGCAGGAGGCCATCGTGGTAGAAAAGCCTCAACTAGTGAGGTCGAGCTGGCCACCCCCACCCTTGCCATGCCCCCGACCACCCCCACCCCGGCCCCGAGATCAAACACAACTCTGACGCGGGCCTCAATGAACTCGAGTTTGACACCCCTGGCCTGGACCAAAAGCAGCAACCATCTCGAGTGGCTGAGGACTGCCCAAGGCTAAGCAGCCAAGCAGCCCGTGTGGCCATCCTGCCCCAGGACCCACCTGACTCAAAGGGGTCCTGAGTCCGGCCCTGCAGTGCTGAGGGTTGCCCTGGGCAGAAGGGTCTTACCTGCGTTCTCCCCGGACCTGCACGGTCTGCCACAACCCATCCCCCAGGGTCCCCCCCACCCCCCAGGCCCTGGCAGGCCACAATTCCTAAGAAATGATCTGGTCTTTTCTCTTTCTTTACCTTTGGCTGAGTTTCAAAACTATATTTTATTGAACATCACAAGAGAAAAGATATAAACAGAAAAGGAAAAAACCCAAGGAGGATAAAGCAGTAGAAAAAAATAGAATCAGGTGAATAAAGAAAGGCTTTTAAAGGATTTAAAGTATTCTTGGATTTTCAATATTAAGTAATTGCAGATATTCTTTTAAATGCATATATTTTTATACTGCCTATAAAAAACCCTAAAAATTGCTCTTCAGTTCTAGGCAGAATACAAATATGAGAAGCAGCAGATGGTACACTCTGAATCACAAAATGAAATTAAAACTGTGATAAATTCTCTCCATGCGGTTAGAAGCTGGTTCTAATTTAAGAAGTCCTAATGAACCATTAAGGCTTTCTGTAAAAATATTTAAAAAAATATTTTTTAAAAAAGGATAAAGTTTACTCCACAGTTGTTTTTGTTAGGTATAATAATTTTAAGCACAGGAAACAGAATTTCCTGTGCTTAAAATGGCTGCCGCGGTTTTTTGAGCTCCGTTGGGGATGGGGCTTTTTGGTGAGATGTGGAGGCTTTAGGGGGGCCCTGACTATGTCCCCCATTATGGACTGGTAAGGGGAACAGTTGGGGCTCAGCAGGTCTACTTTTTACCTACCTAGGTCCCCAGGGGATGCCAGGCGAGCCGGAGCTGCCTCCCCATGATCCAGACGGCGGTTCTCCGCCGCGGTTTTTGCCCGAGTCAGCTGGGCGGCGCTGCGGCGTGGCGGCGGTAGGGCCGGAATCAGCTGGCACCCGCCGAAGGTGAAGGAGTTGTCGGTGGCGTGGAGGGCTGGTCGGTGGCGGAGCACCCCGTCCCAGATGCGGCTTGGTGGAGGAGAGGCCGAGCCATGGGAGACAAGGAAGGCTGCGTATCGAGATCAGGCTTCATCTGCCTGCAGCTGGGGGGGGGTTTCTTCTTCCCCCCCTTGCCATGGAACCGCAGCGTTTTTGGGGCTGGTGGAGGCATGAATCTGGAATTGCAGGCTCCCCTGTGGAGGGAAGGTGTCTTGGAGGCCTGTCTGCACCGCCCAAGCGAGTTGGGCCTAGCAGGGGGTCGCAGGCGGTTGAAGGCCTCGCCTGGACGTTCCATTCTACTGCCTTGACCCCCGGACTGCTTCTGCTGCAACCACTTGGATGGGTGATGGCATCTAGAGCCCTTGCCCCCCCCCTTCTTTCCAGCCCTATAATGGTCGGTTCTCTGGGTGTGGTTGCCCGCCGCCGTGAGAGGGCGGCTGTGGACCTATTGTGTGACCAAGTCGTGTTGCGGTGGGAGAGCATCAACGACCTATGGATCCCACCCGGATGATTGTCCATCTGGCCTAGGAACCTCGCTGCGGTGAGAGGGCAGTGAGGATTACCATCGTCTGTTTTTTTCCTATTGCCAAGAGAAGGGGTTTGGAAATGCAGACTTTATTGCCTATTGCTAGGATGGATTTTTGGATTGTAGATCTTGAACTACTGACCTGAGATCTTGATAGCCCCTGCTACCATGGACATGCCCATCTCTATGTTTGAGTATGACTATACGAACTTATACAACCGCGGACTTGGTCGCCTTGAGAAATTCCCCCCATTCTTTGGTGTGGCCAGTGGGCCTTGCAAAAACTTACCTTAAGGACAGGTCTTGGAACCCCGAGAGGTGGCACAAGGATTTTAAGGGTTTTAAGGGTTCTAAGGGATATAGATTGAGAGGTTTTCTAACAAAATTTTTAGCGAAAATTTTAAGGGGACCCGGGCGGGCGACTAGGGTGGGTTTGGGGGGTAACCCACAGGGGTCAGGGGGAGCTGGGGGGGCTAGTTCCTATATTGGGGAGGGCGTTGCCATCGACATCGTGGGTGGGAGGGGCAGATATGGCAGGAGCAGGGGGCCATATCGTGTTAGGGGAGGACGCACTCGCTATCTGCGAGCGTTTGCGTGCTCCGGCCCTCAATGCTCGTCTCGCACCCCGGGTTGTTCAGATCCTCAGGCCCTGGGCCTTCGGTTGATGTTGTGCAATGCCACGTCTGTGGTAAATAAAGCCCCCCTCATTTGTGATCTGATTCAGGAGGGGGGTGCTGACCTGGTAGGTATTACGGAGACCTGGTTGGGCCAGGAGGGGGGGTCCCCCTTGTTGAGATGTGCCCTCCGGGTTTCTATGCATTCCATCAGCCGAGGTCCCAGGGGAAGGGTGGGGGGGGTGGCGGTTCTAGTAAAGGAAGGTCTCGCCCCAAGGGAGGCCACTGTATCTCAGATAGCCGGATGTGAGTCCCTCCTTGTGAAGTGGGGACAAGGGAGGCAGATGGGCTTGCTGATTACGTACCTGGCTCCCTGCCACGTGTCGGCGGCCCTGTCCGAGCTCCTCAACATGATTGCCGAGGTGGCGGTGGAGACCCCCAGGCTTATGGTCATGGGGGACTTTAACCTGCCGTCTGTCGGCGAAGCGTCTGAGGCGGCTCGGGAGTTCATGGCTTCCATGATGGCCATGGACCTGACCCAATTAATTTGTGGACCCACACACAGGGGAGGACACACTCTGGATCTGATTGTCTCTGGGCAGTGGATGAATGATCTTGAGATAGGGGAGATAGTGATTGAGCCCTTGTCATGGTCAGATCATTCCCTTCTTAGGCTTGACTTTCTAACCGCCACACCCTGCCGCAGGGAGGCGGAACAGACCAGATGGTTCCTCCCCAGGCGCCTGATGGATCCTGATAGGTTCCAGATGGAGCTTGGGCCATTTCCTGAGGCTCTGACTCATGGCTCAGCTGAGGAGCTGGTAGCCGCCTGGGATAGGGCGGCTGCTGACGTTTTGGACCGAGTCGTGCCTGCGCGGCCTCTGACCTGTCGCCGAGTCTACCTGGCTCCTTGGTTTTCCGAGGAGCTGAGGGAGATGAAGCGCTAGAAAAGACGCCTAGAGAGCAGTTGGAGATCTAGTCGCAGAATGCAGCCACGCGGGGGATTATGGGAGCGAGGGGTCGCTCCCATGTGACACCTCTCCTGTGTGAGCTGCATTGGCTTCCAGTGGTCTTCCGGGTGTGCTTCAAGGTGTTGGTTACCACCTTTAAAGCGCTCCATGTCATAGGACCTGGGTATTTGCGGGATCGCCTTCTGCCGCCGATAGCCTCCCACCGACCAGTAACCTCCCACAGAGAGGGACTCCTCAGGGTGCTGTCAGCCAGGCAATGTCGGCTGGCGACCCCCAGGGGGAGGGCCTTCTCTGTGGCAGCTCCTGCCCTCTGGAACGATTTGCCCCTGGAGATAAGAAGGATATCGGATCTCCGGGTCTTTTGCCGTGCCCTGAAAACTTTTCTTTTCCATCAAGCAGGGCTGGCGTGAACCCTCCCCCCCCTTTTTTTAGTTTTTTAGTTGTTTAGCTTTTAATCTGTCAATGGGTTTTAATTCGAATTGTTTTAAATTTGGGCCAAAGTATATAATTCTTTTAATAATTTTAAATTTTGTATTGTTATGTGTTTTAGTTCTGGCTGTGCACCGCCCTGAGTCCACTAGGGGAAGGGCGGTATACAAATTGAATAAATAAATAAATAAATAAATAAATAAATAAATAAATAAATAAATAAATAATTACAGATTGTACGGCTATAGAGACTAATTTGATTCTGAACCTAATAACTGCAGCAAGACTCTTGGTGGCGCAGTACTGGAAGAAGGAAGATTTACCTACTATTCAAGAATGGACATTAAAAGTAGTAAATTTAGCAGAAATGGCGAAAATTTCAGCATATCTAAAGGACCATTCAAATGAAAAATATATGTTAGAATGGAAAAGATGGATTGATTATATTCAAGGCAAATATCGGACTAAAAAATTTCAAATAGCTTATGAATGATCAAAGAGATTTTATAAAGTACTTAAATTTAGTTTAGTAAAGGAGGAGTTAAAAGTTCAAGAGTGGGATAGGAGACTATAGATAATTAGCTTATGTTAGCTTATGATTGTCAAATGTTATACCCTGTATTTTGCTCTGGGAAGTGGGGGGGGGGAGGAGGGAGGGGAAGGGGAGGGTTGGAAGGGGAGCAGGGAAATATTTGTAAAACTTTTAAAAACTTTTCAATTAAAAAAAAAAGGCTTTTTGTAGAAAGGCGGCCAAATTTAGGACTTGGTATAAATCCAGGTATCCAAATTGCAGTCTTTCAAATGTAATTCAATTCTGGGCCAGATTTATCTGGGACCAGCACAGAAGGGTCTCTGGCTCAAGTCCGGCTGCTGTCCACTCCTGCT